GGGCGAAGCCCACACTGTGAGAGGCAAAAGGTGAATGCTGTGGATGGTGGTGGAGAGCCAGTGGCTAGCCTGGATGTGGAGGACAGGGCTCCGTGGTCAGACAGAATGGGGTGTGAGCTCCCTTTCCAAGTCACAGCTCTTGCCTTTACCAAGTCACAGCTTCCCATCTGTAAATCAGTGATGACAGTGCCCTGGGGCTTGAGACACCATAAAGCATCTCCCTGTGCCCCAGCTTGTTGCCCATTAGGTACAGCAGGTGTGTCTAGCTTCCTACCAAGAGTTTTCTTCTTGAGATGAGTGGATTAAGAGACACTTGGTTGAAGAGAAGTCTGGGACCTGGGGAGAATGCTGTTAACATAGAGGTTAAGCTTCTGATGTGAAAACTCTGCTTGGTGTACAGTCAGCTTGGGCATGTGGGAGAAGTTAATATTTTATTTTTACCTAGCAGTTTTGAAGACCTTGTTTTTCTTGTTACGAAAGTATTGTTAAACACACACATACACACACACACACACACACACACACACACACACACACCCTCCATCCCATGCATTACTATCCCTATGGCTGGGGCTTAGATGACATCCTGGATGTCATCTCGGCTACACTCTACAGCAGACAGCTGGGCACACTGAAGGCAGGAACATGGGTGCCATGGGTGCATTCCTTTGTTGTTGTTGTTGTTGTTTTAAAGATTTTATTTATTTATTCATGAGAGACAGAGAGAGAGAGGCAGAGGGAGAAGCAGGCTCCCAAGGAGCAGGGAGCCCGATGCGGGACTCGATCCCAGGACCCTGGGATCACGACCCGAGCCGAAGGCAGACGCTCAACCATCTGAGCCACCCAGGCGCCCTCCTTTGTTGTTTTTTGAGATACAGTTCATGTAATGTAAATGAACCATCTCAAAATGTACAATTCAGGTTGGTTATTAGTGCAATTTTTAGTTTTTAATATATTTATTATGTTGTGCAACCATTGTCTAATTCCAAAACATTTCCAGCACCCCAAAATGAAATTGCATACTCATTAAACAATTAGTCCCCATTCTTCCCTCTCAGCCCCTGCCAGTCACCAATCTATCCTTTGTCTCTATGAATTTGCCTATTCTGGATTTTTCACATAAATGGAATTATACAATGTGGTCTTTTTGTGTCTGGCTTCTTTCACTGAGCATAATGTTTTCTGAGGTCCATCCATGTGTTACTATTTCATTCTATTTTATTGCTGAGTCATATTCCCTTGTTTGGATAAACCACATTTTGTGTATCCATTCCTCCATTGATGGACATTTGATGGACATTTGGGTTATTTCTACCTTTTGGCTGTTATGAAAAATGCTATAATGAACATCTGTGTGCAAGGTTTTGCTTGACTGCCTGTTTTCATTTCTCTCGGGTAGATACCTAGGCGTGGAACTGCTGTGTCATGTGGTAATGCCATGTTTAACCTTTTGGGGAACTGCTAGGCTGTTTTACACTGTAGCTGGTTGCATCGTTTTCCATTCCCACCAGCTGTGTGAGAGTGCATTGTGCAACTGCCTTTTTTCCTGCCAGATCTTCCTGCCCATCTGTCCTCATTCGGACAAAGTCTGAGTGTGGAGAGTTCGCTGGAAGAGGCTAATCAGTCCACCTGCAGTGGGTCCATGCAGTACAACGGCTTTGCCAGTCCCAGTGTACAAGTGATACTTTTTGAAACTTGGACCCCCAGCTTGTCTATTTTATTTGCGCAGCAAGCTCCACGTTCCGGAGAAGGCAGGTCCCTTGGCCTTCCCTAGGTGGGGCCTATGAGGACTCTGCAGGAGTCACGGCCACGGAGCCCGGGTCCATCAACCCTGGGCATGGTGTCCATTGCAGGTTAGATTCCTATCCATCTACTGTTAGGGTAGTCAGCACTGGTGGGCAGGTGGCGCCCACAGCTGCTTGCTCCCCAGTTAGCCCATGTCCATCCCCACACCTGCTTTTGGAGAGCTGCATAGTCAGTATCTCAAGGCAGACAGGCATAAACACAATGACAGGGTAGGATAGTAGCCTTTTCCCACCTGAAAAAGAATATCCTCGGACTCAGATCCATAAGTGTTTGGGAGGGCGCCTGGGTGGCTCAGTTGGTTAAGCGACTGCCTTCAGCTCAGGTCATGATCCTGGAGTCCCGGGGGATCCCGTGGGATCGAGTCCCACGTCGGGCTCCCTGCTCAGCAGGGAGTCTGCTTCTCCCTCTGACCCTCTCCCCTCTCATGCTCTCTATCTCTCATTCTCTCTCTCTCAAATAAATAAATAAAATCTAAAAAAAAAAAAAATGCCCATAAGTGTTTGGGAAAGAGATGTGTCCCTCACATCTTCCTGCTGCCTCACTCTGTAAGGGCCCCATGGACAGTCTGGCACTGGGGTACAATATGCCATTGTTCAGTGTCACCCAGATGTCCTCCTGCCTTCTTGAAGTCTACTCTAGGGGCTCTGAGCACCTCTGCTTGCATCTCAAGCTCTAGGTGGCTAAATTGTCAGGTGGAGAAACAAAGGCACAAAGTGGTAGTTGCCACAGTGGGGAAAGGTGTTGGATTTCCAAGGTATTAGCCCCCATCAGTGCCACCCATGGGAGAGAGAGCCAGCAGGGATCAGTATCCTTATGGGCCTGAGTGTAGCCTCATGAAATCTTAGTCAACCCAGACACTAAGTGGCTTTGAGGTACAGATGGAGAAAGGTGGCCTCATCTGTCTTGGGTTGAAGGCCAGACTCTCGCACGCCTGGAAGTTACAGGAGGGTTGGTAGTTATCACGTGACTGGAGTGAGGCCTGTTTGAGAAACCTCAGGTCACGGTGTGGTCCTGTCCTTATTGCCACCTTTGTTTCTTTAGAAAATGCCCCAGACTATTTACTTGCTGAACATGTGACCAGACAAACCAGCCTTAATGTGGGCCCTTCAGCTTCCCACGCTCCAGCAAGCATTGCCTCCTGAAGAGTGGAGCACTGATGGCCAAGCAGCTTCTCTGACCCCTCATGATCTGGGGAACGTGTCCAACTCTGCAATTTTCACTTTTAACCAATTCAGTATGTCTAATTTTCACTCCCAAAACATTTTCCTCCAGAGCACTAACCATCAACCTATTTCTGCCATTGTGGTTGTGATGTCCAAGGGCAAAATAATCCACCAAAGATGGTTGGCAGCAGCATCCTGAAAAGAACCACATCCAGTTGCTCTGAAGTGTCCTTGGCTGAAAACGTGTAGAGAGACTTGGTTAAATGCTTCCTGATTCTTTTTAGTTCCAAGCCATGTTATTTTAAGCCACTGGTACCCCCAGCCACATGCTTGTTAGAAATTTGCAAAAATGACAGAAAAGCAATAGCCAGTCAAGGGAGAGTTGGTGAAAACCATTTCACTAAATAGACTCAAATTTCTAGAACTTTTTTTTTTTAAGAGGGAGAGAGGTGGGGAGGGCCAGAGGGAGAGAGAGTGAGTCTTAAACAGGCTCCACGCCCAGCACAGAGCCCCAGGCGGGGCTCAGTCTCACAAACCTGAGATCATGACCTGAGTCAAAATCAAGAGTCAGATGCTTAACCAGCTGAGCCACCCAGGCGCCCCTTGTGCTTTTCCTTTTCTATATTCCTACCCACCAGATGGGCCTTCTCTCCCTGATGCCTCCATATATGTTCGCTGCACATCAGAGTCACCCCTCCCACTCTACAAGTTTTAGCTATCTCCTGCTAAGCAAGCCCTCACCCAGATGGGACTGTTCTGAGCTACTTGTGTATCCATGAAGATTGCAGACGAAACATTCAGTTTTATTTCACCTAAATGGCATCTTGAATCATACACTGTGTCTTCCCAGTAAACCATACAAAGAGCTCAGAAAGAGCCACTGTGGTAGGCAGAACAACACCCCTCACCTTCCCCAAAAGATGTGCGTGTCCTAGTCTTTAGAACCTATGAATGTGTTATTTCACACAGCAAAAGGGACTGGGAGGGATGATAATGGATCTTGATGTGGGAAATTATCCTGGATTATTTATGTTGGGCCCAGTGTAATCACAGTGTCTGTATAGTGGTAGGAGGGGCAGAGTCTGATGTTTCACTGCTGGCTCTGAAGATGGAAGACAGGGCCATGAGACAAGGAAAGTAGGTGGCATCTAGAAGCTGGAAAAGGCAAGCAAACAGATCCTGCCTTTGAGCCTCCAGAAGGAAGCAACACTGCTGAAACCTTGCTTTAGGACTTCTGTCCAGACCTGTGAGCTAATAAATTTGCAATGCTTTAAGCCATTAAATTTGTGGCAATTTGTTACAGCAGCAAAAGAAGACTAACAACCACAGTGGAATTTGGAAATAGTAATAGTAGGCATCAGGCCTTCTTGGTGTTGGTTGTTGCTGGAATGATCAGGGCCCCCACGTTCAGCTGTTTACATTTACATTTATCATACCCGTTTTGTAGATGAGCCTGCCAGGCCTGAGAGAACCAGTGTTGCTTGGTAAAAGTGGGCAGGGGCAGACCTGGTGTCCAGCCCTGCTGTCAGATGAGCCCCATCTCACACCTCCCAGAAGACCTGGCTGATGGCAGGTGAATAGGGTTGGGCCGGGTCAAGGCAGGGAGTCAGAAGGGCATGCTGCCAGGAAGCTGGTGGTTCCTGGAGCGGAGATGTGATTCTGGGGAGTGGGCAGTTGAGCAATTGGGATATGTCTTGCTAAAGGGAGGGGCTGCTGAGGTCCCAAGCCAAGGATGATGGTGCTCCAGCAACTGGTAAAGAGGAGGGATAATGCTCTCTGGGGCCTTGGTGACATTCTAGACCTTGGCAGGTGTCAGGAGTCAGAGCAGGGGCTCCAGGGTTCTCACTGCCTGATGTCACTCCTTCTCTTCTTGCCCTGGGCTACGGAAAGCTGGGGGCAACCCCATCAGTCCTGGCGTCATTATTCTTGGGCAGTTCTCCCCTCTCCCCTCCTGGGAACTGCCAACCTCGATTTCTCCTCTGCTCTTGCAGATCCTACCGCCAGGACACTGTGCTGGGGGCTGGCCCCAGGATGGAGGCTCGGGCCCAGAAGTCCAGGCAGGGAGGCATCCCCAAGGCAGATCTCCAGGGAGCCGACAGGGGCCAGGAGGAGAGGCCCAAGATGGAGCTGAGGCCCCTGGCAGAGGACCCAGCTAAGAGACACCCCTCTCAGGAGGGAGACCTACATGGAGGGACAGCAGGCGGCAAGATGGCTCCCCAAGGCAGGGGCTCCTGGAGCTGGGGCCTTGGTGTGAGCCCCAGTCCAGGGACCCGCCAGAGCGCAGGAGCAGGACCCCTGCTACAAGAGCCATGTGGCCCCACCTCCTCTCAGGACCCTGACCTAGTCACTCCCCAGGGGCCACATGCTGGGGAGGGCCCCTACTGGTGCCCAGTCGGTACCAGGGCCTCCAGCCCTAACTGCTGCCTGATGCAGCATCTCAGAACACCCCCTGAGGAAAAGTCCCTGGTGTGTGATCACTGTGGAGGCCAGGGGTTGTGCTGGTGCTGCCCCGGGACCCAGCTGTCCGCGATCCACACAGAGGATGGGTCACATGAACAGCGCACAGGCACCCAGACCTTCCCAAAGACCCTGCCAGTGACCCTCCTTCAGCAGAAGCCCTTGGAGGACTGCAGTTGCATCGAGGACTTTACCCGGAGGGCCCGGCTGGCCCCGCAGGAAATGATGCAGATGGCAAAGGAGCCCCTCCTATGTGCGCGATGTGGAAAGCGCTTTGGCTCCAACAAGCAGCAGCAGATGGCTGAGGGCCCCTTAATGTGTCTTCAGTGTGGTCAGGCCTCAGGTCCTGGCTGCAGTGCCCCTGACCCCCCGGCCCAGCGGCTCTACGTCTGTGACCAGTGCGGCAAGGCCTTCACGCGCACCTCGAGCCTGCTGCAGCACGAGCGCATCCACACCGGTGAGCGACCCTATGAGTGCGCTGAGTGTGGCAAGGCCTTTGTGCGCTGCTCAGGCCTCTACCGCCACCAGAAGACACACTCGGCCGAGCGCCACCGCCGCAGCCTGGCCCTGGCCCGGAGGTCCTTCCTCTTGGGGTGCCCGCCCTGTGGGGACTGTGGCGAGGGGACCCAGGGGCCTCCACGGGTGCCCGTTGCCGGGGAGAAGCCATACGAGTGCGCCGAGTGCACCAAGGCCTTTGCCCTGCTCTCGCACCTCGTGGAGCACCGGCGCGTGCACACGGGCGAGAAGCCCTACGCGTGCCCGGAGTGTGGCAAGGCCTTCAACCAGCGCTCGAACCTGAGTCGGCATCAGCGCACGCACAGCAGCGCCAAGCCCTACGCCTGCCCGCTGTGCGAGAAAGCCTTCAAGGGCCGCTCGGGCCTGGTGCAGCACCAGCGCGCGCACACCGGCGAACGGCCCTACGGCTGCCCCGAGTGCGGCAAGACCTTTCGGGGGTGCTCCGAGCTGCGCCAGCACGAGCGCCTGCACTCGGGCGAGAAGCCCTACCTCTGCCGAGACTGCGGCAAGGCCTTCGTGCGCAACTGCAGTCTGGTCCGCCACCGGCGCACGCACACGGGCGAGCGGCCCTACGCGTGCGCCGAGTGCGGCCGCGCCTTCAGCCAGCGCTCCAACCTCAACGAGCATCGAAAGCGGCACGCGGGCCGCGCGGCCTCGTGACCGCGCGCGCCTCTGGAAGCCTGAGGAAACGGTTGTAGTCTTTCTAAACCTCATTTGGTACTCACTGCGTCCGCAGGCTTCCCCGACTCGTTTTATTTGACCCTTTCAAGTGGGCACATAGTAATGGGTTCTGGCGAAGTGCTAATAAACACAGGAATGAAGCGCTCATGTGACCCAGCTGCTTCGTGGGCTATCGGAAGTCTGGCTCCGCCTCCCTCGGTGGGCTGGAAAGTGGGGGAGCGGGGGTGGGGGGAGTGACTCCCCGGGGGCACAGGCAGAAAATGGTGGAAGTAACATTTGAACCCAGGACCTCTCATTGCACCTTCCTAGGGGGCTTCATTAGCCCTTGGTACCCTCTGGGTGTTTGCACGCCCATTAGCGTAGCTTGGCCCCGCCTCCTCCCTTGGGTCTTGGAGATATCTCCTCTGGCCTCCCTGGACCTCAGGAGAAGGACTCGGCATACCCTGTGACCCTCCCGGGGCCGATGGCCACGGGCTTCATGGGCAGGGCCTTTCTGCCTGCCCTTCCCCCGCGTGGCTCCTAGTCACTATGCAGAGGGCTCCCCTTGGAAGGAGGAGGGATTCCCTGGCAGCCTTGGTCTGGTTTGTGCTTGGCAGATGGGGACCTCATCATGTTATGTCTAAGCAAGGTGGTCCAGCCAGAGCTCCTCTTCTGTCAGAGGACTCCAGGCTGGATGTCATCTCCTGCTGCATGGGAGGAATCAAGGACTGAGACCCAAATGTGCGGCCATAATTCCCTGGGGCCACCACATAGGTGGGAGTCCACCAGAGGCCTGGAGCAAGCAGCATGATTCTTTCATAGCAGTATGTATAGTTATGTAGGTATATGATTCCAATTTCCTCCCCACTCCATCCTCCACACCAGTTCCAAAGTGACACGGCTCTGCACTTTGGGTGCGCTTACTACATGCCAGGCACCGTGCTGGGCACTCTCCCCTTAATCAGCCCCTTTGATCCTTGCCCTAACTAGGAGAAGAGGGACAACTCTGGCCCCATATCAAAGAGCCCCACAGAGGCCATGTGGCCCAGCCAGAGCCACCCGGAGGGAGGGCAGAGCCCGGCTCATCATTGAGTCCAGGGATGGGCCTCATATACTTCCAAAGGGTTCCCAGGTATGGCTTTTTGATCCGGCAGCAAATTCCCTACAAATCACCCTTCACTTTGTGTCTCCCATTCAGGAGCTCCTGTCCGCCTTGGGAAGGGCAAGATGCACAGGCCCCGTGGGGCAAGGAAGCTTTTGGCTCTCCATTCCCAGACACAGCTTGCAGGGCACTATTACAGCTAGGGCTGGGCACTTTACATCTGCTGCACCTGCAATGCTAGAGATACTGTGGAGATGGGTGCCATCCCACATCCCAGATGTAGGAGGGATGGGCACTGCATCTGCTTCATCTGCCGTTGCCTCCCTGGGCAAGGAGTTGAGTGGCTACTGGTAAGGCTAGGAGTATAGGAGCCTCTGAGCCCAGTCAAAACCAGGGACTTCATGGTGGGGAGAACTCTTGTGTGTGTAAGGGGTATGAGGAGGCCCTTGGGAGAGTTCAATCCAAATATGATGGACTATACTGGACCCTGAGTGCTGCCAAGATGAACCTCAATATATAGGGCACATTGTGGGTCCTATGGTGCAGATGGACTAAAGTGCCCCATAATCCCCTTTTCTCTTCCTGCATCCACAAACCTACATTTCTCAGGCTTCCTGCAGTTACACAGAGCCATGCAATTGAGTTCTGGCTACTGGAATATGGACAAAAGTGATGGATAACATAAAATGGCCTACATCATCTTTTTTGCTTGTTTCATCAGCCAGCTGGACAGAGGAGATTCAGCAGAAAATTCTGAGGAGGACATAAGGTAAGGAATAGCAAAGACCCAAGATAGAAGGAGCCTGGGTCCCTGAATCAAGGACAGCCTTCTGGGAGGGTCACTTGACCACTTCACACTGTGACATGGGCAAAAAAGACATCTGTATTGTGTTGATCCATTGAGATCCTGGGATTGTTTGTTACTGCAGTTATAGTTACCTGCTGTTAAAGGATACATCTTTTTTTTTTTTTTTTAAGATTGATGATTTATTTTAGAGAGAGCAAGTGTGGGGGCGGGGGAAGCAGGGGGGGGTGGGGAGAAACTCAAACAGATTCATGCTGAGCAAAGAGCCAGATGTGGGGCTTGATCCCAGAACCCTGCTGAAACCGAGTCAGACACTTAACCGTCTGAGCCACCCAGGTGCCCCAGGATACATCTTTTTTAAAAACTAAAATCGTGACTCCATGCAAATATAAAATGAACATGTGTCAAAGATTTTGTTTATTAGTAAGATGTTACAACCAGTTTTTTGAAGATGGAAGAAGGGACCATAAGCAAGGAATACAAAGAATGCAGTTATAGATGCTGAAAAAGGCAAAGATACGGATTCTCCCCTAGGACCTCCAGAAGGACATCAGCCCTGCTGACACTTTAATTTCAGCTCAGTGATACTGATTTCAGACTTCTGGCACCCAGAACTGTGAAAGAATACATTTCCGTTTTAAGCCGTAAGTTTGTGGTAATTTGTTACAGAAGCTATAAAGAACTAATACGCTGTCCTTCGTTCTGCTTCTCATATGGGCTCCATTGTCTATAAGTTCTCCCTTTATGGGGACAAAAAGGCTGCAGCTGTACTAGCTGATAGCTGTTCACGGTTTAAAGTTCCATAGAAAATAGAAGCCCCAATAGTTCAGAAAGAACTTCCTGCCCTGTGAAACCCATAGGTCGAAGTTCCTCATATATCCATCCTGAATCAATCATGAGGGCCAAGGGGAATGGAATGTGGTATGCCTGAGTCCCGCATCCACACTTGTCCAAACCCCCTGGATTGAGAGTGGGGGCAACTGAGAAACTTTTATACAGCAAATAGCGATTCCAGCTTGGACGCGTTGTCCCCAAGGAAGGGCCGCTGGGCCAGCACGTAGGTATGTGAGATGCGCCACCCCCTCCCTGCCAGGCCCCTACTGGACAAGGTCCATGGGGTTGTAAAAAGGACTTGGTGGCCAGAGAATGGACAGGGGTGAGGAGTGTGCATCCTTCTGGCTGCAGAACAGTTCTTTCTCCAGATCTGCTTCCTGTGTCCAAGATCCTGCCGACCTTGAGCGTCGGGGTGTGTGTGTGTATGTGTGTGTGTGTGTGTCCCCGTCCCTCTGGGTGTGTAAATGAGGCAGGGGAGGGGCTAGGGAAAAGGGCGGCGCGTACCCATGGCAACGGAGGACACTACAGCGTTCCAGGGGCCCCAGGACCATCCCTACGGGAACCGAAGGGCGCGGGCCTGCGACTGGGGACGAACTACGCAGCTGCGCAGACGCAGTGGGGAGTGCCGCGAGGCGCAAGGTCGCGCCAGGGGACGCGACAGCACCTCCGTGGACGCCCTGCGCTCACCCCCACCCCGCACCCAGTTCTCCGCGGCCGAGCCCGGATGCTGACCCGGCGCTGTCCTAGCCCGGCCGCGCCAGGTGGACGCCGGGGCGGGCCGAGGGCGGTGAGTGAGGCGAGCGGCAGCCGTCCGGCCGGGCTCTAACGAGCGCCCGCGGCTGCCACCGCAAGGCCGCGCAGGCGGGGCGCGGGCCGGGGCCGGGCGCGCACTGAGACCACCGAGAGCGAGGCCTCCGCGCCGCCCAGAGGGCCCCGGAAGTGGCTCTGCCGACTAGGGTCGGGGCGGAAGCGCGGTCGCGGGAGCGTCGGTGGGCGTGCGCCGCCCCCAGGAGTCGCCGGTGGCTCGCGCGTCCGCACCGTGTGCTTCACGGCTCGCTCTTCCGTTCCGTGAGCCTCCTCGGTCATTTACTTCTGTAGCGTTCCTTCCTCCTGCTCGTTCATTCATTCACGTGTTGATTCACCCCCCTGCTTTCTGATTCGGCCCTCGGGGTCCTGAGCTGCGCGGTCCTCCGTCCCCGATTTGTTGTCCATCCGTTTACTCCTTCATTCATTCATTGCTCCTCCTGCTCTCCAGTCCCGCCCTTCGTTCGCTAGGCCGCGCCAGCCTGCCTTCTCCGTTCGTTCTTCATTCACTCGGACCTCCTCCCGGCGCTGCTTCAGGGCACGCCAGGCAGGTTCCCGCTTCCGAGCCTTTGCATGTGCCCTCCGCGCGAGCATCCAGCCTCCGCGCTCACTTGCCCGGCGTGCTCCAAGCCCAGCGCTTCCTGAGACCACAACCCCCGCTGGGCATCTCCTGCGCAGCGCCCCTCCCCGTCTCAGTATTTTTTCATCCAGCCCCCAATGGGAGAGACACAGATAGTCACTTGTGACCGGTCGGGTATGAGAACCAATTGTTGGCGTGGGAGATGGGGCCTGACTGGGAAGGTGTGGCCACAAACCTTGGTGAGTAGGCATATTCCGGGGGGGGAAAGTGGAGGACAAGGCCTTCAGGCAGAAAAAGGGGACACACGGTCTGTGTGCGGACGGTGGGGAGGCTGGAGCAGTGAAGGCAATCGGGAACGACCTTCAGGGATTTGGATACTATCCCAAGATGGGCAGACTCCCAAAAGCAGGGAGACCCAGTTAGAGGGGACAGAGGACTGGGCAGCTCCGAAGCATAGGTCTTGGCTGGAGGGATATCCCTGCCAGGCTCCATCCTTAGAAACATGGGACTCCTGAAGGCAGGTCTTCTGATCTTTCAAGAAACAAAAAAGGGGGCGCCTGGGTGGCTCAGTCGTTAAGCGTCTGCCTTCGGCTCAGGTCATGGTCCCAGGGTCCTGCGATCGAGTCCTGCATCGGGCTCCCTGCTCGGCGGGGAGCCTGCTTTTCCCTCTCCCACTCCCCCAGCTTGTGTTCCCTCTCTCGCTGTGTCTCTCTCTGTTAAATAAATAAAATCTTCAAAAAAAAGAAAGAAACAAATAAGGATTTTTATTGAATTCTGATGACTTGTAAAAAAAACTTTTTTGAGATAATTATAAACACATCTGTAAGAAGTAATACAAATAGCTCCCATGTACCCTTTACCCAGTTTTGTCCAGTGGTAGCATTTTGCAAAACTACAGTGTGATAACCAAGATACTCAAATGGGAGTCAAGATAATGAATATCTCCACGGCCTGCGATTCCTCCTGTTGCCCCTTTAGCCACACCTACTTCCCTCCTGCCTCCACCTCCTCCTTAACCCTTGGTTTTCTGTTTTCTATTTCTACAATTTTGTCATTTCAAGAATGTTATATACATGTAATCATATAATAAGTAATCTTTTGAAATTGGCTGATGACTTTTTTTTAATTAACCCTTTTAATGTGTACAGTCACTGTTTTTTTAGTAAATTCACATTTTGTGCAACCATCACCACAGTCTAATTCCAGGACATTTTCATCACCCTAAAAGAAACTCCATCCCATTAATCAAACTCCCCATTCCTTCTTCCCCGGCTCCTGGCAGCCACTAATCTACTTCCTGTTTCTTACAGATTTGCCTATCCTGGACATTTCACATAAATAGAATCATACAATGTGAAGTCTTTCGTGTCTTGATTCTTTCATTTAGCATAGTGTTTTCAAGGTTCATGTATCTTATAGGATGTACCTGTGTTTCATTCCTTTTTATGGCAGAATAATGTTTGATTGTAGGTATCCACCACATTTTGTTTATCAATTCATCAGTTGATGGACATTGGCCTATTACCACTTTTTGGCTATTATGTTAATTATATATTATACATATATATGTATTATATATATTATAGTAATACTGCTATGACATTCATGTGCAAACTTCTGCATGGATACTTTTTTTTTTTTCTCCTCAACGTCTTGATATATTTAAAACTGACCAGGAGAAAGAAAGAGGAAGAGAGAAAAAGAAATGGGGGAAAGGTCAAATTCTCCTTAGCAACAGTTTCCTCACCCCTAGTACCAGCACAGATCTGTATTTTTAAAAAACTTGAAAATACACACAAGATTAAGGAGGAAAAAAAATGGAAAAAGGATACCCCGTGGTAGGTTGTATAGCTCTTTGTTTTCCTTTGTGTGCAAAAAAGCTGCCTGGACACATTTTCATTTTTTTGCGGGGGGCGGGGCGGGGTGGTAGATACCTAAGAGTAGAATTCCTGGGTCACTTGGGAACTCTGTCTTTAACTATTGAAGGAACTGCCAGAGTGTTTTCCACATAGGCCACACCATTTTACATTCCCACCAGCATCTGATTACTTTTTAACGTTGGAAACTCATTTAAATTTTTATTTTATTTATTTTTTTGAAGACTTTATTTATTTATTTGACAGAGAGAGACACAGCGAGAGAGGGAACACAAGCAGGGGGAGTGGGAGAGGGAGAAGCAGGCTTCCCGCTGAGCAGAGAGCCCGATGCGGGGCCTGATCCCAGGACCCTGGAATCATGACCTGAGCCGAAGGCAGACGCTTAACAACTGAGCCACCCAGGTGCCCCTCATTTAAATTTTTAAAAAAGCATGTTGGAAGGGGGCAGTCAAGTAAGATCTGTCTGCTAGCCAAATCTGGCTGTCCAGTTTGCAGACTTTAGTGTTCTGTGTGGGGGATGAATGGAGCCAAGTAGTTGAAGAAGCCAGGGCAGAGGCCCCTGAGAAGAGCAGGGAGGGAGGAGGGACCACAGACTGGGCACCTCCGTCTATCTCTCCAACACATGGACACACAGGTGGGGACACTTCTGGACTCACTGATAGATACAATCACCCAGACCCGCAGACCCCACTTATTCTCAGAGGGTCTTCGGGAGGGGCCTTCATGGCCTGGCTGTGCTCACAGGCTCCCCTTTGTGTCTCCAGGTCCAGAGGAAGTGCCTGGGGACATGTGGCTGCCCTGCCTGGGAAGGGGCATGATGGCTGCCCAGATGAGCAAGGCATCAGCTCTGGCCCCTGGGGTCCCAGTGGTGGGTGAGCCCAGCTCTGAGACCCCTGGCCAGCGCTTCTGGGGATTCTGCTACCAGGAGGTGGCAGGTCCCCGTGAGGCCCTGGCTGAGCTCCGGGAGCTGTGCCGCCAGTGGCTGCGGCCCGAGGCGCACTCCAAGGAGCAGATGCTGGAGCTCCTGGTGCTGGAGCAGTTCCTGTGTGCGCTGCCCCCTGAGATCCAGGCCCGTGTGGAGGGACAGCGGCCAGGCAGCCCTGAGGAGGCCGCTGCCCTGGTCAAGGGGCTGCGCCAGGAGCTGGCCAGGCCAGAACTCCAGGTGAAGGCCAGCTGGGTCGGGGCTGGGCCTGCTTCCTCCTGAGCCTGGCTTACAGTCCCTAGCTAGTGCTGGTGGAGCGGGGGCACTGTGGGAGAAGGATGGTGGGAGCTTGGTGGTCTTGGCTCAGACACCAGAGTTAGACTGATGCCCTCAAGTTCACACCTGGGTTTGTTCTCAGCACTGTGCTCAGGTCCTCAGAACGTAGGGAGGTGGGGGACACCAGGAAGAATAGAGAGTGCCATTGCGTGCCCCTTGTTTTCTCTGGACCTGTCTGGCCCAACACTCAGCCTGTCCTGCCTATCTTCCTGTCCCGAGGTCCCAGCCCCCAGTCCCCAGGAGGTGCCGGTCCCCAAGCAGAGGAGGAAGGGGAGCAGGAGGCTCCCCAAGGCCCTTTCCAAGCCCTAGTACCAGGTACAGCGCCCATCCGTGCGCTTGCTTCTACCTCATCCTGGCAGCTGACCTAGGCAGCTGGGGATGATGGGGGCCCCTGGGTTTTGCCTCGCTCTGGAGTGGGTGCATTGGAGCCCTGGGCTCTTTGACGATTCCAGTGTATTCGGAATGAGAGCACCAGCTGGGCTACAGACTCCACAAAGGACAATAAGGTGGTCAGGGGCACGTGGGGACGGGCTTTGCTTGCTGTAGAGACATTGCTGGGAGAAGGAGCAGCTGAAGGTGCAAGTGTGGCCTCAGGGCCAATGAAGCCCCTCTACCCTCCTGCCCTCAGCTCTCCCCCAGGGATCTGGCTGCACAGCCACCCCACCTTGTGGGTTTAGGCAGCTGGACCAGCCTGGTTGGACTGAGGCAGAGGCCTGATGTGGCCTAACATTGCCTGACAGCCACTGGGATTCCTCCATCCCTGGCCAGGCTGCCTATTGAATGGAGGGGACTGCTAGGGGTCAGGGCAGTGGTGAGGTGGGCAAGGAAGACAGACTCAGCCAGGGCTTGGGTCAGGCGGTCACCACAAGCCTTCTGGAGTGGAGATAGTTCATTTCTAGTGTTTCTACAAGGGACCAGGTCCATTTTCATCCTCCTAAACAGGTGTCCTCACTTCTCTGGTGCTTTATGACCCCAAGGGGGAGCAAGGAGATAAAAGCCAAGTCCTGGAGCTGCTTTGTGCAGAGTTGGAGATCAAAGCCCTGTGGGAGGCTACTGCAGATAAGGCAGGTGGCTTTTGAATCTTTCCACAACACCCCTTTCCACACTCACACCTCCCAGCACCCTGCTGCCCAGTCAGGTGCAGGGATGTGTGGGAAGTGACGCCATAGAGGCAGGCACAGTGGTCTCCTAGCACACCCCCATCATAGGCTGGGTTGTCAAAGCTCAACAAGGCCACGGTTTGACTCAGAGTTGGCCTGGGATGCTGCCTCTATGGGGGAAAGTTGGAGCATCTCTAGGCCCACCTGCCCTGTTTCCCTGTTCAGGCTGAAGAGGGGCCAGGGGCACCAGCTCAGGAAAGGTGGGCGTGATGGCCATGCCCCAATACAGCCAGCCCCAAGCTTTGCCCCTGCTCTAGATCTGTCAAAATCACATCATTCCTGAGACCCACTGGTCCCCTCTACCCCATTTCCCAAAGTTCTTTGAGCTCTCAGGCATTTGCTTTCTCTCTCTCCCCATTTCAGAGGACAGAAGCAAGGTCCAGTCCCCAGGACAGTGGGCCCAGCAGGTGGCTCTAGTGAATGCGACACTCCCTGGATTGTGCTGAAGACTGACACAACAGACCCCTCTGAGGGGGCTGCATCTGGAGGCCTGGGGGCCTGGGAAGACCCCACAGAGGCAGAGGACCAGGGGGCCTCCAGAGGGAAGCTGGAGCCTGCAGACGGTGGGAGAGACTGGGTGGGGACCAGGAGCATCCGAGAAGACCTGGTGCCAAGCCCCTTGCCTCTCCCCAGGGAGCCGGCCTGCCGGTGCAGTGAGTATGGCAAGGCGTTCAGCCAGAGTTCCTACCTGGTGCAGCACAGGCGAGTGCACACGGGCGAGAAGCCATACATGTGCACCGAGTGCGGCAAGGCCTTCACCTGGAGCTCCAACCTCAGCCAGCACCAGCGCATCCACACAGGCGAGAGGTCCTACGCGTGCCGGGAGTGTGGCAAGGCCTTCTGCGTGCACTCGCAGCTCATCCACCACCAGAAGACGCACAGTGGCGTGAAGCCCTTCCGCTGCCCAGACTGTGGCAAGGCCTTTGGCCGCAGCACTACACTGGTGCAGCATCGTCGCACACACACGGGTGAGAAGCCCTATGAATGCTCCGAGTGCGGCAAAGCCTTCAACTGGAACTCCAACTTCCTGGAGCACCGGCGTGTGCACACGGGTGCACGGCCCCACACCTGCTCTGCCTGCGGCAAGGCCTTCAGCCAGAGCTCCAATCTGGCGGAGCACCTGAAGATCCACGCGGGCACACGGCCGCACGCATGCTCCGATTGTGGCAAGGCCTTCCTGCGCGTGGCGGGCCTGCGGCAGCACCGGCACACACACACAGCGGCGAGAGGCCCTTCGCCTGCGCGGAGTGTGGCAAGAGCCTCCGCGAGAGCTCGCAGCTGCTGCAGCACCAGCGTACGCACACGGGCGAGAAGCGCTTCGAGTGTGCAGAGTGCGGCCAGGCCTTCCATCATGGGCTCCAGTCTGGCTGAGCACCAGCGCGTACACACCGGCGAGAAGCCCCACGTGTGCTCCCAGTGTGGCAAGGCCTTCAGCCAGCTCTCCAACCTGCTCAGCCACAAGCGCATCCACTCTGGTGCCAAGCCCTATGCCTGTGCCGACTGCGGCAAAGCCTTCAAGGGCAGCTCGGGCCTGGCACACCACCGGCACGCGCACACCGGCGAGCGGCCCTACGCCTGCCGCGACTGTGGCAAAGCCTTCCGCGGCAGCTCGGAGCTGCGCCAGCACCAGCGCGTGTACTCCGGACAGAAGCCGTTCGTCTGCGCCGATTGCGGCAAGGCTTTTGTGCGCAACTCCGAGCTCGTGAGCCAGCGGCGCACGCACACGGGCGAGCGGCCCTATGTGTGTAGTGTGTGCAGCAAGCCCTTCAGCCACCGCTCCAACCTCAGTGAACACCAGAAGCGACACGCGGTTGGTGCCGCGCCCTGACTCTGGGATGCCCCTGGGAGATGGTGAGGCTGGGCCAGCTCGGTGGCGCGCGAGGCACAGGACGTGGCCATCGTGCATCAGGATGAGCAGCGTCGTGTAAAATCGCCACCCCCAGGCCCTCCCCCCTCCCCCCATGTGGGCTGCATGTGCTGGAGCACAGGGGCAGCCACAATTGGGGCAGAGGATTAAGCCGTTAAAACAGCCCCTGGGACGATGGGAGTCTCACCTGGTGGCCCCTGGGGCCTGGCTGTGGATGCATGGCGGGGAGGTGATTCACAGGGTAAAGGCAGTGAATTTCGGTGCTGGGAGGGGTGCATCCGTGCAGAGACTGGAGGCTGCCACCAGCGTGGTGGGTCCCCAGGAACGAGGGCTAGATGAGTCCCCTCCCCTGCTTCCCCTCCACCTCAGCTGGATCTGAGGTTGCACAGATTTTTTGTTTTAAGCCAAGGGCCAGAAGGTCAGAGGCCTTGCTCTGGGACCCTGGTGAGCAGCAGGAGGCCTAGGGCAAAGGGGAAGAGTGGGGGTGGTCCTGCCATCCTCTCCTCCCAGGTGCTTCCCCCCACGTACCCCTCCCTCCTGTTCTCTCCACAGTTGTGGCATCCAAGGCACTCTCCTCCCAGAGGGGTGAGCACCAGCTCCATCTAGCACCCTCACCAGACCCTCTCTGGAAGGTGGTGTGTCTGTGTCTCCTCTCTGGAATGCGGTGGGGGACATGCTCCGTCTGCACAGGACTGCTTCTCTGGCCTGGCCACCACTGCCCTTCTCGCTTCCCATGCCAGGATTGTCCTGGCCTGCCCCACTGTGTGCTCTGGGGTCTCCCCTGGCGTCTGCGGGTTTGACGGTCTTCCCGCCTCCACCACCATTTTAGGGAGCCTCCTTCTGCCCTCAGCTGCCACTGGATGTGCTGTGCTTCCTTCTGCTCCTGGGTCTGGGATCAGCAGACTCCAGCATAAGCTTGTGAGAGAAGCAGGGAGAGGGCATGCGTGGAGCTACAACCCTGATTAGTGAAACCTTTGTAGCTTGCAAAGTTCCTTCTCACCTTGTCTCCAGAGTGGAGCCCCAGAGGGGACCAGATAGACCTGAGGACTCGCAGCTGATGAGGACCCTGTTTGGCTGTCTGCCGGGGTAGCAATGTCTATCACAAAGGTCACTGAGCATCCGTATCCAGTGCTTTGCAGGGACTTCTCCACCTGCACCCTGAGTGCTGAGTTGGGAGGCTTCAAGCTGGCCCCCGGTGAGGGGAGAAGAGGCTGGTACAGAGAGCCCAAACCTGACCACTAGTATCTCCCTGCAACAGGGCGGGAGGAGCATCTGGCCCACTTGATGGGTGGGAGGTGAGCCAGAAGGGGGCTGTCTCAGGTAAGAGGCAGGCCGATAAATCACCCTCCCTCGGGATTTTGAGGGAATTGATTAGTTAGCTTTGTAAGGCTGAAAGAACACAAGTGAATACTGGAAACCCAGAGATGGATAACCACAGAGCACTCACTACCTCTAGGGCTGGGGTGCAAAAGAGAAGGGGTGGATTTACAAGGGCCTAGGGGCTGGGGGAGGGGCTTGGGCCTCTGAGAAGCCTGGACCATGACTATTGCTGGAACTTTGAGGGTGCGCAGGAGAGACTGCTTTGAAACTAGCATTATATTCTGTTCTATCCAGTGGCATCATTGGATCTTCTGGGCAATAGGGCCCAAGGGCCAAAGCAGCCTGCTTTGTATCCAGGACCTGCTGCATGGGCCCCACACAAAACTGCAGTTGAAAACAGATTGGAGCAGCACACTGAGGTATACATGTTGTGTCCAGGGTTCAGAGGCCTCCTGTATTGTATTTTTATTTTTTTAAGATTTTATTTATTTATTTGAGAGAGAACACACAAGCAGGGACAGCAGGAGAGGGAGAAACAGACTCGCCGCTGAGCAGGGAGCCCAATGTGGGGCTCAGTCCCACGACACCAGGATTACGACCTGGGCCAAAGGCAGCTGCTTAACCCACTGAGCCACCCAGGCGTCCCATGCAACTCTTGATGTTAGGGTTGTGAGTTCAAGCCCCACGCTGGGTATATAGATTACTTAAAAGTAAAAATAAAAGTCTTTTAAAAAAAATTCTCTGTCTCTTGTCTTTTCCTCTGGGTGCTTTGTAGCCTTCTGGAAGAAGAGCAGGCAGTGGGTTGGGCATTGGTTCCGGTGCTTGTGCTTGGAGGAGGGGGTGTGGATTTAGGATTTCTAGAGTCTGCCTATTTCCTCCTTTTCCTCATTATTCTGACCATTGGGAAGGGGGTCAGGTGTCTTAAATTTTTGTTCATCTGTACCTCTTTGGACCATCAATCTGGTCCCTTCCTATGATGCATCTTTATTATGGAGTAACATAAAAGTCTGAATGTAGGAAATTTTACCCCAGATCATGTGAACTTGAAAAGCATTTGGGTTACTTTTTATTCTTTTGAGTTTTAAAATGCCCAATTTTCACAAGCACTTGCTTTTAAACCAATTAAATAGAGCTCCTCTACAAATCAGTTGTAGCAATACCATCCAGAGATAGAGAAAATACCTCACATTTATAACACACATAGATACATGTACACAAGATGCAAACAAAATTTAGCCTTTGTTTCACTATTATTTGTGCAGAGGACATTAAAGACCCAATTTCCAAATATCCCCTTTTTATTAAATCTAATTGTAAGATAGCATTATAATTTATGGATCCATTTATTAGTTATTTTCCATTTCCAGTTAGGACATGGCTGGTTGTGTGCAAAGATACCAAAAGCTGTAGCAACAAACAAACCAAATAAAGCCCAGAGTACCTCTGGGATTGCTGTTCTTCCCCAAAAGTTGGGGACTTCACTGACTCAACCAAATGGCTTCCGAGTTTCTGGTTACTTAGTCTTATAGTTGGCTTTCTTTAATTGTGCACACAAAAAAACCTAATTCAGACATGTCAAAAGAACCCCGCTGGGGCCGTCTGAGACTCCAGTTATCCTTACCTTTTCCCACGGAAGTAAGCACTTGCAAGTATAGGCTCTGTATGTATGTACAGATAGCCTGCCTGAATTTCCCACGGGGGCTTATTGGTTTTCTGGGTGTTGTTTTTGCTTTTGAAGCACAGTTCCCCATTCCTTTTAGTTTTGGTTTTATTTTTAGAATAAGGCTTGAATAAGATCTAAGGATATTAAGAGTGGTGGATCGGGAGGGTGCTGCTTGTGAGTGTTACTTCCAAATGGCCGTAATACACTCTGTGTCTCGGTTTCTCCTTGTAAGGTCTAGGACCATTGAGGGGCTCAGAACACTGCATGATCAATCCTTATGTGTACATCCCTGGATGAGCCAATCATTAATCACTTTATGAGATGGGAAATTCCTATGGGACTGCTGCATGTCTGAGGATATCTTCAGACATTTCTGCTAGGCTTTCATTCACCTGAAAGCACCATTTAACTCGAAGGAGCAAGCGTCCCTTCTCTTTGGAGCTGAGTATTCACTCTCTCATATCTCTATCGAGAAAATTTACTCAAGCCTTATATATTAATAACATCCATTAGTATAATGCCAAATTAAAACAACCAACCCATCAACTTCCCCTCCTCCCAGGTTGTTCCCACCTAAAGGACATTACCGGTAACCTTTAACAGTTCAAATAAAAATCAGGACTGTTCACTCAAATTGAAGAGGTCCAGATATCAGGACCTCACCAGATACACCTGTGAGGTGCTGGGAGCTAGAGGGGCACAGAGGGCCCGTGCTTGTGCCAAGCGCTGAGTTCTAGATGATCCCCAGGTGTTCTCAGGCAAGTTGCTCTGATATCTTGTTGACTATGCCAAGAAATGATGCAAAATGAACAAACCCTTTAAAAATTTTTAAAGAGAAAGGAAAAGAGTTTTATTTGAGCCCAAGTTAGGGCAGGTGTCCAGGACACAGTCTGCACAAAGAAGAGAGTGCTCTGGGGAAGGAACATGTGGCTCCGGGATATATAAGTTTTTTACAAAAAGACTTACGGGGCACCTGGGTGGCTCAGTCAGTTAAGTGTCTGCCTTTGGCTCAGGCCTGATCCCAGGGGCCTGGGATAAGCCCAGAGTGCCCTCAGCGGGGAGCCTGCTTCTCCCTCTGCCTCTCCCCCACTGGTGTGTGCTCTCTCCCTCTCTCAATCTCTCTCTTAAATAAGTAAATAAAATCTTTTAAAAAATGAGTTACAAATCATCATGATGAAGGACATTCCAGAAAGTTTCAGACTTTATCTTATGTTTTTAGTTGTGCAAGTCTGTATGACTTTAAATCTTATGGGACCCAGGGAGGGTTTTTGTTTTTCTTATCTTTGCGTTTGGAATGCTCCTTTTTTGTTCTTGTTGTTTTAATGAAGCAGACAAACAGTGTGTGCTCAGGGCAGAAGTACAGCCCATGCTTTGAGGTTTTGTGTGGTCATTTTGATCTTAGTCAATGTTAAAGTATAGCCTCTCTGGGAGCCCTGGAGCAGGGCCGACAAACATTAAAAATTGAAAATTTCCCTGATCAGTTAGTATTTATTACATTATTTGAATTTAATTTTTATTTTAAAATTGTATTTCTCATATTTTAAGTCATTTCACTTGCTAATGTTATTTGTTGTTTGCTATTTTATTATATTATTTTTTAAATTATCATTTTTATTATTTATTGCTTAGTTTATTAATTACGCATAATTATTGATTATGGTTATTGATGAGGCTCCCAAAGGCCTTGGAGTTTTGCCCTTTGTCCCCAACCCCTGCAGGCCCCCCCTTCTGGGAAGGATAAATAATAGGGAAGAGGTCATTGCCCCTTGCTGCCCCTTTGCCGCCCTCGCCCTTGCTTGGGCTTTATCACCCCAGACACTCACCGACTGGAGCAATGCTGGCCATCATGTCCATACTTGGGGCCTTCCTGATGCTCTGGGGTGAGGTTGCTGGGGCTGGGGTCCCTTGCGGCAGGAGGGAGGAGGAGGGATAGGAATGGGGACCTCACAGGTGCCGTCTCCACAGGTCTCTCACTGGGCCCAGCAACCGAGGGAGCCATAGGTGAGTCTGGGTTGGGTCTTGGGGGAAGGTGGGCATCTGCAGAGGTGAGCCCCTGTCCTGGGGCCCAGCATTGACCTCCACCTGCCACGCAGCATTCGAGACCCGGCCGAACCTGTGGGCAGAGGCCGAATCGTTGCTGGAGCCCCGGGCCAACTTGACACTGACATGCCAGGCCCGCCTGATGACCCCGGATTTTGAGCTGTTCAAGGATGGGGTAACCCAGGAACTTGTGCACCTTGATTTACCTGCCATGGAGCACCAGTTCCCACTAGGAGCAGTGACAAGTGACACCCGAGGCCTCTACCGCTGCCGCTCTGCCTTGAACGGCGGATGGACCCAGTTGAGCAACCTCCTGAAGGTGACTGGAGCAGGTGAGCAGGGGCTTTAACGGAGCCACAAGACAGTGGGGAGAGGGCTGCTGGATAGGCCTGACTTCCTCCCTTCCTCCTCCTCACTCTCCTGATCCTATTTTTCTGACATGGAGGTGTGGGTGGCTGGGGTGGGGGGGGGTCCCTGAGCAGCTACGTGGCCTTTGGCAAGTCATCTGACATCTCTGATCCTGTTTCCTCATCTGTAAAATGAGGATGATGTTTGCACTGATCCCAGAAGGTTGTGAGGAATAAATGACTGAATCCCCAGAAGGTGCTTGGGAAAAGCCTAGCACATTCCCCTTAACATATCTTCTTCTTGTTTAATGCCCCTGTCCCCTCCTGTCCCTGCCTCCCTTCCCTTTATCAATGTCTTCCATTTCCCTGGCTCCCTCATATTTCCTTCCTTCCTTCCTCCCTCCCTCCCTCCCTCCCTCCCTCCCTTCCTTCCTTCTTTCTTTCTTTCTTTCAGATTTATTTATTTATTTATTTTTAAAGATTTTTATTTATTTTATTTGAGAGAGAGAATGAGATAGAGAGAGAGCGTGAGAGGGGAGAGGGTCAGAGGGAGAAGCAGACTCCCTGCTGAGCAGGGAGCCCGATGTGGGACTCGATCCCGGGACTCCAGGATCATGACCTGAGCCGAAGGCAGTCGCTTAACCAACTGAGCCACCCAGGTGCCCCTCAGATTTATTTATTTTAGAGAGGGAGAGAGAGAGAGAGCACTGCGTGGGGGGGAGGAGCAGAGGGAGAGGGAGAGAGAATCCTTAAGCAGACTCCCCACTGAGCACAGAGGCGCCCCCCCTCCCCCCGCCAGATCATGACCTGAGCCAAATCAGGAGTCCGAAGCTCAACTGACTGAGCCGCCCAGGCTCCGCTCCTTCCCATTTACATGAGTGTGGAGATCCTAGTCTGGCTGGGTCTTGCACGTCTCCCAAGTCATTCAGAATGACCCATCAAACCGGCTCCACCCACAGAGTCCCTACCCCCACCTTTGCTCTCAACTGAGCCTGTGTCCTGGATCACACCGGGTCTGAAGATGAAACTGCTATGCCATGGGGGATATCGTGGTGTGACCTTCCTGCTGAGGCGGGAAGGCGATGATCAGTTTTTAGATGTGGCTGAGGCCCCTAAAGATGCAGAGGCTACCTTCTCAGTCCATCAGCCTGGCAATTACAGCTGCAGCTACAGGACCCACGAAGCAGGTGCATCCTCTGAGCCCAGTGCTACTGTAACAGTGGAGGAGCTGGGTGAGTGTGTTGATCATCCCAGAGGGCTTCCTGGGGTAGGAGGTTCCTGGAGGACAGAGCTGCATTTACCTTGATCCCCAACCCTGAATACCCTCGCCCAGGACTAGGTCTGGAAAACAGTGGTCACACAGTTGGGTGGATCACAGCTGACCTGAACACTGACACTGCGGCAGCTCGGGGGTGGGGAGGTGGGGAGGTGGGGGGGTGGGGGGTGGGAGTCTGGGGAAGGGCCTGGCTGACCATAGCTTTCTCAGAAACAGTCCCACAGCGGGGTTATCCAGGACTCTAGCCCCAGCGACCCTCCCTGACTTGCAGAAGCACCGTTGCCACCCACGCTGAGTTTCCTGGGAGAGTCTGCAGGTGTCCTGCCCCGGGGCGCCGGCGCGAACCTCCTTTGCGTGGCGCCCCTGAGCGGCGTGGAATTCCAGCTTCGGCGGGGCGAGGAGGAGCTGCTGGTACCCAGGAGCTCCAGCAACCCAGACAGCATCTCCTTTCACCTGAACGCGGTGGCTCTAGGAAACGGCGGTCTCTACACCTGCCGCTATCGGCTGCGAGCCGAGCAAACCTGGTCCTCTGACAGTGCACCTGCCGAGCTGCTGCTGAGCGACGGTAAGCCTCGCAGCCACAGGCTGGGACATGGGCATGGGGCTGGGAGGGCGACAGCGCTCTGCTCCCCGGGCGGGGAGCGGGAGGAGGGACCCAGGGGAGGGTTCCCTGGAATTGCAGGGCTCTAGTTGGAGCCCAATCCCAACTCATCCGCCCGGCCTCAGTTTCCCCAACTGAGAATGGGACAATGAGCTCAGCATCCCCAAGGCTCCAATAAGAATAACTGGGTCAACACGCAAGTCTGGCACAGGCCGTGCAGGCGCCTGCCACCTGCCGGGGGTCCCCTCCTGTTTCCCGGGTCTGGGTGGGCGCCCGAGGCCAGTTTGTTGAAGGGAACCAGGCTGGGGCTGTTAAAGGGAGCCAGGCCTGTTGCAGGGCCTGCCAAGGACCGGGAGCGACGACCCCAAGAGAGGATCCCGGCCAGCTGCAACCGCATGTCCTGGGCTTGGTGACAAAACTCGACGCCTTCCCCACGTCTATTTTTATGGACAAACTAATAAGGAATATAGTTTTGGACTGTATGTGAGGGATCCGGTAAGGTCTGGAGGGTGGTACAGTTTTAAGCGGAGGGGGGCCGGCGGACTCCTTCAGGCAGAAGGCGCGAGGCTGGATCGCATGTGAGGCCCAAGCCTTCCCCTCCGCGCCCGGGCCAGCCAGTGTCCTCCCCACAGAGACGCTTCCCGCGCCGGAGCTCTCGGCCCACCCCGCGACTCTGCGCCCCGCGCCCGGCACGCTGGTGCAGCTGCGGTGCCGGGCTCCCCGGGCCGGCCTGCGCTTCGCCCTGGTGCGCGAGGACGCCAAGCGCCGAGTGCACCGTGTCCTGAGCCCCGCGGGGACAGAGGCCACCTTCGAGCTGCCGCACGTCTCGGTGGTGGACTCCGCCAACTACAGCTGCGTCTATGTGGACACGGCGCCACCCTTCAAGGGCTCGGCGCCCAGCGCGCACCTGGAGCTGCGCGTAGACGGTGAGCGGGCGGGGGCTCCCAGCCGTGAGCAAATGAGGGTGCCCCAGGGAAGTGCACCGGGCCTTGGTCCTGCCCGCACAGCAAACCCTTCGGGCCGATGGAATTTCGGCTGCCGATGGTCTGGGGGCACCTCGCATTTGCCTTATTTCCGGGGCTCTCTGCCGGGAACACCGTTTCCCTTGGCCATTTCTTCCTTTCCCCACACCTGTCCCGAGGCCCTGACTGCCAAATGCTGGGTACTCCAGGGAGTCTCAGAGCAGGCCCTGGTCTAGGGAACTTGCGAGGTCTTGGGGGAAGAGGGTGACGGAGGATAAGAGGAGGAACCCTGTCTGTTCAGGACCAGGAGAAGGAAAGGTGTGTGAGGTCGAAGGGTAGCATCCTGGGGGGATGGAGCAGCCAGCCGGCCTGGGTTTAGTGGGAGGCAGGAAGGCGGAGGGGGGCTGGGGCAGCTCCTACCTGAGGGGAGGGCCTCACTTGACTGACCGGCTGCTCTGCCCAGGACCCCCTCCCAGGCCACGGCTCTGGCCCCTGTCGAGTGGGGCAGTGGTTCCCGGCCATGATGTGGTCCTGCGCTGCGAGAGCCAGGTGCCCAGCGTCATGCCCAGGGTCATCTTCGAGCTGCTGAAGGCAGACGAAGAGGAGCCTTCAACCAAGCTCTGGTCCAGCCACGCTTCAGCAGACCTTGTACTGACCTATGTGGGGCCCCAGCATGCAGGCAACTACAGCTGCCGATACCGCTCATGGTCACCCAAACCCTTCGTGTCTGAGCTCAGCGACCCGGTGGAGCTCCAGGTGGCAGGTGAGCCTTTCCTCTGGTTCCGTGAGCTGGGTTCCTCTTTCTGGCCTTTGCCCAGATTGTGTCCTCTACCAGGAGGGCCCCTTCCTTGCACCTCCTCCCGGGACATTGGTTAGTGTGCCTAGTCTGCTGGGGTTATGAGGGAAATTACAGGCAGGGAGAGGACACATGCAAAGGCCCTGGAGCAGACTGTGGTTTGGTCAGGTAGACACCTGGACAGAGGCCTAGGTGTGGGGGGGGGCAGGGGGGGGTCTTGGCTGGCAGCTGATCAAGCTACTTCCTTCCTGAGGGGCCTCAGTGAGGTCTGCCCTGATTTCACCAGGGAGGAGGACACATGATGCCCCCCTCCCCTAACATTTCTCTTTTGTCAAATTTGTCTAGGAAGTTGATCCAGCTGCAGACTCAGGCTGCTAATGGTATCTTTGGCAAATAGTTTCTCCAGTCTGGCTCCGATCCCTCATGCTGCAGCTAGAGGCTGGACTCCCCCTGAAAGTGCTGAACTGTCCCTCATTCTTCCTGGAAATTAATAAAAATGTGAAGAGACTTTAAAAGGTGTCCTTGGCTAATGGCAGCCCTGGGGCAGGGGGCTGTACTTCCAGGGCTGAGGGAAGTGGGCTGGGATCTTGTGTCCTAAAGGTGGATGGGCTCTGGGTTGGATCCTGAGGATATAGGGCCAAGGATTGGCTACTTAGGGCCACATTTTTCAAGATTGCCTTTTGCTTTCTTCAAGCTGCCTCCTACTCCCCAGGCACCCCTGCCTGGTCCCCAGCAGGTCTGGGTAGATAGCTCTCCAGACATACCCAACCCCACCTTGACCAAATTGGTCCCCACACTGGGAGGCACTTCAGAGAGGCTGCATTTTGTAGTTTTGTTTTCTGGACTGAGTGGCCACCAGCTGGTGGTGCTGGAGTCTGTCCCCAAAGGCTAGGTCTCTCACATTGGAGATTGAAACTGTTGTAGGGTTGGGACTCCTCTTTATTCCTTCCCACTTCCCCACAGATCTAAGGCCCTTTGCCCCACCCAGTATCCCGCTGGACATTTCATTGCCCAGTCCACTTAGAGCTTGGTTCTCAAGGTACAGGCATACCAGTAGGTGTGTATCAGCATTATCAACTAATACTTGATAAATATTGTTTAAGGAATTTGCCTATTTCATCTGATTGGTCTGATTTACTGGTATAGAGTTGTTTACGACATTCCTTTATTCATTTAATGCCTACAGGGTCTGTAGTGATGTCACCTCTTTCATGCTTGATACTGTGTCGCTTCTACCGCACCCCCCACCCACTTCTTCCCCTCTGTCAGTCTAGCTAGGGGTTTATCAATTGTATTAATCTTTTCAAAGAACTAATTAACTTTTGGATTTGTTCATTTTTTCTATGGTCTCTTTTCTACTTTGTGGATCTCTACTTGTATCATTATTATTCTCTTCCTTCTACTTCTGAATTAATTTGTTCTTTTTCACTTTCTTCAGGAAACACAGATCATTGATTTCTTGGGGGTAAACATCAGTAACAGCTCATTATTAGACTTAAAAACAAGTCTGTATTAGTTTAAATAACAGGAAATTACCTCTTTGTGGATAAAAAATAATTGGCAGTATTTAAATACTGGCAACTTCATCAGTTATATCCAGTTGGTAAGTGGTGTTTAGTTCTTCTGTATCCTGATTTCCTATCTACTTGTTTTGTTGATTTTAGAAAGAGGAGTGTAGAAGTCTCCAATTATAATTATGAATTTATTATTTTCTTCCAGTTCTATCAGTTTTTGCTTCCTATATTTCAGGGCTTTGTTGTTAGATGCATACATATTTAGAATTGTTATGTCTTCTTGGTGGATTGACCTTTATCATTATGTAATGTCCCTCTTTATCCCTGGTAATTTTCCTTGTTCTGAAGTCTACTTGGTATGATATTAAAATAGTCACTCTAGCATTCTTTGGTTAATTTTTGTATTATATATCTTTCTCCACCCTTTTATTTTTTCAATTAATTTTTTTGAGTATAGTTGACATGTTACATTAGTTTCAGGTGTACAACAGTGATTTGACAAGTTTATACATTATGCTATGCTCACAAGTATAGCTACCACCTGTCATCACACAACACTATTACAATGTCATTGACTATATTCCTTATGCTGTGCCTTTTATTCCTGTGACTTATTCATTCCATAACTGGAAGACTGCATCTCCCACTCCCCTTTAAAACTTACCTATATCATTATATTTATTTTAAATTTTGTACACTAATGAGATATAATGTATATGCATTAAAATATACAAATCTCAAATATATTACTGAATGAATTTTGATACTCTCCCCTCTTTATGTTGTAGTCATATATACTATATCAACATACATTGAAAACTCTACCAATGTTATAAATCTTGTTTTCAAGTCAGGTATATCTTTTTTTTTTAACACTCATGTATATCTTAAAGATCAAATATTTGCAATGTGTTACTCTTTCTTCATTACTAAAATTTCCATTTTCCTTCTGTTATCACTTCCCTTCTATCAAAACAACCCTTTTCGCCTGCTGGCAAGATTGTTAGTTTTGCATCATTTGAAAATGTTTTTACTTTGCTCCCCTTCTTGATGTGTATTTTCATTGGATATAGAATTTTGGATTGACAGGGTTTTTTCCAGCACTTTAAACATGTTGTTTCTCTGCCTTCTGGCTTTCACTATTTCTGACAAGAAACCCATAATCTTTTGCATTGATCTTTATAGGATGCATAGTTTTTCACAGACTGTTTTCAAAATTTTTAAAATTTGTTTTCACAAGTTCAATTATGATGTGTCTAGGCATGGATTTCTTTGAGATTATGCTGTTTTGGTTCACTGAGCTTTCTGAACCTGTAAATTGAGACCTTTTGCCAAATTTGGTAAGTTTCCAGTAATTATTTCTTCAAATATTCTATTATTACAAAGAATGTGGTAGCATTTCCAACTACATGTATGGTCTTATCAGTTTCTGTGATTCTGTTCCCTAATAAGGATGTCATGAGCTCTCTGGTTTCAAACTATCACATCTTCCTAATGCATTGTTCCTTTTTATAAACAAAACAAAACAAAAATAGTGATCCTATGACCCTAATAATGCTTTTCTGTGTCAACATCTATTTTGTTGAAATAATATAGCTCTGTTGTCTTTCTTCAGATTCATGTCTGTCTTGAATATCCTTTGCTATTCCTTTACCCTCAACTTTCCCATTTTAGATGTGTTTCTTCTAAAGAACATATGTCTGGATTTGAAAGAAATCCAATGTTAGTATTTGTCTTACTTAGTTTGCTGAATATAGTTGTGCTTATTGAAATTGCTGACATATTTGGATAGGCTTTCAAATCTCAGTGCTTCCAGTCTCTGGCAGTATAAACTTGGCCACGTCCCTTCCTCTATAAAATGGGGATGGTCATTCTGCCCTCAGAGTGTTGTGAGATGATGTACATAAATTATTTGGCAGACTGAAAAACACACGTAGATCCTTTTTTTTTTTTTTATACATGTAGATCCTTAATGATTCCTTTTCCCCCTGACTTCCTCCCCCTTCAGACAAACATGGGAAAACACATATCTCATGACAAAATGGGTGCTGGAGATGCTCAGAGAACCAGGGGGTGGAGATTCAGCTTTTCAGTGCCAAAGCCCAGGAAAGTAGGGGCAGAAAGAGGTGGAGATGGATACTACAAGCCAGTGGCCAGGCCCTGGGTTGGGTGTTAAACAAGACAGGTCATCTAATTCCTGCTTTACAGATGAGCAGGTCACTGAGGTTCAGGGAAGTCACTTATCTGAGGTCCCAAAAGCAGCCTGGGGAGGAGTGGGGCTCTGCAGACTGACTTTAGGCCCACATCTTTTCCCCTGCCTGCAGGCTTGTTGGAGGCCTGTGTGATCATTTCACTAGGAATGTGTATCTCTCATCTCTGAGCTTTTCCTTATGTCTGTCAACTTTCTCTGAGTCTCTCAGCCCTGGTCTCACTATGAGTGGCTGTCTGCCTGTGTGTCTGTATATCTGGGACTTTCTCAGAGATATTGACACAAGATCTCTGTTTCCCTGGGTCTCAACCTTCCTGTTCTGAACCTCACTCCTTGGTCTGTGTGACTCTGTTTACTTGTGACACAGAAGGGATGAGTTCAAGACACAGGGAGAAACACAGAGATGGTGACAATGAACAGTAAAAAAACAGTATGGTAGGTCAGATGGTTAACATGTGATGGGATCATCAGAGAAAGAGAGGAAGAATGACACCCTGATAGTTAAGAACAGAGGCTGTGACATCCAGTTACAGACATGGACCCTGAAAGACAGCCAGGGATACAGAACTGTGAGAGAAGGTCAGAGAGCACTGACAGCATGTTGGCAACCACTGAGTCCAGGGAGATTCTGGGGTGATAGAAAGGGCAGACTCAATATGGTAACATTTTATTGAGGCCACTGTATGCCAGGCTTGTCTGAGTGCTGGAGCTCTGGGAAAATCAATTGTTCTTGCCCTGCTGGGTGTTGGGGAGACAGCAATGTAGACCTATAACAGGTTGCAGGGTGCAGCATGGTGACTGCCTCCAGGAAGGCATCAGTCACAGTATATTCATTCAACAGACACTGGTCAGAGCCTATTGCATCCTGTGCTATGGATATTGAGAATAAGACATGGCCCCTGCTCTTGGAAGCTCACAGTGTCTTTGGGAAACACAGACTGCAAGCTCTGCAAGGAGTAAATACAACATGGTAGGAAGTTAAAGAGAAGTTAAGGAGGTGCTCTGGAAGCAGAGAAGGCAAGTTGAAGTCTGCTCAAGGAAGTAGGGGAGGCTTTGTTAGGGAGGGATATGTGAAACAGGTGGGAGGAAAGAGGAGAGGTTTCCAGGCACAGGTACAGAGGCACGTAGGTGGGAAAAATATGGCTTCTTCAGGAACAAGTAGTTCCACATGGCTGGTGTGTGGAAGGTGGGGTTACTACAGTAGATGAGGCTGGGGCCAGGTCACAAATGATGATGAATGGCAGGTGAAGGAGTTTGATATATATCCCACAGGACAGTACTTTGAAACCATTTTTCACATCACTGCACACACAGAAAAATGACAATATTCACACGCACATACAAGGGTACCTGGAGAGGTTATTTGGGGCCAAGACTTATGTCTTGGCATACTTGTAACCCATTCAGGAAGCTTTGCCACAGAAGGTGATGCACTGGAGAGCTTTCCACTATGGAGGGACACAATCAGGCTTGGATTGCACCACCCTCTGGAGGCTGGTGTGGAGAATGAAACAGTGGGGGAGGTCAGGGGAGAGAATGAAGGTAGGGGACCCCAGCTGAAATCTAGATGAGAGGTGATGAGGGCTCAAAGAAGGTGAGAATAGTAAAGACAGATTAGAGGTGAGTTTTTGATAAAACCAACAGGGCTGATGGCTGGTGCGACATAGAAGGAGAAGGCAAGGAGAAACAGATGCTGGGCAAGCATCATGCCACACCCTTGATTAGGGAGAATGTGAGAGAGACTGAGGGCCTGGAGAAGGCCTCATAGAAGAGGCAGCTTCACAGGTTGGCCTTGGAGTTAGACAACAATAGGTGGAGCGAAAGAGTATGTGTGAAGGCACAGAGGTGGGCATGGGCTGGCATCCCTCCTGGGCTAAGCGGGAGAGGAAAAGGCAAGGAGAGCAGCTACATGGGAACATGAAGCTGGAGCCTTTCTGTCCAGAGCATCTTGGGACCATTGAGTCCTAACAGAAACTTCACCCCAATTGACCTGACTCTGAAGACCAATCCAAGTCCTCAGCTCAGCTGTCTTTTCTCCGAGATGGGCCTCAGTGGGGTATGGAGGGAAGTAGGATTCTTCTGGAAGCTTCTCCAGCTAGCCTGAATAGCTTTGTGTTCATCAGGCGCCTCCATCTGGGTCTCCAAATGCAGAGTTGTTGCCAGACAGCCCCAGAGTCTGCCCTGAAGCACCGTATCACTTTAGGGTACTATCAATCACTTACCCTGATCTTTGTTCTTTTGGAACTTAGGGTTTCTCTTAGATGTTGAGCCTCTGAGAGGAAGTTGTTCTATGTCCCAAGGGCTTTCTTTGGTTACTGCAGTACTGTAATGTGGATCCTCAGGTGAACCATGAGGGCTGAGCTGCGGCTAAAGGCCTTCCCACAGTCACTGCACTTGTATGGCTTCTCTCCTGTGTGGATCCTCTGGTGCTCAATGAGGGAGGAGCTCTGTGCAAAGGCCTTCGGACAAATCTTACACTGATATGGCTTCTCTCCGGAGTGGATTCTCAGGTGGCGTATTAGAGCTGAGCAGTCACTGAAGGCTCTCCCACAAGTGTCGCACTTGTAGGGCTTCTCCCCAGTGTGGATGCGCTGGTGCTGAGTCAGGTGGGTGCTCTGACTGAAGGCCTTCCCACACTCATCACACTCATAGGGCCTCTCCCCTGTGTGCACCCGCTGGTGTTGAGTGAGATGGGTACTGCGGCTGAACGTTTTGCCACATTCCCCGCACTTGTAGGGTTTTTCTCCAGTGTGGATCCTCTGGTGCTGAGTTAGGTGGGTGACCCGGCTGAAGGCCTTCCCACACTCTTTACACTCATGGGGCTTTGCACCCGTGTGGATGACTTGATGCTGGGCCAAGTGAGTGCTCCGGCTGAAGGCTTTCCCACACTCACTACAGGTGTAGGGTGTCTTCCGAGAATGGCTCTTCTGGTGTGTCTCGAGGGCTGAGGGGCTCTGGAATGTTTTCCCACATTCACTACACTTGGAAGACTTCCTCCCTGAGTAAATGCACGGAGGCTCTGTCCTATCAACATCCACTGGATCAAATTTCTCTTCTGGTGTCTTCTCTTGTGAGGTGAAATTTGGCCACACATTGGGACTATTCCCCAAGACACCCGATTCACAGCTGGGCTGGTTGGTGGGAACATCCTTGTGAGGCTCTGAAGTTTTCCTGAAATCCATCTCTTGGGGGACAGACTTTGTCCACATTTCCTCCGAGAGTCCTGCCTGCCTCTCTGAGCCGCCCTCAGGTTCACAAGCATCACCAAAAGTGGGTCCCTGGGAAATACCTCTCATGAGGGTTTCAGTGGCCCTGTCTAATGGCTCTGACTCTTTCAAAAAATCACTCTGCTTGCAGCTTGCCTCTGACAGCTTGGCTCCCGGGTCCCATCCTGAAATAATCCAAACCACAGCATCACTACTCTTTCCACACAGGGCTCCCCCAGCTTGGCCTGGGTCCTGGTCTCACTCTGTAAGGGGAGACAAAGCCACTCCTGACATTTGGCCCCATTTCCAAAGGAAAGTTTCTCATTTGATGTCCTGGATGACAAAAGGTCATAGGGCTGTCCTCCCACACCACTGAAAACTGGATCACAGGTTTCAATCCTCCCCCTCCCCAAACTCTCCATTCTTCAAGGCTGCTGATTTTGGCTCAAGTGTCAGAAGGAAGACCCCGAGGTTGAACTGAACTGAAACACTGAGAGTGAGAGCAAGTAAGCACGCACAGGGATCTGTCCTTGCCAAGTGCCTGCGTACTCACTCCCCCTGGGCAGGCCCCAGCTCTCGGTGCCTTCCCCCTGGACCTAGACAGCCTACTGAGCATTTTCTGCAGCTGCTCAGTAAATACTGGCTGAATGAGGGAATCAGTTCTAGATGCTGACAATTGTGCAATTTTCTACAGTAGACTCTACCTTGAGCCCTAAGTAGACAACTGCTGCTGAGGGTGAGTGGGTGACACGCCTACCTGGCCTCCCTAAGACCCCGGGAGGCCTGAGGCCCACTCTTTCTAAATGGCTGTGAAGGCAGAGTGTGGTTAAAAGGTAGCCAGAGACTGGATTGTGTCTGAGGTAGCAGTGTGCCTGAACTGACCTTTGAACTGAACTGACCCTTGATGGGTGCACAGGGCACCTGGGGACACTTAAAACCATCGTGTACTGGACAGATTCCAGGAAGAGATGGGGACAGGCAAACAGCTGCTGCTTGAGTCCACAGTGGGGCCCCAGCTCTGCTACTAGCCAGCTCCAGGGCCCTGGGCAATCTAGCCTTTGTCTGTACCTGCTTCCCCACCTGTACGAGAGGGACACTATACTGCTCGTCTTCCAGGGCTGCTGGTCATTCTTAGGCTCTTGTTATGTGCTAGTCTCCAAGTACAGTTGGTCATTTCCATTGCCTCATTTCAGCTTCAATCCGCTCTCACAAGGACATACTGCAACTACTGTGCCTCACACAAGGAAACTGAGGCCCAGCTGAAGGAAGGTCTTGAGTAACTAACTGGTACAAGATCACACAGTTAGTTAGTGGCCAAGTTGAGATTTCAGCTTTCCTTCTCTAAGCCCACAGATGTCCTCCTAACTCCCCAGCTTCCCCAGCCACATGCTTGGTCCCACATCCCCCTTTCTTCCTCTATTCTAGAAACATCGCACAACCTGCTCTTCCCAGAATGCACTGGTCCATATCATACCACTGGGCCTTCCCCTGCACCACTCCCTCTGCCTGGACTGCTAGCTACTTCTCCTTGTCTCAGTGCCATATTGCCTTTTCTCTGAAAACCTCGACCTTGCAGGAGGAGGGGGCCACTGCCCCCTCTCCCTGTGCCCGTGACCTCTGCCTGGGCATAGCTGATGAGGCCAAGGGAAGGCACATGACCAACCTCTCCAGAAAGGTCTGTTTCTCAAGGAGCTAAAAAATCATCCTAACAGCCACAGTTTCCACTGTGTTTAATCTGTACCAGGCACTGACATTGAGGTAGGCATATGACTGCAATTCCCATTTTATTGACAGGGTAACAGAGGCACAAGAGAGTCACAGGAGGAAGAGGAGCAGTGGTTGGATCTACCAAGCCTTAATCATATTTCTGTTCCGCCTACCCACAGCACGTCTCCTCCCTGGTCCTGGCATACACACACTATCTGCCACTATCAGGCCAGGCAGGGCCCTTCTGGGAGAAGCCTTCACTCCCTGCTCTCGACTGTCCTAGGGCTGCAGCCTCCCTTGCATCCTATAGGACCTCCCTGGGCTGGGACATATGTGTTGGTCCCCCAGAGCCACGGTGCCGACTCTGGCTAAGGGCAGGTCTGACTCACCCAGATCCTACAGGGCCATTAGACGGAGGATTCAGAGGGAACACATGGAGACACCTGGCATTTCTGTCACCCCCACCCCCACAGGCTTCCAGCCCACAGCAGCCCAGTTTTCCTTGCTCATGTTAGTCCCTGGGATCTGGTCAGCCATAAGACAAGCACAAGACCCCAACCAGTTCAGTGGGCCTCAGCCCAGGAACCTTTTAGTGTTCTCCCCTGGGGTTTCTACACTGATAAGACATAAGCCTGGGTTGCTGAGCCAATTTTGTCTCTAATAAGGATAGAAGCTACTTAAGAGTAAAGCTAGGTGTGCCTGGGTGGCTCAGTTGGTTAAGTGTCTGCCTTCAGCTCGGGTCATGATCTCAGGACCCTGGGATTGAGTCCCCATCAGGCTACCTGCTCAATGGTGAGTCTGCTTCTCCCTCTTCCCCTGCCCCTCCCCTCGCCCCCGCTTCTGTGCACTCTCACAAAAAAAAAAAAAAAAAAAAAGAGCAAAGCTAATGTAGGAAAACCCAACTGAGAAACAGAAAAAAAGAGTCCTGATACCATCAACTAAGCTCCTGGATATAGCCACAAAGCCTCCCTACTTTTTTATTTTTTAAAGATTTTATTTATTTATTTGAGAGAGAGAGAATGAGAGATAGAGAGCACGAGAGGGAAGAGGGTCAGAGGGAGAAGCAGACTCCCTGCTGAGCAGGGAGCCCGATGCAGGACTCGACCCCGGGACTCCAGGATCATGACCTGAGCTGAAGGCAGTCGCTTAACCAACTGAGCCACCCAGGCACCCAAAGCCTCCCTACTTTGCTTCAGTCAGTTTGAGCTGGGTTTTTGGTCATTAGCAATCAAAACATATCTGCTTTGTACATTGTGTGAAAGTTTGGGTGAGGTACAAAGGTGACAAGTACATGTGTTAGTGACCCCAAGCCCAAACCCTGCACTCCCACATTCCAGTCCAGGCTCTGTCCACAGTGTGCTGTGAACAGTTACCAGTTGCTCCCCCTCACCTCTCTTGTCGAGTGCCCGAGTCAGACCTTCCACCAGCATGGCAGCCTCCTCACCACTCTTGGGGAACTGGGCACCCACCCAGGACTGGATCTTGGGGGGCAGTACACCCAGGAACTGCTCCAGCACCAGCAGCTCCAGCATTTGCTCCTTGGAGTGTGCTTCAGGCTGCAGCCACTGGCGGCACAGTTCACGGAGCTGGGCCAGGGCCTCATGTGGGTTGGAAGCCTCCTCATAGCAGAAGCGCCGGAAACGAAGACGTGCAGCCTCAGGGTGGGCAGTGTGGCCAGAGCTAGATTCCTGGATCTCAGAGAGGCTGGCCTCCTCATCCTCCACCTTCACGCGTAGAAAACCATCCTGTTCCCAGGGCACTGGGCTCAGAGCGTTCTTGGGGATGGCCATCAAGGAGCAGCACAAAAGTGAGGCACAGGATGGCTGGAGTGTTGGAACTGGGTCTGCAGGAATGCCAGAACTTTGTCATCATGTGGAACTTGGGGCTCTGCTCATACCTGTAGAGCAGGGCAGATGCAGACTTGGGGCCTGTAAGATGTAACTCATTCTCACAGAGAGACAGATGCTCAAAATAATCAGGTGCTAAGCACCATTATAAACGTTTGCATACAGTAACTCATTTAAAACTTACAAAAACTCAGGAGGTAGGAACTTCCTTTCCATTTTACAGATATGAAAACAGATACAGAGGAGGAGAAGATTTGCTCAAAGTTTCCCAGATACTGAAGGGATGGGGAGTTGCTGAGCTACAAACCAAGGCAGCCTCAGCCCATGGCCAGTCTGCTTACAGTGTTCCTCCCACACAGAACCAGGTCTCCCTCCTATCTCACACACACTCCCCCCAGGTAGCTACATGGTCATTCCCTCACTTTACTTGCTAATTATTTTGTAGCTTCTGAGATGGATACTTAAATAATTGACATTCAGCCTTTCTTTTCTCTTTTCTAATACATGTACTTAAGGCTATAAATTTCCTTCTAAACACAGCTTTAGCTGCATACCCACAAGTTTGATGCTGCATGTTCATTATCATTTAATGAGTTCAAAATATTTTCTAAATTCTGTTGTGGTTTCTTCCTGATCCATGGGATTTTTAGAAATCTGGTCTTTCATTTCCAAATAACTGGGGTTTTCTAGTTGTCTTTTTATTGTTGATTTCCAGATTAAGACTGTTGTGCTCAGAAAACATGCTTTAGTCAATTTTAATCCTTTCAAATTTGCTGAGACTTGGTTTGTGACCCAGGGTACAGTTAATTTTGGTTAGTATCCTGCATAAACTTAAAAATAATGCAAAAAATTAAAAACAGAAATACCATATAATCCGGCAATTCCATTCTGGGCATTTATCCGAAGAAAATAAAAACACTAACACTAGGGGCGCCTGGGTGGCTCAGTCCTTAAGCATCTGCCTTCGGCTCAGGTCATGATCACAGGGTCCTGGGATCGGGCTCCCTGCTTGGCGGGAAGCCTGCTTCTCCCTCTCCCACTCCCCCTGCTTGTGTTCCCTCTCTCACTGTGTCTCTCTCTGTCTAATAAATAAATAAATCTTTAAAAACAACAACAAAAAATACTAACACTAAAGTGAAAAGATATATTCATCCCCATATTCATTGCAGCATTATTTATAATAGCCAAGATATGGAAGCAACCTAACTGTCCATCAATAGATGAATGGATAAAGAAAATGCGGCACATATATATATTGGAATATTACTCAGCCATAAAAAAGAATAAAATCTTGCCATTTATTTGATTTTTTTTAAGATTTTATTTATTTATTTGAGAGAGAGAGAATGAGAGATAGAGAGCATGAGAGGGAAGAGGGTCAGAGGGAGAAGCAGACTCCCCGCTGAGCAGAGAGCCCGACGTGGGACTCGATCCCGGGACTCCAGGATCATGACCTGAGCCGAAGGCAGTCGCTTAACCAACTGAGCCACCCAGGCGCCCAAATCTTGCCATTTATGACAACATGGATGGACCCTGAGGGTATTATGCTAAGTGAAATAAGTCAGACAGAGAAAGACAGATACCATTTCATTTCACTTACATGTGGAATCTAAAAAACAAACAAATGGACATACAAAACAAAACTAGATTCATAGGTACAGGGAACAGACTGACGGCTGCCAGAGGAGAAGGAGGTTTGGGACTGGGTGGAAGGGATTAAGAGGTACAAACTTTCAGTTATAAAATAAATAGGTTATGGGGATGTAATGTATAACACACAGAATATAAAGATATTGTATTAACTTTGTGTGGTAAGAAGTGGTAACTAGACTTATTGTGATCATTTTGTACTGCATATAACTGTTGAATCACTCTGTTGTACAGCGAAAACCAATATAATATTGTGTTAACTATACTTTAATTTAAAAAAATGCAAAGCCTTCCTGGATAAGTGATGAAAGACAAAGTAGATAAACAACTTCATCAAAATTAAAAACTTTCATGATTTGAAGGATACCATCAAGAAAGCAAAAAGGCAACCCACAACATGGCAGGAAATATTTGCAAATTATATATCTGATAAGGAACCCGTATCTAAATAACTCCATAATAAAAAGACAATCCAGTTAAAGAATGGGCAAAGGTTTTGACTAGACAATTCTTTGAAGAAGATATACAAAGAGCCAACAGGCGACATGAAAAGATGCTCAACATCATGGCTACCAGAGAAATGCAAGTCAAACCCCCATGATACACCACTTTACACCTGCTAAGATGGCTAAAATAAAAAAGAGATAACAAATATCGGTTGGCACTTGAGCCGTGGCCCTGGGCACAGGGAGAAGCAAACATTAGTAAAATAAGACCCCAATCCTGAAACCTTTCAGTGGCAGCTGGCAACTTCTGGCAAAACTGTGTTCTACCCCTAACTCCACCATGAAGCTCACTTGGACCTCCTGTCACCTTGTCCTTGCCATTATCCCCAATCCCCATCTTTTCAGCCTTTGTCCCTGTTATTCTCGTGTTCTAAGATCTCTCTCTGCACCTGATTTCTCTGAGTCCTCCAAACTGCACGTTACCTGCCATTTTCTCCGAGGGCTGTCCGAGCACTTGGGAGCAAGCTAAGCACCCTGAGCGCCCTGCGTCTCTCTCTTCCCGGCTCTGGCTATAACCACATGCGGCCCCAGAGAGACTGGGCCTGCTGGACCGACAGTGCCCAGGGCACGGCCCATGTCAGGCGCACTGTACCAGGTGCTGAGCAAACGGAGGGCCCAGGGAAGGCCGAGCGTGGTCACCCACAGACGTGGGGAGTCGCTGCACAGGGGAGGCGACGCAGGAATGGCAGGGATGACGATGAATGCTGCAGGCTTCCAAGCGCTCCTTTACACCCCTGGAGCTCCTGTTCTGGGAAATCCCTGAGACACTCTCTGAGACACATGCACATGGACCTGCCTTAGCCCAGCCGCCCCCTGTGCTGACCTCGCATCAGGTCAAGGTCCGCAATCCACGAGTGTGTAACCGACTGAAGAGAGTGGTCCTCACCGGAGCCGTCCTAGGAACTGGCACCTACCTCAGAGGGTTGCTGTGAGGTTACCCGAGGCGCTCCGCGACGAGCGTCCAGTACAGGCCCGGCACACCGCCAACACGTGGTAAACCAGCAGTCCGAGTCCACAGCGTCCGGCCGCACTGAAGCACACGGAGGCGCTGCGGGGCATAGCCACAGACCCGGAGGGGTGACCAGCTGCGGACGTGGCAAAGCACAAAGTCTCTATCACATGCTTGGTAAACTCTGCGAATCACCCAGATTGCAGGAGGCCTGACAAAATCTTGGTCACACAGTCAAACGCACACACCCCGTCTCAGGCACGGTGTCAGCCATACCCCAAATATACCCAGGCACACAAAACTTCTGTGTCACTCAGTGCAGTGATCACAGGCCCTCACGGCAACGCCATCACACCGGCGAATTCCCACAGCCCTTCGCGTCTCCGAGCCGCCGCTCAGTCAGTCAGACGGCAGATGCTCGCGGTCGCACCTCCGGTCACACGGCCGGCCACGCCCCAACCCTCTCGTTCATAACATCACACAACGCCCCTCGGCAGCTCAAGCCCCGTCTTCGTCAGCCACACACCACAACGGGCTGTCAGGGAGAAACGCACACCCGCGATGTGGCCGCCGCTGAAGCACTCTCTCAGGCTGCATCCCAGTCAGCCGGTCCCACATTCGATCAGGGAGTTCTACACCCGGCTTGGGCGTCCGTCAGTCGGCCCTCCAGTCGCGCCGCTCGTGGTCAGCGCCTCAGTCCGCGTCGCAGGGTGGGTCCCGCACGCCTTGCACGGGCCGCCGCAGTCGCCGGCGGCTTCAGGGCCTGGAGCGCTCCTCTCCGGCCGCGAGCCCCGCGGACCGCACCCAGACCCACCTGACCCGCGCGGCGCCGGCCACTTCCGGGAGCTCCCTCGGAGGCGCCGGCTCGCCGGGACCACGACTCCCAGAATGCGCCACGCTGTCCAACGGCCGCGCGCGCGCTCACCAGGACCACAGCTCTCGGCGGGTCTCGGGTCCCGAGCTCCACAGCGCGCACGCGGCGCTCCCGTCCTCCTGGATCATAATCCCCAGAAGGCCCCGGGCCCCCTCCTGCGCACCCTCGGGGCACGCCGGGAGTTGTAGTCTGGGCGGGCAGCGGGCAGAAGGCTGGCCCATGGCGGGGTCGTGGCGGAGGTGAACGGAGAGTTGGGCCAGGGGCTGTGCGGGAGGCGGAACCGTGCATGGTGCATGGGGGCGTGCATCGTGTGTAGTGTGTGTTGCTTTTTGTGACTATATACAGGTGATCCCACCTGTTTGTCCTCTATGACTGTAGGTGCCCCGGAGGCTAGGCTGAGTGTGTCATTCTCTATGACCACGTGTGTGGTATCGTGTGCGTAACTGTGTGTGTGTGTGTGTGTGTGTGACCTCTGCTAGTCACCATATGTGATAATCCTGCAGCACTGTGTGGCTGTCACACTGTGTGATGGTGTCTGGTGGTGGTGCCCAGGAAGGCCTGATACAGCAGGAAGGTCCCAGACTGGGTATGATTACTGTAGGTTGCTGCAGTGACTGTGACTGTGATCATGGATGTGATTGTGTGAGTGTGGATGCCTGGATGTGTGACTGTGTGAGAATATGTCCTCTGTGTGTGCATGTGGGTGTGTGAGAGTTGAAGCAGAAGACTCCAGCTGGGGGCCCAGGACAGGGAGGGTAGTGGCCCAGCCTGTGTGCCGGTGAGGCTTTGAGGCTGGCCTCGCCCGTGCTTATTGACCCCAGCCTGTGGGGTCTCCTTCAGCTCATCAGACCTTCGCCTGCAGCCAGAACGAGCACCTTTTGCCTTCCACAGGTCCATACTGAGCAGTAAGGGCCAGTGCCATTCCAGATGGGACGGTGCAGGGAACACGACAGGCACCGCCTGCCTCTGTGGAGCTGGTGTTGTTGGGAAGGCAGACAGTAATCAAAGAAACAAAAACTTGTTTCTGAGGAGTTGGCATCTCAACTGATCCTGAATAGAGGGAAGGGACAGAGAGAATGTTTCAGTAGATGGAATGCCAATCCCAAGACCCCAAGGTGGGTACAGGCAAGGAGGCCCAGCTGGAGTGGATTGAGGGAAGGAGACAGCAAAGGATAGGGACAGAATGGGGAGGCCCATGGGGCAGATGGTGCAGGGCTTATGGGCCACGTGTGGACTTTGATGTCTACCCTGAGAGGCGCGGGAGCCATGGGGAGCCTTTGGGCAGAGGGCTGTGCTGTGACTTAGTTCTTTGTAGGATTCCTGTGGCTGTTACAGGAGAAGACTGTTGGGGTGAGGGTAGAGGCAGAGAGACCTAGGAGGTGAATGCTGCTGGAATCCCGGGGAGCAGGGTAGGTCAGATCAGGATGGTGGAGGTAGAGGTGTTGGTAAGTGGTCAGATACAGGTCTGTTTTGAAGATGGAGCAGACAGGGTTGATGGGTTGAAGTGCAGCATCCAGGGGGAGAGCAAGGCTGGCTCAGGAGCCTGAGAGTGTATTAGTTTGCTGCAGCTGCCATAACTAAATACCACAGACTGGGGGGCTTAAGCAATAGACATTTATTTTCTCACAGTTCTGGAAGCTGGAAGTCCAGGATCAAAGCGTTGGCAGGGTTGGTTTCTCCTGAGGCTTCTCTCCTTGGTTTGTAGGTGGCCACATTCTTGCTCTGTCCTCACATGGCCTTTCCTCATTAGCATACCCCTGGTATCTCTCCCTCCCAGTCACTGGATTAGGGCCCCATATGACTTCCTTTAATGTTAATTATCTCTTTAAAGGTCCTATCTCCAAATACAGTCACATTCTGGGACATACTGGGGGTTAGGTTACGATGTTCACATGTGAATTTGAGCGGGACACAGTTCAGCCCATAATGGGATGAAGGGGCATTGTTATGAGTGTGGGGATACTTTCTGGGAGGCTTCTGAGGAGAGGGGAGAGAGGGCAACAGCCAGAGGAGACCCAGGTGCCAGGGAGTAACGAGCCTGGATTGACAGTAGGTGTGGGGTGACCTGGAAAGTCGATGGAAGCTTTCCTCAGGGCCTTCCTCTCTGTCCAGATTGGGAGTCTGTGCTTTTAGAGCTGAGAGGAGTCCTGCCCTTTCTATGACCTGAGGCCAGGGCATCCTTGGTGCTTAGCACAGGTCGGAGCCCCAGGAAGAGCTGAATGAATGAATGAATGAATGGCAGACTGACAATGTTCCCTTGCTTGAAGCTGCTTAACTGGATTCCCACTTACTTTCCATACCCACCATGGCCCTTCCACACATACCCCAGACTTTCAGAGACACCTTTTATGCTTATTCTCTGATTATTGGACCAGTGCTCTAGGCCTCTGGGTTTTCCTGAATAGACTCTCCTCTCTTCCTCTCTGCCTCTGTCTCTTTCTCATCCTCTCCCCAGAATTCAAACCCCATCTTTTTCAGAGAGTATTCATTTTTTTTAAAGATTTTATTTATTTATTTGACAGAGAAACAGCGAGAAAGGGAACACAAGCAGGGAGAGTGGGAGAGGGAGAAGCAGGCTCCCAAGGAGCAGGGAGCCGGATGCGGGGCTCGACCCCTGGACCCTGGGATCATGACCTGAGCCGAAAGCAGACGCTTAACCGACTGAGCCACCCAGGCGCCCCCAGAGAGTATTCATTTTAATTTGGCAGTTATATCAGTCAGTTATTGCTCTGTAATGAATAGTTAGTTACAACAGTTCAGTGACTAACAGCAGTAAGCACTTATTTCTCTCCTGAGTCTAAGAATTGGCTAATCTGGTCTGGGCTTGGCTCCAGGCTATAGGTTGGGTCCATTTTTTTTTTTTTTTTTTTGGTTTGGGTCCATTTCTGCTGCACTTGTCTTATAGGGCTCATAGGGCAAATTTGTCTCATGGTGATGGCAGAGATGCCTGCAGGCTTGAGGCCTAGGCTCAGAACTAACATACTAGCAGTTCCACTCAGATTCTATTGAGATTCTAGAAAGCAAGTCACATGGCCACACCCAAAGTCAAGGAAGAGGTATCCATGCGGCCTTTAGTGAAAGGAACGACATATATGGCCAAAGGTATGTACACAAGGAGGGGTGAAAAATTGCTCTAGTAATTCCATCCACTTCATCAATCCTTTTGGTTTCTTTTCTGTTTAGAAAGTCAACAAAGTTAACATTTGTGATCTTGGTTTCTTTCAGATCAAGGAAGGTGACCACAGAGCATATTCAAAGACCTGCTGCAGTTCCTTATGGGGGTAATAAAGGAGGTCATCAGAAAAGAGATTTCATGGGGTTCTGCCTTCAAAGACATTGACACTCCTGAGGCCTACTCAGGGAACCAGAACAGAGATCCTACTGAGGATCCTTTTTCAGGCAAGAAGATTTTAAGCAAAGGTCATTCCCCAACATGGAAACTCCTAGTGTGGGGAGAGGTTACAGGCAGTAAAGTTGTGAGGAGTGTCAGGATACCTTCCGGCCCTATAAAACAAGAGAGCATTGCTGTGGAAAAGAAACCACACATGTTAGTCGCACATGGAGGAAGCTTTGAGCAGGTTCCAGAGCCAGCGGTGTTGTAGGCAGCCTGTGTGGACAGGAAACCCTGCAGGGGCGCCTGTGTGAGAAGAGTTTCAAGCAGCACTTGGCCCTCTCTGTGCATGAGAGGACTCACACTGGGGAAAACCCCTATCCATGTAGCACCTGTGGGAAAGTCTTCCGGTGCCAGTCTAACCTCATTGATCACCAGAGGATCCATACTGAAGCAAAACCCTATGAATGCCATGAGTGTAGAAAAGTCTTCCTTTTCTGGTATAGTATACCAAAAAGTACACCAGAGGCCCCACACTGGAGGGAAGTGGTACAAATGCAGGTAGTGTGGCAAAGCCTTCCCAGGGAGCTCAGATCTGCAGAAACACGAGATTCACACAGGAGAGAAACCCTACCAGTGTGGGGATCCCGGGAAAGCCTGCAGGTGGAGCTCACCCTGATCCACCATGAGAGGACACACAGCGGCGAGAAGCCATATGAGTGCATTGAGTGTGGCACGGCCTTTGGGCAGAGTTCCACACTCACTGAGCATCACAAGAACCACATAGATGAGAAGCCCTGAGAGTACTTGGACTGCAGCAAAGCCTTCAAGGGCACTGCAGACTTTAGCCAGCACCAGTGGATCCACACGGGAGGGAGGCCCTACACGTGCAGTGAGTGTGACAAGGCCTTCTGCTACAGTTCATACCTGCTCCAGCACCGGAAGCTCCAAACCAGGGACTAGCCCCGGTGGCCACACTCTCTCCATGTCCCCCGTTACCTCCCATCATCCTGAAGGCCTGAGGCCTTCACCTCCCTCATCTTACACCCCACAGACTCTCATTGCTTCCCTCCCTGTTGCCAGAGTTTGCCCCTTTACCTGGTCGTCTTCCCATATTCCTTCCCTTTAAAAATTAACTCTTTTCTTTTTAAGCTATAGTTCACATACCTTAAGTTCACCCTTTTAAAGTGTACGGTTCACTTTTTATTATATTCACAAGGTTGTGCAAAGATCACCACCGTCTGATTCCAGAAGGTTTTTATCACTCCAAAAACAAACCCCATACCCATGAGCAGTCACTCCCTATTCCCCCTGCCCCCAGCCTCCGACAGCCATTAATCTGTTTTCTGCCTCCATGGATTTGCCTGCTCTGCTATTTTGTGTAAATGGCCCCTTCGCGTTTTCTGACCACTGGTAGACACACCACAGGGGTCCTAATCCAAGGAATCCTTTGCCCCCCCCCCCCCCCCAAGACCCATCCCACCTGTCAAGCACTGAAATGGGCTTTGGCCTGTGGGTGGCACTGGTTGCCCTCATCTCCTTGGGTTTTCTTGGCCTCTCCTTGTGGTTTTCTGCCTTTTGTTGTCAAAGGAACAACCCCAAGATGCTCACCCCCAATAATCCTAACAACAGACCACATCTTTATTGGGCCCCTTTTGTGCACCAGGCACTCTGGGCAGTGTCAGTTAGTCCAGTTTCGCAACTCTGCTGTGACCATCTCTTCCTGCACCACCGAAGGCTTTATCTCTGGGGGGCTCCTGTTTTCCAGCTCTCAGCCCTGCCTTCTCTGCCCAGCCCAGCTTCACATCACTGCCTCCCTGCCTCCAAGCAGAACTTGCCTTTCCATCCACCTACCAGTGAAGAGAACCCCACATTTTCCCTGGTTTCTATTTTATCACCTCTATGAACCATCATCCCTGGTTTTTTTTCCCACCCAGGTACAATTGGCTCTGCTCCACTGGTCTGGTTTGTGTCTAGAGAGGCTGTATTGGTTTCCTGTTGTTGCCCTAACAAATTACCACAAACATAGTGGCTTATAAGAACAAAAATCTATTACCTTACATTTCTGGAGGTCAGAAGTCCAAAATGGGTCTCATGGGGCTAAAATCGCCCTGGTGGCAGGGCCAGTTCCTTCTAGAGGCTCCAGGTGAAAACCTATTTCCTTGCCTCCTCCACTTTCCTTGTTTCATGTCTGCTTCACTGTCGTCTTATTTCCTTTTCTGACCCTCTTTGCCTCTCTGTTTCACTTAGAAGGATCTTGTGATGACACTGTATCCACCTGGTGACCCAGGATACTCTTCCCCATCTGCAAATTCTCTTCTGTCATGTATCATAGTCACAGGTTCTGGGGATTAGAGTGGGGAGAAGGCATTACTCTGTCTACCACAGATCCAGATTTCACCGGTTTGGGGTTTGGCTTGGGCATCCAGATTTTTATCCAGGAAATTCTCATGTGTAGGCAAGGCTGAGAACCACTGGCTAAGGAGCAGGGTGATGCAATAGGAAGTATAGGCTACAGAGAGGGACCTAGCTGATCTCAATTCCCAGTTGTGCTTCTTACTCTCTCCTGCTCAGGCAGATGATTTTACATCTCTGGGTCTCTACTTTCTCCACAGCATGGAGATAATAAACCTGACTTTGTAACATGGAGAAGTGGAGATAAGAAACTCTCACCTCAGGGCACCTGGGTGGCTCCGTCGTTAAGCGTCTGCCTTCGGCTCAGGTCATGATCTCAGGGTCCTGGGATCGAGCCCCGCATCGGGCTCCCTGCTCCGCGGGGAGCCTGCTTGTCCCTCTCCCTCTGCTCCTCCTCTCAGGGGTGAGGGGGTGTCTAACAGGATTCTCGCTGAAGGCAGGCCAGGATGGTCAGACATCACTGGGGGGAGGGGGAGGATGAGGAACCCAAGTAGACACATTTGGAGGGTGGGAGATTCTTACTAAACTGACTTGGCTACACTCTATAATGAAGGCCACAGGAGCTTGAAGTTTAAGGCCTCATCAAAAACTGTTCAGAAGAGCTTGACTGAAGTTTGGTCACAGAGAGAGTGTTTTGTCAGTGTGCGAGCATGTGGTGTTTCGTGAGGGTGTGTTCAAGGGCAGATGCACACCACCCAAGGGGTGAAGTGAGAGCCTTGAGGCCCCATGGACTCCCCCTTGCCTCCTGCCCCAGGACGGTCTGGCTGGGCCTGGATGCCCAGCCTCTGCCTCCTGCAGCCGGTGCCCACAGCTCCCCTGCCCTCCGTACAGTGTCTAGACAGCTCTTTGCAGACAGATGTTTGGTAGGAGACACACACATCTGAGCCATCAATAGGAATGGGCAAAGAACCTGGAGACTGTCTGGCCTTATGGGAAGAATGAATCGCCTCAGGGCCTTCTGTGGATACGACCCTACTCCTGTGTGGTCCTGTGCCAGCCTCCGCCCTGACCATCAGATGCCAGAAAAGCTCGGGGCTTTCCCGTCTGCAACCCCGTGCCCCTACAAGTGCCGCCCCTCCCCCCAGCCAGCCAGGCTCCTGCAGGGCCATTCATGCTAGCTGCTGGCTGCACTTCCTTCGCATTGCCCAACCGCAGCCAGTCGATGACCATCACTGACCTGCCTCTGGTGGAAACTGCTTCCTGGTGGAACACACTCACACTGGACGTACTTTTTCTCTTCAAGTTAACATGTTAAGTCCTTGCGGGGAGGGGGTCACCATCCCCAATTTACAGACAAGGAACATGAGGCAGAGAGTAAAGACCCAGAGTGCATTTGGGTAGTGCCGGACTTCAAACCCACGGAGCTGGATTTAGCTGGTTCTTGGGCCCGACCACCCTGCAGGAAGGAAGCAAACCATGTGGAGGGCTGGCACTGTCACATCCCTCCCTCATCTCTCCACCTTGCTGCCAAGACATGGTCCCTGTTTTTACAGAGGCTGAGTGGGTGGCCCGTGGCAACCCTGACCCGTCTGTGCCGTGTGGTGCCTCAGAGACTCACCAGCTGCCCAGTTCTTCCTGCCTTGCAGCCTGGTCCCTGTGGCTCACGTGGGACGCGCTGCTGAAGGTGCAGCCCTGGGGCAGTCTTGTCTCTACAAAACCAAGCTGTCTCTTCCTCTGGGAGAATCCTCATCATCCCAACCCAGACTGCCTCCGGTTGGCTGATGCCTCTTCTCTCTCTGGTGCCGCAGTAGTAGCTGTAGCACTTGGCTGGGTGAGGAGGCATCACTGGCCACCAGCTGTGCTGCGTCACCGTGCAGCCAACAGTAGAACTCAGGAGACCTGGGGTGTCCAAACTGCACGTTGTAAAGAATGGATTGGCCCTTGGGATTGGATCCTGAGAGAACCGCTAAGCCCTTGGAATACTGTGCCTGATAAGAGTGTCTTTCCTTACGGGGGGCCTTAGGCTATGCCAGGTAGTCTGCATGATTTATGATGGGGACCTTGAGTCACACCGTATCAGGCTTATCTCTGAGACAGCTGGAGCCTCAGGAACTAAGGTCAGTCATGCAGGCACTCCACATCCATGTGGCCAATCCCCAGTAAATGCCACCAGGCTTGGGTCACCTTGCCTGGCTGCCCATACTCATGTGTACTGTCGCTCCCAGTGCGGAGTACTAAGGAGTCTGTATGACTACACTGAGAGGGCAGATGGAAGCTTGCACCTGGATTCCCGCTTATCTGCCTTCTACTGCTGTGGTGATAATTTGTATCCTTTTCACTGTAATAAACCCTCAGCCTGTTCTGAGTTCTCCGAGTCCTAGGGAGTCACTGAGCCTGAAGGTGGTCTTGGGGACTCCCTGGCAGCCCTTTTGTACTCAGTGCCTCACTGGTTCACTCACTCATTCCCTCTCTGTTTTGGCCCTGCCATGTGCCAGGGGGTGGGTCTACAGAGGCACGTGAGACAGGTGTGTGCGAAAGGGGCCCTGGGTGACAGTGGGCTCTGAACGAGGACATGGACAATGACAATACAGTGTTCATACTGCCGGGGGGGACGAGAGGGGGAAACAGGCTGCTTCTGGTTCAGCCAGCGAGGAGGTGCCCCGGCACTGATGCTGACAGGAGACCAGCCAGCGGGGCCTGGACAACACAGGGATGACTGGAAATGAACCTGGAAAGATGCGCTATGCTGGGTGAAGGCAGGGGCTTCAAGGCCAGACCACATCCTGACGGCCACAGAGAACCCCTGAGTGAAGCTGTGCGGCAAAGTGAAAGGCTCACACCTGTGATGGAACAAAGGGATGGCTCCACTAGGCACGTAACCAACATCTAGACTGAGCAATGGCTTCCCAGCTCCTACTTCTTGCCTTTGCCTAAGTCAGCCCGATGGCTCAGTCTGCTTCTTCAGGCATGACCCGATCATCCCACCATCTCCCAGTCTCAAAAGGACATTAAATTCTAGAGCTGCCTCCTTACAGTAAATACCCCTTGCATATGCTGAAAGGGATGGAGGGACTGTTGCCACCCTGTCTCCATCTGCTAACTATAGTATTTTTTATCCTGAAAAGTGAATGGCTTCTAGCTGGGGGCCTCAGGCTTAACCTCTCAAAATCTCAGCTCCTTGGGACACCTGGGTGGCTCAGTCGGTTAAGCGTCTCTCGGTTTCAGCTCAGGTCATGGTCTCAGGGTTGTAAGATCGGGCCCTGGGTCAGGCTCCACGATCAGCACAAAGTCTGCTTGGGATTCTCTCTTCTACCCCTTCCCCCCTCAAATAAGTAGGCCTTAAAAAAAAAAAAGTCAGCTCCTTGTCTATGAAGTGGGGATAAAAATATCTGCACCCCGGGGGGTGCTGAGGATGAAACAGAACAATGTGCGTAAGTGCTTACAAAGTGCTAAGGTCTTACATGGATCACTGGCTCAACTGATTCTAATGAATCCTCATGCCAAAGCTGATGAATGACATACAAAGTCTTTTTAAAGACTCTGCGACTGGGCGCCTGGGTGGCTGAGTTGGTTAAGCGTCTGCCTTCGGCTCAGGTCATGATCCTGGGGTCCTGGGCTCGAGCCCCACATCGGGCTCCCTGCTCCGCGGGGAGCCTGCTTCTCCCTCTCCCGCTCCCCCTGCTTCTGCTCTCTCTCTCAAACAAATAAAATAAGAGCGACTTTGTGACACACCACAGTTCGGCATTATTAACCTTACTTTTTGGCAGAGGAACAAAACAAAACCATAAGGCTTGAGTTAATACAAAGCACAAACAACTGAAAAGACATCTTTTTTTATTTTTTAAAGATTTATTTACCCATTTTAGAGAGCGTGCACGAGCAGGGGGTGGGGGCAGAGGGAGACAGAGGGAGGCCAACTCCCGGCTGCAGGGCTCATTCCCAGAACCCTGAGATCACGACCTGAGCCAAAACAAAGAACTGGACGCTCAACTGACTGAGCTACCCAGGTGCCCCGAAAAAGCATCTTTTTACTTATTTTTTTTTTTTTAATTTCATTTTTGCCTTGGCAAAAACTGAAATGAGCTCTGTTCAGGCCTGCCAAGAAGACCGTCCACACCTGTGGATCTCTCCTACCACCTCCTGGTGGATATCTGTGGGAACCCATATGATGGAAAATGAGAGGGGCTGTTGCTCCCCTTGAAGGCTCACTCTGGCTTTCTCACCCAACCGGGTGACCCTGTAGAGAGACATGTATAATGGGCAAGGGGGCTGCTCTGCACTGGCCCCGAGTTCCTGACACTCACAGGACCCTCCGCCGGATGAACACCACACCAAGGACAGCCAGGTCTCTGCCATGTTTGGCACACCCCCAGTTCACCGATGGATGAGAACCAAACAGCTGCTGAGGGTTTTCTGATACTCGCTGCACTCATGGTGTCCCCTGGGAATGAATTTTCCGATGCTGGACCAGAGATCTGCTCTGGCTGAAGTTTTTCTCACATTTGTGACACTCAAAGGGCTTCTGTCCAGCGTGAACCCTCTGATGCAGAATAAGGGCCGCAGCCTCGCAGAAGGTTTTCCGGCACAGGCTGCATATGAAGGGCTTGGCGCCCGTGTGGACACGCTGGTGCTGCATGAGGTGTGTGCTGCGGCTGAAGGCTTTGCTGCACACATTGCACACGTAGGGCCGCTCCCCTGTGTGCACCCGGTAATGCTCAGTGAGGTGTGACATCTGGATGTAAGCCTTGCCGCACTCGTTGCACTTGTAAGGCTTCTCCCCAGTGTGTGTCCTGAGGTGGAGGGTGAGGGAGGAGCTCTGCACGAAGGCCCTTCCACAGTCACCACACACAAAGGGCTTCTCCCCAGTGTGTATCCTCTCGTGCTGGGTGAGGAACTTGCTCTGGCTGAAGGTCTTCCCGCATTTTCCACACATGTAGGGTCGCTCACCTGTGTGCACCCGTTGGTGCAGGACTAGGGCTGAAGAATCGCTGAAGGGTTTCCTGCACTCACCGCATATGAATGGCTTCTCGCCGCTGTGGATCTTGAGGTGCTGGGTCAGGTAGGAGCCCTGGCTGAAGGTCTTTCCGCATTCTCTACACGTGTAAGGCCGCTCGCCAGTGTGCAACCGCTGGTGTTTGGCCAGGGAGGAACTCTGGCTGAAAGCATGGCCACAGTCCCCGCATGTGTACGGCTTCTCACCCGTGTGTGTCCTCAGGTGCTTGCTGAGGGATGAGCTCTGGCTGAAGGCTTTCCCACATTCCCGGCATGCGTATGGCTTCTCTCCTGTGTGGCAGCGTTCGTGCTCGGCCAGCGATGAGCTGAGGCTGAACACCTTGCAGCACGTGCGGCACTCGTAAGGCCTCTCTCCTGTGTGGGTTCTATGGTGGACCAGGAGGGCTGAGGAGTCAGCAAAGGCTCTGCCACACTCACAACAGGCGAACGGCTTCTCCCCAGTGTGGATCCGCTGGTGCTGCACGAGGTGAGTGCTCTGGCTGAAGGCGCGCCCACACTCACCACAGGTGTACGGCTTCTCGCCCGTGTGCACCCGCTGGTGTTTGGCCAGGGAGGAGTTCTCTCGGAAGTGCTTGCTGCAGTGGCTGCACGCATAGGGCTTCTCACCTGTGTGGATGCGCTGGTGCTTAACCAGGGACGAGTTCTTGCTGAAGGCCCGTCCACACTCCTGGCACGTGTACGGCTTCTCACCAGTGTGGGTTCTCTGGTGTTGAACGAGATGTGTGCTCTGTCCAAAGGCCTTCCCACACTCCTCGCATGTGTAGGGCTTCCGTTTATTGGGAATCTGTTGACAGCCCACAAGGCATGTGTTCTTGCCAAAGGCATCTCCCCACCCACCACACACCAATGTGTCCCCCTCGATGTGAGCTCCTTGTGGGCGACTAAGGTCTGGAAAAGAGCTGAGGGCTTCCATACACACTGTCTCTTCTTGGCAGGGGCGCCCCTGATCTAGGACTGAAATGCAGGTGAGGCCCTTTTTGCCAACGTGGCTTGTGGGAGCTTGAGCCCTTGGAGGATTGCACTGATGCTCAGTGAGGAATGGGTGCCAGGAGAAAGTTCCTGCAAAGCTCCACTCTGGGCTCTTCTTCCCCTGGCTGAGTGTCACTGCTTGGCATTGTCTCTCTGCCACCTGGCCTTCATGTTCTGTGACTTCTTTCTGGATGGTGTGCCAGAAATCCTGCCCTGTGAGTCCCATTGTCATCTGCCCCTGACGCAAAGCACCCTTCTCTAGAGGCAGCCATGCAGCTCGGGGCCCAGGCTCTGAGTCTGAAAAATAAGCAAAGAAACATGCTAAAGCCCTAACCTAAATGTGCACTGCCAATCTGAGGGGGATGGACAGAACCTCAGCAGTCAGACTGGACAACACAGACCTGCGGCTTTCAGTGGGAGCCCTGCAGCAAGGACAGAAGAGTGAATGGACCAAGGTCCAGGCTTGGTGATTCCCTACGACTTTTGGGACTCGAGGGGCACCTGGGTGGCTCAGTGGTTAAGCGTCTGCCTTCGGCTCAGGTCATGGTCCCAGGGTCCTGGGATCGAGCCCCGCATCGGGTTCCCTGCTCGGTGGGAGGCCTGCTTCTCCCTCTCCCACTCCCCCTGCTTGTGTTCCCTCTCTGGCTGTCTCTCTCTCTGTCAAGTAAGTAAAATCTTAAAAAAAAAAAAAAGGACTCAACAAAGAGTCATACTCCCGGCTGTGACTGATTAGAGCAAAAGGGCACCAGGCAAAATGAGCAAAAGGAAAAGGCACAGGGCGCAGAGTCCTCTCCCAGTGGAGCCACACAGCGTGCACCAAACCCCTTCAGCGCCGGATTCTGACACATGAAGTGTAGTCTACAGTTTGTTAGAGACTCAGTGACCAGGGTTTTACTGGGGGCTGGCCACGTATGCACCCACTGTGTAGCATGTACCAAAATTCCAGACTCCCAGAAGAAAAGCAGTCATTTAGTATAAACCACATTGTTTGTACAAATGGTTTAGGTGCAGTGAGCCACTCTTAATCATTTAAGGAATGGTGGGAATCCTCCCACAATCCACGTTCCCAGACACCAGCCAAAGGCCAACCCTGTACCAAGCCTTCCCAAGAATGGTGACCACAGACCTGCTGTCAAGCCTCCTCTGCACAGTGGGGAAGGAAAGTAGTAGAATGGAACACAGAAAGGCATGGGCCAAGGCCACCAAGAGCCACCCTACCTGTCAGCTGCCACTGGGGTTGTTTTATAACCACGCCCTTACTGCAACAGGGCCTGGTCAACAGAATGGAAAACAGATACTCAAACAAAAACCTGCACGTGAGTGTTCATAGAGCACTATTCCCAGAGAGTAGAAGCCAGACACAAAAAGACCACATATAGTATGCCTGTATCCGTATGCCTGTATCCGCATGAAAAATAAATGAACACATTTATATAAACTTCATTTACATGAAAGGTCAGAACAGGCAAATCATGGAGACAGAAGGCAGATTAGTGGCTGCCGGGTCTGGGGAAGTGACCACTGGAGAACTGTCGGGTTTGTTTTCAGGCTCCTGTACCTACTAGCTCTTTTCTGTTTGATGTACATTGCACCTCCTTGCCCCAGGAGGAGAAATAAACTGATCTGAAGCATGGTGACTATAGTTACAATACTGTATTGTAGACCTCAAATTTCCTACAGGAGTTGATTGTAAGCGTTCTCACCACAGAAAAAATACTGCAACTATGTGAGCTGATGGATATACAGATTAGCTTGATAGTGGTGATCATTTCATAATGTATATGTATATCAAAATACCATGTTGTACACTTTAAATATATATAGTTTTTATCTGTCAATTATACCTCGAAAAGCTAGGGGGAGGAAGATTAATTTTATAAAACACCTGATCTGACAGACCCTTACTTCACTCACCTGGACCTCTTGGGACATCTCTCTTCACAGTCCAGGGGTCTTCCCACTGCTCCAGCTTGGAGATCACATCTGGTTTGCAATCGGGAAGTCCTGCCCATAGTTAGAAAGTAGGAGGGAAATGTTGACGCTGTTGCCACAGGCAGCCAGGCCCCAACAGGCCCAATAGTGCAGTATGTGTGCCCCAGGCACGGGAGAGGTCTCTCTCTGGTGATCTGGGGTGGGGTGTCCACTCTGCACAGAGGGGACCCAACTGGGGGACACAGGTCAGAGCAAGGACATACCTGGGTGTGGGTTACTGGTGACAAGACAGGGGATAAATATGCACACGTATGTGTGAGCACACATGGAAACACACACACACGGGACATGGATGAAGAGGTGACAGGAAGGCCTCACCCAGGGACACCAAGTTGCTGTAGTTCCTCAGCATCACGTCACGGTATAGGATCCTCTGTGTGGGGCCCAGCAGGCCCCACTCCTCCTGTGTGAAATCTACAGCCACATCCTTAAATGTCACAGGCTTCTGAAACATCCCACATGCGTTGGCTCAGCCATGGGCCCTCTCTGAGCAGGGCCAGCCCCATGGGGAACAGCAGGATGTGAATGTTCTGGGAAACACCCTATTGTCATGAGGGGAGGGGTGTGGCTCACACTGTGAGTGGCACTATTATCACCTTGACAATGGGTACTGCAGTCCCACCTGAATAATTGTGTCTTCTCCAAATTCCTGTTAAAGCTTTACCCCTCAGTGTGAAGGTATTTAGAAGTGGGGCCTTTGGGGGGATTAGGTTTAGATGAGGTCATGAGGGTGGGGCCCCAGATGGGACTAGTGCCCTCATAAGAAGAAGGAGAGACCGTGGGACACCCGGGTGGCTCATTGGTTAGGCCTCTGCCTTCGGCTCCGGTCGTGATCCCAGGGTCCTGGGATCGACTCCCGCATCGGGCTCCTTGCTCAGTCGGGAGCCTGCTTCTCCCTCTGTCTGCTGCTTCCCCTGCTTAGGCGTTCTTGCTCTGACAAATAAATAAAATCTTTAAAAATAAAAGAAGAGGGAGAGACCAAAGCACGTGTTCTCTCGTCTCCTGGCCCAGTGTGTGAGGACACAGAGAGAAGGCCATCCGTCGGCGGGCCAGGAGGAGCCTCTCACCAGAACCCAGCCCTGCTGGCACCCTCATCTTGGACTTCCAGTCTCCAAAACTGTGAGGAATAAATTTGTCGATTAAGCCACAGTTCATGGTATTTTGCTATAGGAGTCTGAGCAGATTAAGACACAGTGATTCCTCATCACTTCCAAAGCACTCAGCTTTATGGCCCCCAGAGACAGCTGATGGCCCGTCAGCCCCCCACAAAGCCATCTATCACACCTGCGTGGTCTGCATCCCCTTTAGGGCCGGGCAGGGGAGGCTTGGAGGATGTGATGACATGCAACACCAGCCACAGGTGCTCTGGGACCAGTAAGTGTGGCAACAATCCCTCTGCCTGTGTGTGGCTGTCTCCGTGGGGACCCCATGAAGAAAGGGCCTGTCAGCAGGTACCATCAATTTCAGAGTAACTACTTACCATTAACACCCAAAGCCCCCAACCACCTTTCTAAATGCTGCTCAGTACCACCACCCACTCATACGCCAGGCCCTGCTCTGTCCTTTTCCTCGATATTGGCTGACGAACAGGGTGACCATAAAGAGCCTGTGTCCCAGATCGGTCAGGCATGGGATTTCCTCCAAGGTGCCCTAGACTGACAGGGTCACTAAGCCCCACCCTTGAGTGAAGGGAGAAGGAGGAAGAGGAAGAGGAAGAAGAGTGGCCAGGGCAGAGGAAGGGGCCCTGCCCCTGGACTCATGCTCCTTGGGGGCTGTGGCTCCATTCCAGTGGCGAGGCGTAGAAGCATCACAGGAGCAAGAACAGAAAGGAGTATGCCTGCTGAGACTGCTGGCATTTTTGGAAACTCACGTGTAAGGCATCTGCTGGGAATGCAGTATCTTGGGCCTTGGGCTTGTCTTCCTTGATGCTCCCCTGAGAAGGAAGAGCTGGGGGAGGGGAGGGGATGTGAGGGAGGCCAGATCTGCCCTCAGGCCCCAGAGACCCAAGCCCCAGAGTCCCCTCACCTCACACCCCTCCCCCTGCCGGCCACTAGGCTCTTTCCCAGGGGCCCCGACCCTCCCACAGGTGCTTCCTCCTGCACTCCTCACCCTGGGTCTGCTCCCCGCTGCTTACCCTCCAGGGCTTGGCAGAACCACAGCCCTCAACATTTCCTGTGTGCCAGTCATGATGCTTGATCCTCACTCTGTCCCTACGAGGGACAGCTGGGGTCAACACTCCCGGACCCGTTTTACAGGAAGGGAACCGAGGCTTCGAGGGGTAGGGTGCTTGCCTGAGTTGAGCTTTTGCATGAAGCACTCCCACTCCTGCCCCCACCCCTGACCAGCCACGACAGCGAGTCCTGTGGAGAAGGCTGTGTCCACACAGACAGATGGGGTGACCCACACCCCTGGCTTAGTCTGGGGATGTGACAGCCCACCTGGACTCTCCTAGAGCGGTCTACGCAGCCACCATGGATCCAGGGTGACCCAGAGGGTGACAAATACCTGGAGTAGGAAACCCTGGACCCACAGGTCCACTGTGTGCCACTAACTGGCCATATCCCTGCTCTGGGCCTATTTCTTCCTGGGTACAGGAAGGACAGGCCCCTGGCAGAAGGGATGGCATTATGTCTTAGAAAGTCTTTGTGAAATGAAACCTAACACAGGAACACCCCATGGTGTCCTTGCTGCCAGAAGCCACACCACCTTCACATCCTCCATCCCGCCCTGGCTCCCACGCTGGGCAGGGGTCACTGAGCTCAGAGTTCCACAAAAAGCAGCCCCATGATTTGATCCTGGGAGGCTGCGCCTCAGACCCCTGCCTCTAAAACAGGGAACTATCCATGAGCCGAGGCCGAGACCCCGAGGGCAGCTGCAGCTGCCTGTGCTGCAACTCAATGCCAACCCAGGGCGCAAACTTCTCAAGGGCTTGCTGTGCAATTCTGGCCAAGTTCCCTAACACAAGAAAGAAGAGGTACTATCATCACTCTGTTATACAGGTAGGGAGAGGGGGCCAGAGGGAGGTTAAATCAAAGATATGAAGCAAGTGATGGGCTGGGATCTGAACCCACACAGTCAGACTTGAGTTTGTGCTTTCAAAAATATATTTTTTTAATAGAGGTATGAGTGCTCAGTTCAATGAGTTTTGACCAATGCACACACCTACATAGCCACTGTCTAGATCAAGCTCTAGAACTTTCTGTGAGGATGGAAATGTTCTGGGGCTGTGCTGTCCAATTAATCAGCCATCAGCTCCATGTGGCTCCCTAACAGTAGAAACACAGGTGGTGTGACTGAGAAACTGGATGTGTAATTTGAAGTTTAACCGATTCACATTTTAATATCTCCATGCGGCTCTTAGCTACCATTTCGGACACCTCAGCACTAGGCCTTTCAGCACCATGGACAGCTCCCGACATGCACCCCTGGGAGGGGGATACCAAAATGTGAATCAGTTAAACTCTCCCTGGCCCCAGGGTGACTGCGGCTGAGATTCTGACAGCACACAAGTTGTGCCTATTCTTGAACTTCATACAAAGTAAATTATATGCCGTGCGACAGTCTCTGCCCCATGCTATCAGGTTTACGGACATCACTGGCAGCAGGACAGTTTGGGGACAAAGTGAGAGACCAGGTAGGCAAGTGCTCTGAGGGAAAAGCAATAGTCTCAGCTGTCCTGAATTCAGATCCTATGAGACTCCCAGGAATGAAGGGCTGATGTGGGGCTTTGTGCCCCTCCCCACAGGGGCAAGAGTGGCAAGCTGATCCCTGGGGCCCTGATGTACCAAGTGCCCATACCTTCTTCCCAGTGTCATTCCTAGGGTGGAAACAGTGAACGTGAGGGATAAGTGGAGTCTGTCAGACCTAGGATGAAATCCACCTCACCACTCTCTGCTGGGTGACCTTGGGTTGCTCAATTCACCTAAAGCCTGGGTTTTCTATCTGTACAACCGGGTAATAGTACTTTTTGCAGAAGGGTGTCTGTTCACTCATTCATTTAAGAAATACTCCATGGACTGTGCACCACATCGGAAAACTCACAGTCTATGATAAATAGGAACAAGTATACAGTCTTCGAACGTGGTTAAGTGCTAAAAAACATAATGTAGATGTGTGTGGCACCTGTTTTGAATCAGGCGGCCAGGGAGGGCCTCTGAGGTAATATCTAAGCTTCAATGCTATTCAGTGGCCAAGGGGATGGGCAAAGGGAGAGCTGTAGGGTGAGGCCTGGAAACAGGCAGAAATCAGGTCATGCAGGGCCCAGAAGGCATGGGAAGAAGTGTGGATTTGGTCACATCAGGGGTCAGCAAACTCAGCCCCACTGCCTATTTCTGTACAGACTGTGAGCTAAGAAGAGTTTTTCCATTTTTCAGTGGTTGGGAGCGAAAAATCATCAGAAGATTAATGTTACATGAAATTCAGATTTCAGCGTTGGATAAAGTTCTGAATTTCATCGGGGGAAAAAATATGTGGGTATGTGTTTTCTCTCTTGTTAGGTAAGTACCTACCTGACATCTTTGGTTTTGCCTCTTCGCCTACAAAGCTGAAAACATTTGCTACCTGGTGCTTTACAGGGAGAGTGTGCCAACCCCGCTGTGACAACCAGGGCAGGGATGGAAGGTTGAAGGGAGAGGTAGCCTCACCGTTCAGGGTTTAAAGACCCCTCCGGTGCGGTGTGGAGAGCAATGGTGGGAGGAAGGGGAGGCAGGAGACCTGTGAAGAGGTGGTAGTCTGGACTAGGCTGAGGATGGCAGGTCACTAGAGTGAAGGCAGCAGAAGCAGGGCCTGTTCTGAGGAAAATCTGGTTTCTGAAAATGTCCAGCCCTATGACCACCACCCTGACGTGTGCCTCACCTGGCTCCTCAGGCTCCATTGCCTGCCACTCTGCTCTGTCTTTGGGCTGTTTGAGCTCAGCAGCTACAGGATAGGGGGCATGTGGTCTCAGTCCCAGACAGAGATCCCAGGTTGTGGGTGAGTCTTGCAGGGAAGGGTTCCAGTTCCCAGAGCCACTGCCTCCTCCCATCTACTCCCATACAGCGGTCAGGCTCCTGGCTTTCACTTCGGGGCTCGGGGCCGGGATTCTGGAAAATGAAATACTGCTGGATGAGCAAAGGCAACAGGAGCAGGTGTGACCATACACATGAGCTTCCCTGGGACAGACCCAACTACCTCTTCCCTCCAAATTGAAAACACATGTCCACACAAAAACCTGTATGTGAGTGTTCACAGTAGCATTATCTGGGTAAACAAACTGTGGTATATCCACACAATGGATTATTATTCAGCTATAAAAATGAGTGAAGTACTAATACATGGCACAACATGGACTTTAAAAACATTATGCTCAATAAAAGAAGCCAGACACAAAAAAGCCACCTATTGTATGATCCCATTTATATCGCATGTCCAGAACAGACAGAGATTAATCAACGGAAAGTAGATTAATGGTTGCCAGGGGCTGGAGTAAGGGGAATGGGAGTGATGGCTAAAGAGTACAGGCCATAGGTACACACCTGAGGTCACACCTACAGACACAAATGGGGTGTCACACAAAACATCCCTTCCCCACAAACACGCACGGTGACACACCGGACCACTCACACGCACCTGAGGTCTCATCTGCACACACAAATGGTGTCAAACATGCAATACACTCTCCTTTGGACATGCACAAGCGGTAACACATCCGGTCAAATGTACATACCTGAGGTCACATCGGCACACAGAGGCACTGCCGCACACACAAGTGGTGTGTCGCCAGCAAGACACCATTTCCCTCCGAAACGCACACGTGGTGACACACTCAGCCACATGCACACACCTGAGGTTACACCTGCGCACACAAACGCCGACGCGCTGGGTCCCCACACAGCTGAGGTCTCGTATGCACACGGAGGTGGTACCTCACCTGCAAAACACCCCTCCTCTCTGACACGCACACGTGCAGTGTCACATTCGGCCACACACAGCTGAGGTCCCACGGGCACGCACATATCTCTCCTTCTCGTCCTTCGGCACGCGCACGCGCCCACGGTCCCTCCTTTCTCCCCGCCCCCACGACCTCCCCGCGACCCATCCCCGGGTCCGCGCTGCCCTCCGGGCCCCACCCGGCCACTCAGTCACTACCACCGCATGCACACACGAGCCTCGCCGTCCCTCACACTCACATAAGCCCTCAGGCCGGAACCGCAGACTCACCACCACCGCCGACCCCTCACACAGCAGGGTGGCGCCGCCAGCTGCCGAAGTGCGCACACTCGCCAAAGGCACTTCCGGTCCGCATTTCCGCCGATGGCCCGAACGCTGAGTTCGGGACTTTATCTCCCAGAGGGCCCTGCCCGCTGCGCGCCCGGAGCCGGCCGGGCGCAGGATGAATGGTCTTCTGGGAAATGAAGTCCACAGGGCGACGGCGCTGGGAAGCGGTCGTGGGAACGTGGTTGCTCTGCGCCGCGGGCGTGTGGGACCAGACGGATATCGACTCGCGTAGGCTATGTAAACATACAGCGTCCTTTTTTCTTTTCGCACACACGTACATCCGTACGTGTCTCTATAGTTTGGGGAATCTTCTCCCCCGAACCCTGTTCTCCTGTAACGTTTCAGCAGATGCCCTCTACGAACCAGTACATTCTTCCGCCTACCCAAGAAACGACACTGAAACCCACGATTACCTACTCCGTAGTCTATATGCTAATTTCTCCCAATGACGTCGTACGTACCTTTTTGTTCTCATCTTTTATTCAAGCCCAAATAAAAAAACCACGCACTGCGCTCCGCTGACTCCTGATGTGCAGGCTGGCCTTCTCTACTCTTCTCACTAGTCAGTTTATCACAAGGGGAGATTTAAAAAAATCCTGCCACTTAATCTTCGACCAGCATTGTGTAAAACAACTTTCTAGAGATGAGGGGGATGTTCTGTTTGTAACTAGTGAGCAGTTGAAATGTGGTTGATGTGATTGAGGAACTCAATTTTTATTTTATTATTTTTAAAAGATTTTATTTGATAGAGACACAGCGAGAGAGGGAACACAAGCAGGGGGAGTGGGAGAGGGAGAAGCAGGCTTCTTGCCGAGCAGGGAGCCCGATGTGGGGCTCGATCCCAGGACCCCTGGATCATGACCTGAGCTGAAGGCAGACGCTTAACGACTGAGCCACCCAGGCGCCCCTCAATTTTTATTTTAATTTTGGGTGAATTTAAAATTACATTTAAATAGCTACATGTGGTTAGTGACTACCAACGTTGGACAACTTAGAACATCTGGAAGATGTTCACCTTGGATCTCCTTACAAGAGACCTATAGGAGACTTCTTCAGACTGGATGCACATTTCTTCCTAATTACCGTTTGCACAAACGACTTGAGTATCTCTGAAGATGTACAAGGAGATACTGAATGGGCAACTTGGCTCATTCATGTATGGGCTCTCATAATTTGGGCTGGATACAGGGAATTTAATAAAATAACTTGAAAATTTATGTGCTACTAAAATGTATGTGCTAGTTTATAGCTTGCAGAAAAATTCATGGGGTCAAAGCTATTTTACACTTAACTGGTTCCATTAACTCAATGCTCAGATACGTGTGCATTGAGTTAGTTTGTAGCTTAGTGTGGCTAAGAATTTAGTGTGTGTGTGTGTGTGTGTGTGTAGGTGCAACAGAAAATGAAGCCAATGATCAAATTTACTTTAATTTGCAACAGTTGAGATTTTTAATTTAAATTTATTTTATGAACTGGTAATACTTTTACATGTTTCAAAATTCTAAAAATATCAAAAGATATAGAGTGAAAATTATTCCTCATCCATCTCCCCCTAGTTCTCCTCCCCAATAGCAACTAGTATGCCTGGTTACTTTGTACCCTTAGGAGTGTGTGTGTTATGTGTGTATAAACCCATGTTTTTTTACACAAATAGAAACATACTTTACACACTGTTTTATACCTCTTCATTTAACAATGTATCTTGGAGCTCTTTCCCATATTATTACATAAAGACAGTCCCCATTTTTAAAGCCGTGTAGTTCTCCACTCCAGCGTAAATCTCTAGCCAAGTTCCCCATGGTGGACACTGAGGTTGTTTACAAATTTTTACTTCTGAAAGCAATACCATAGTGAGACCATGTACAAACAGTCTACAACATACAAATAAATCTGTTGGATTCACTCCCAGCAACAGGTTTACTGAGACGAGTTGTGTGTTTCTAATCTTAGATAGCAACTAATAAATTGTCCTTCACAGAGGCCGTATCAATTTATACTCCCCTTGGAAATGTGTAGGAAACCTTCCCCCCCCCACCACCTTTTGGATAAAAGTCAAGGCTGATAAAATGCTAGGTGGTCACACTGCTACAATCCTCCTGAAAGGTAATTTAAAAAGCTACATGAAATTGTCAGAGGAAGATGCTCAAAATATAGTAAGAAGCATGTATTACAAGAGAACTAGAAAGAATTCCAATTTTCTAAACACAATACTATAAATATATTTGTGTGTGTGTATAAGATCTACTGTACACCATATGTATACATGTATATTTTTAAGAAAAATTACAGGAAAATTAACAAAATCTTAATGGTAGTGACCATCTCTAAATAGATGTATGAGGAATTAAATTTTACTTCTGTGCATTTTCCACATTTGCAGTAAAGAATTTACATTACTTTTATAAACTGACAAAACCATGTATTCTGTAGTTAATAGTAACCTCCCCTGAGGAGTTTATCTGACTGTTTCAAAATATCTATAAGGAAACGAGTAGGAATATTATGCCTAGAAAACATGACCTGGAATGAGAAATAGAAAATTTGTAAAGATCTCTGTTGTCTGGAGAGGAAGCCAAGTGATGAGCTTGTTTCCAGCTTACCCACTGAGGCCACTGTAACTTCAGCCCACCCAGGAAATACTGAGACTGTGGAAACAAGATCCTTCAGAAGCTGCCATTTTGGGGCTGAGGTGGAGGGAAAGGGGCAGCTGTAAGCCTGGCTTCTAGAGCTGTCTAGAACCATGAAGTTACCGCTGGGTGTCCAGAGGTAACTGCCTCCCAGAGGGCACTGATGGGTAGAACACTCCCAAATCTGCACCCCACAGGACAGGCAAGAGGAATGGTTAAAAGTGGGGCTTATCCATGTTTTACAATGTCCATGATAAAATGCTAAAATTTACTCAAAAATAAGTAGATTCTCTTCCTTTTCTCACACCAATTAGGATTGCTACAAAATGGTCAAAAAAATTACTAGGAAACATTTGTGTATAAAACAGTTAATGATATCATTTGTTACAATCAAAGCTATAGGACTGTTAGTATAGCCCTCATCAATTTAGAATCTTTCTGGAAAAAGTTGGTTGTAGTGCTGGGTATGGTTTCTCTACCCTGGCATATTTGTGGCTAGATAATTCTTTGTTGAGGGGGCTGTCTTGGGCATTATAGGATGTTCAGCAGCATCCTCTACCCACTAGCTGCCAAGTGGCACCCCTCTGTTCTGCCTGTTATGACAACCAAAAATGTCTCTCAACATCACCAAATGTCTCCTGGAGGACAAATCTACCCCAACTGAGAACCTCTGGTTTAAGCAACACTGACCGTTTCAAGGCAATGGCTTTCAGTAGAAGCTGTGACACTCCCAGGGAATGTAGCAGAATTTCACGGGAGCTTTTTTGTCATTTGATCTGGACATGAATGTGGCTGACATGTGGGTGGGGGCCAAGTGTGCTCTAATGACTGTGAAGTGCAGAACAGGCCCCTGTGGACCATGTATGTATGTATGTGTGAAACAACCAGTTTGTAATGTATGAACTGAGAGCCTAAGTCAACTTCACATATAAACACAAATTAACTCCTGCATGCTTAGAATTCTATACAGAATTTTCCAGAAATGCAGTGGTATTTTGTTTCGTTCAAAACTTTTGCAAGAGTTAGTCACCACTTAAGAAAATCACATCTCATACAGGAATGCCCCTCACAATATTTCCATGGCCAACACTATTTCCCATATACCAGATGACAACAGCCAATGCCCCAAGTGTCCAGGCATAATGGCCCACACAGTCACATGGAGAGATACCACACCCACTTAGTACACATTACTTTACCATAAGTTACTTTTGTTTTAATTATGCTTTACAAAAAGGGGCCATATATTGATTTTTTACAGTACACATGTGTGTAGGTTACATTACCTTTAAATTCATTTTGGAGTAATATAAGGAATAGCACAAAACACCTGTGGTTAACGGGGGGGCACTGAGCTTGACAGATTTGAGAACCATCAATCTCAGGTATTTGGAAAGCACCATTTCCTTAAATCAGAGGTCACCTTAGGCATTTCTACCCCCAGTCCCCCTTTCCATGAATGCACTATGTGGACTTACCACATTTTTGCACCTGTGGTTCAAAAGTCATCTGTAGAGTTTCTTTCCTATGAGGATTCTCTTATGTCGAGTAACACGGAAGCACCCATGGAAGACTCTTCAACCCCAATAACGTGAACTGGGTTTTTCTCTTGCATGATTTCATGGATGTCAAACAGGGCAAGTGCCCGGCTCGCAGGCTGTCCTGCCTTTGTCCCGCCCCCAGGGTTCTCACTTGAGTGTGTATGCTGATGGCGGCCAAGGTGTGAGCTCCGGACAAAGGACTGCTCAAGCCGTCGCCGGTTCCGTCCCTGGGGCTCCTCTCTGGTGTGAGTTATCTGGTGTCGGATGAGGTGCGAGCTCTGAATAAAACATTTCCCACAGTGATTACACTTAAAAGGCCTGTCGCTCCGGTGAGCTCTCTCATCTGGATTCAAAGGTGGGTCACAGCCGAGGGCTTCTGTCCATTCATGCTTTGTTAAAGCGGGTGTCTGCTCAAAGATTAGCCTCTGGCGGCACTCATAGGGCTTCTCCCCAGCATGCTTTCGCTGATGCTGGGCCAGAGAGGAGCTGTGCCTGAAGCCCTTCCCACAGTGGTTGCACTCATAGGGCCTCTCCTCTGTGTGCGTCCTCAGATGCAGGAACAGGCAAGTGGTCCGTGAGAAGGATTTCCCACACACGCTACAAGTGTATGGCTTCTCTCCAGTGTGTGTCCGCTTGTGCCGACCCAGGGATGAATTCTGGTTGAAGGCCCGCCCACAGTCCTGACATTCATAGGGTTTCTCTCCAGTGTGAATTCTCCGATGGACTGTAAGGTGTGTGCTATGGCAGAAAGACTTCCCACACTCGGCACATTTATAGGGCTTGTCTCCTGTGTGGATTCGCTCATGCTGAACCAGGGAGGAGTTCTGGCTGAAGGCTTTCCCACATTCTTTGCACATATAAGGTCTTTCTCCCGTGTGAATCCTCTTATGCACTGTGAGATGTGCGTTGTGGTTAAACGACTTCCCGCAGTCTGTACATTTGTAGGGCTTATCCTGTACCTGGCTTCGTGTGAGTTCCGTAATTGGAATGGCCTGACTAGAAGTTTTGCTACAGTCACTGCTGTCACATGGCTCTTTTCCTGAGGAGCCTGTCTGCTGACTGACTAAGCTTGAGTTACATTCTGAGTTTATAACCTGTGAGTCATAAGCACAGAGATAGTCTCTCCTAGAAATCTCCGGGAATGGATTTAGGTTTGAGCTCAGGACACCATTTTCCCCAAGTCTGAGACTTTCATAGCTTTTATCTTGAATTGGTGCTTCCTCGAGGCTAAATTCCAATTGCCTTAAATTATTCTGTTCCTGGCCCTTACATTCCCAGTCTTCCCCTAGTATGGTGGGACAGGAAGCATCCCTCAGGAAGCCTTCCCTTTCGGTGACACAGGATGTCTCCACCTCAGGAAGGCCAAGCTCCTTGGGTGGCACTTGGCTTTGAGGTCCAGGCTCCCGGCCTAAAAGAATATCAAAGAGCTCTGAGGGAGTTGGTGGAAAAAACACAGAGAGGGTGACAGGCCCTCCTTTCCAGACTCCCTAGTGGCTGGGGAAGGGTAGGTGGATGCGACCCAGTCCCGACCAAGGGGACCTCAATGGATGAAATCTGGAGTTCTGATAAAAGGGGACAATGTGACTGGTACTATTCTTCCTACTTCCCTCTCCCTCTGCCTGAAGCACTGGATGTGATGGCCAGAGCTGCTGCATCCATGCCATAACCCAAGGAAAAGCCAGAAGAATCAGAACCATCAGCCCTGGCATCAATGGAATGCTGAGCCAGAGGCAGCAGTGGTTGCTTTGTCGGGGGGGGGGGGGAAAGCTTCTTTTTCTGAGCTGCTCTAGCCCAGTTTTCAGATATTTACAGAGGAACACAATCCTTTTTGCTAAGAGAACAGATGGATGTGGAGAACAGGTTTACAGAATCTAGACATGAAAGAATAAAATGGAGAAGATGGAGGGCAAGTTCACACATTAGAAATGATCCTGTGGAGGGGCACCTGGCTGGCTCAGTCTGTAGAGCATGCAACTCTTGATCTCAAGGTTGTGAGTTCAAGCCCTACGCTGGGGGCAGAGATTACTTAAAAATAACATCTTAGGGGCGCCTGGGTGGCTCAGTTGGTTAAGCAGCTGCCTTCGCCTCAGGTCATGATCCCAGGGTCCTGGGATTGAGCCCCGCATTGGGCTCCCTGCTGAGCGGGGAGCCTGCTTCTCCCTCTCCCACTCCCCCTGCCTGCCACTCCCTCTGCTTGTGTTCCCTCTCTCTCTGTCAAATAAATAAAATCTTAAAAAAAAAAAAAATCTTAAAGAAAAAAAAGAAAAAGAATGATCCTGTGGAAAGGGCATGCTCAGACGGCCATTGAGAGAGAACGTGAGAGGGAGGAAGGGGTGGGATTCTGACGCCTGGGGAAGAGGCAGATGGGGAGCATGGATGAGGGAAACAGGGAGCATAGGAGCAGCATGCAGACCTTCTGTGCAGAAAAGAGCTAACAGGGCAGGCCTGAGGCTGCCATCCTTAGGACAGCTTTTGAGATTGGCCCTGGGAATCTGGATTTCAGGAGAGTTCCCACCACTCTAACTGATAAGAGTAGCTCACTGTGCCCAAACTGTGCCAACAATATGGTTTATGGTGAACACCTGCTTTCTCCTGGGAGTCTAGAATCTTGGTCCATGTCAGGCACAGGGTGCCTATGGCCATCCCCCAGTGAAACCCCCTGGCATTGAGCCTCTAACAAGTTTCCCTGGTAGCTAAGATTTCTCAAAGGTTGTCACAACAAAGCTGGGGGAACTAAGCACGTCCCATGCGACTCTGCTGGGAGAGACCTCTGGAGTCTTGGCTGGCTTCTGGACTTCACCCCTTCAGCATTTTCTTCTTGCTAACTTTCCTCTATATTCTTTCACTGGATCTTTGGATGGTCTTGGGGACCCTGACACACCACTCTTTCTAAGCAGCACATCTGCAGTCACCTCTTGGGCTGCTCCCATTAGGCAGCATCTCACCTGGACAGTAGCCCTGGGCAATTCCTCTCTCTGCTGCCCATAGCTCAGCCCCTTGCTCCAGCTGGGAGATGACTTCAGGTTTTGGAAGCTCAGGCCCTGGAAAAAGGGAAAGACACAGGATGTGTGGATCTGCTACAGAGAGAAAGAACCAGCTTAGGATCCAGCCCTGACTCCTGATAGGGCATGAGGACATCTCACAATAAGGGGAAAACTTTGCATTGGGACAGAAAAGGGCAGAAACCCCCCTGCCCATTTGTTCCACAGGGAATGAGAATGCAAGATCTCTAATCCCCAGCCCAAGGTCAAGTCCTCATACCAGAGGCCCTATGACCTATAACCCATGAAGAATAAGTCACTGCAGGAATTTGATCATCAGCTGAGGAAGCAGGCCTTACCCACAGAGAGGAGATGCCCAAAGGTCTCCAGCATCACGTCACGATACAGGGTTCTCTGGGCAGGGCCCAGCTGCCCCCACTCTTCCTGGGTGAAGTCCACCGCCACATCCCGGAAGGTCACCGGCTCCTGAAACATCACACACACTCTTGAACAGCTCAACTGTGTCCATCAGTGCTCCCAGGAAGAGGAGGAGGAGGAATGGTGATGCAGAGGACAGGCAGGCCAGTGTCCTGAGAGAGCGCATGTTCTGAGTAATGTGAGTCAGGTCTCACTGGGGGCATGTGAAAGTAGCCAAGCAAGATCAAAGCTAACCACAGCTGATCTACAACTGATCTCAGACAGGTGCAGGTGCAGAGACTGCTGACTTGCTTATGTGTGGGCTAAAGAAATGGCTACTGGTTTAAGCCACTAAGTTTTGGGATAGTTTGTTACCCAGTAACATCTAACTGTTACTTTGAATGAATCCTCTGATTCATTCCAAGCAAGGCTCATTATCCTCCCTGAAAAGAGGGGTTTACAGTTGGGAGTCAGAAACTCACCTACCTTTAGGGACCAGGCAGGCTCATCAGTGAGTGAAATGGGCTATGCTAAGAGCCTACAAAAGTACTTAATCTGTGAGAGGTGACACTGAAGGTGATGGGTAACATGTGCACTGTTTGAAGGGGCAGCTGGGACTCAGAACCAACTGATCATGGGGAAATGCAGGGCTCATATGGTCAGAATTGCCAATCTGTAGTGAGTAGCTAAAAATTTGGTCAAATTTTTAAATGAACACTTTAAATTTTTGTAAGTTGATGCAATGTATTTAAAACATGTCCCACAGGGGCGCCTGGGTGGCTCAGTCGTTAGGCATCTGCCTTTGGCTCAGGTCATGATCCCAGGGTCCTGGGATCGAGCCCCACATCGGGCTCCCTGCTCCACGGGAAGCCTGCTTCTCCCTCTCCCACTCCCCCTGCTTGTGTTCACTCTCTTGCCGTGTCTCTGTCAAATAAATAAATAAAATCTTTAAAAAATAATAATAATAAATAATAAAACATGTCCCACAAATCAAACCCTTCTGTGGGCTGGGTGTGGCCGCTGTCAAAAGCTAGGTATTTCTGGATCCAAGTTTTGACTCTGCCACTTCCTCCTCAAGACGTATACGCAGGTACCCACTTCTACTTCCTTGTTTCCATGTCTACAAAGAATCACTCCTTGGGGGCTGTGATGGGGAATAAGCAGCTGTAAAACACTTTCTACAGGACAACATGCAAAAGAATGAAGTCGGTCCCCTACCTCACAGCATATAAAAAGTTAATTCAAAATGGATAAAAGACAAAATATAAGAGCTAGGACTATTAAACTCTTAGGAGAAAACACAGTGATAAATCTTCACAATCTTGGATTGGCAAACGATTCTTAGATATGAGAGCAAAAGCACAAGCAATGAAATAAAAAATAAATAAGTTGGACTTCATCAAAATTAAAAAATTTTGTGCTCCAAAGGACACTATCAAGAAAGTGAGGGAAAAAAAAAAAAAAGTGAAAAGCCATCCACATGCTGGGAGATAACAATAGCAAATCACACATCTGGTAAATGACTTGTATCCAGATACTATACCTCCTACAACTCAATAACAACAACAATCCAATTAAAATGGGCAAAGGATCTAGACAGGTATTTCTTCAAAGAAAATATAAAATATACAAATACTGAATAAACACATGAAAAGACGCTCAGCATCATTAGCCACCAGGGAAATGCAAATCAAAATCACTTACTAAATACCTCAATTATAAAAGGGTATTTTCTTTTAAGAAAAACACAAGTATATTTTAAAATATTAAAGAAATTATAGTATACATGGCATATGGCTGACAAAAATTGTGCAGGAAGCACGAAGAACCCTTTGGTTGGGAACAGAGGTCTCTGTTCCTATCCCCATGTCATCACCTCCCAGTCAGAAGGTCCTCCTGCCTCCCCCACTCTGCATGGGTTGTCAGTGGCAGCCCAGGCACCAGGTCCACTGAGTACTGGTCTGTCCAGGCCATAAGACCTCTCAGTAGCAGCACATGAATCCTTCATGTCTCCCCCTGAAATTCTACCAGGAGCCCACTCCTTGTCCTTCTAAGGGGAGAGTGGAGGGAGACTTAACTATAGAAGACAAAAGGCAATGTGACCACTAAAGCAAGATGCCATGCTGCCGGCCTTGACAAAGGGCCACTGCCATTAGCCAAGGAATACAAGATCTACAGCTGTAATAGTTAGAAAAGACAAGAAAACCGATTCTCCCCTAGATTCTCCACAGGAAGGGTGGCTCTGCCCACATCTTGATTTCAGCCCAATGAAAATGATTTCAGACTTCTTACCCCCAGAACTTTAAGAATAAATGTGCACTGCTTTAAGCCACCAAATCTGCGGTGCTCTGTTATAGCAGCCCCAGGAAGCTTACACTGGACCCCAAAGCCCTCTACTTCCTTGCCTTGTGTGGTGGCCAGCCTCCAAGACAGCTCCCAATGATCCCCAGCCCTTATGTAGTTGTATAGTCCCCTCCTATTCCGTGCATGTTTGACCTGTGTAACCAACAGGATATTGTGCAAATGACAGTGTGTAAATCCTGACCCCAGAGCACAAAAGGCACTGGGGCTTCTACCTTGCCCTCTCCTGGATCACTCACTCTTTGGGAAGCCAGATGCCAAGTTGTGAGGACAGCCAAGCAGCTCCACAGAGAGGCCCGCATGGGAATGAACTACTAACACTCATGTGAGTGAGCCATCTTTGGAGATGGATCCTCTAGCCCCAGTCAAGTCCCAGATGACAACAGTCCAGACCGACATCTTAATCATAACCTCATGTGCCCAGGCCAGAACCACCAGCTAAATCATTTGAGGATTTCTGTCATCAGAAACTGAAGTAATATTTATTGTTGTTTTGGACCACTTAGTTTTAGGTTATTTGTTACACAGCAACAGATAACATACACTTTCTCTTACTGCTAACAAAGATTTTCTCCTCTGAACCTTCTTCTCAACTAGGTCTTGATCTCTGGGCTTCTGTGTCCATTTTGCATCACCCAGATTCATAAAGGGTTGGTTCAGTCAGAATCCCCACCCACCATATCTGATCAGTCTCCATAACTTTTCAAAGTCCTCATCCCCCACAATCCTCCAGGCAATATCTGATCACTTGGCCTGCTTCGACAAGAATCCTGTTAGAGGGGCGCCTGGGTGGCTCAGTCGTTAAACATCTGCCTTTGGCTGGGGTCATGATCCCGGGCTCCCTGCTTCTCTCTCTCCCACTCCCCCTGCTTGTGTTCCCTCTCTTGCTGTGTCTCTCTCTGTCAAATAAATAAATAAAATCTTAAGAAAAAAAAAAAGAATCCTGTTAGGTCATGGGGCACCTGGGTGGCTCAGTCAGTTAAGCATCTTACTCTTGGTTTCAGCTCAGGTCATGATCTAAGGGTCATGAGATCAAGCCCCACATTGGGCTCCGTGCTCAGCGCAGAGTCGGCTGGAGATTCTCTCCCCAACCCTCGCCCCGCTCATGCGCTCTCTAAAATAAATAAAATCTTAAAAATAATAATAACAGTAACAATAACAATAATAATAAAGTATCCTGTTAGGTCAGTTTAGCAAGAATTACACCCACCCCCGACCCCAGGTATAAATTCCCACCTTTACTTGTATTTGGAAGTCTCTTTCCCCCATTCCAAAAGTTTCTGAATAAAATCTCTTTTGATTGCTTTAATTACTATCCAGCTGTTTTACTTTGACAATGCTCATTCCCTGCCACACCCCAACCACAGCAAAAGCAAAATAAAGGGTGATTGCACTATTAATGCGCATCTGAAAACATGCAAATCCTTGTAAACAACAACAAAAGACAGTAAGTGCAGAATTTCAAAGATGTGGCAATTCAGGAATTACGAATTATTTTTGGTTTCTGCCACGTGGAGACAGCACTTTATGGGGAACACAGGCAGCGGCCACTGTGTCTAGAAATGCTGGACCTTTGAATCAGGCACCTTCCCAGATGACCTTGCAAGCACGGACCGCCCGGTGCTGCAGTTCACCCACAGCCCCCGCGGGGAATGTGGGAGGGGGGGCCCCGATAGTCGCTCCCGCCCCACTAATGCGGTGCGTGGTGACCTGTCCTTACCCTCAGAGGCTGGGCCAGGGGCCTCGCGGAGCAGGGCTCTCGGTGGCTGGTCCATGAATTAAATCATCTCTGTTCGGTTAATACCTGCCATCTCGGCGCTCCACTGACACCAGTTACTATTACCCGTCACAGAGCAACTGGCCTTCGGGGCGCGGGGAAGGCTGTGCGACGGAGCCGCGCCAGCCACGTCCTAGGGAACGAGCCTAAGCCCAGTCCCAGAACCGGGAAGGAGCAGTACCGGCGGAGCATGCGCACTCGGGGAGCAGATGGCCGGGTTCGAGTCCCAGCTCCACCCTTACCAGTCGGGCCAGGCAGCGCGCCCCGACCTGCGCCTCCGTTTTCTCCTGTGTAAAGAGCGATAAGGCCCGGGCCCTGCTCACCGTGCGCTGCGAGGGTTAAAGGGTCGATACCTGCGGGAGACGCTCGGCCCGCTGCCATCGTTGTTATTATTATTATTATTGTTGTTACCTGAAGCCATTCCGCTGGCAACCCCGTAGTCATCGCCAGTGCAGTCGCTTCCTCTTCGGGGTTCATCCAGGACCGATAGGTCGAGGAGAGGAGCCCGAAGCGGCCGTAAACCGAGAGCAGCGCCGGCCTCAAGAACCACTCCACTCGCCGCCCGCCGGACAATGGCGGCCGCACTGGTGACGCTGCGACTACAACTCCCAGAAGACAGTGCGGCGCGCCGCAGCGCCCGACCAATGGAAGCCTTGGTTCGTCGAGCCTCCCACCAATGAGAGCCTTTTGGCTTCAGGTCAATGGGACCGTCCGTCCGTTGGGCCTCCGGCCACTGGGGGTGCTCCTGGCACAGACCCCGGCGAGGCGGTGGCGGGCGGGTGCCCGGCGGGTGGCAGCGGGCGGTGACTCTGGGCGGCGGCGCACGCCGGGGTGCTGGGCAACTGGGCGTCTCCGTGCCCGGGGGGGAAGGGGGGCGCGCACGGGCTGCGAAGGAACCCGGGTCATGGGGGCTCGCGCTCCCAGCCTAGCCGTTGGGGGTTCGCGTCTGCGCGGGGCCACGGCCCGCAGTCAGCTCTTGCGGCCGCACATGAAGCTGCCGCTCTGTCCACGCTGGAATGGGGAGCCCTGCTTCGAAACCGGGGCCCGAGCGCCCTAGCGCCCTAGCTGGCAATGCTTTACTCTTTGCAGTATATACTGCCGTTGTACTTAGAACCTATTTTCTTTTTTTTTTTTTTTTAAGATTTTAGTTTTTGACAGACACAGCGAGAGAGGGAACACAAGCAGGGGGAGTGGGAGAGGGAGAAGCAGGCTTCCCGCGGAGGAGGGAGCCCGATGCGGGGCTCGATCCCAGGACCCCGGGATCATGACCTGAGCCGAAGGCAGACGCTTAACGGCTGAGCCACCCAGGTGCCCCTTTCCTCGTGGTTTTAATGGTGCTGAATCTTCAATGCGTGATGTTTCCCTGTTGTTTTAATTTTGAATTTTCTACTTCTCGTAGTTTTGTTTTCTCCTTGATTATATTATAGGGGGTTTGTCTCTTGCAATAGTTCTCAAAGTGTGGGCGAGGGACACCTGGAGTTTCCTGAGCCCCTTCCTCTGAGTTGGTGAGTTCAAAAGTAAGTGCATAATAATAGCTTTCCCCCCCCACTTCCATTCTCTCACAAACGTACATTAGAGTTTTCTGGAGGCTTCTGGATGAGTAATATTGCAACAGATTGAAAAGTGTTAAAGATAAAACGGTTAAAAACAGATTTTATTCATATACTGCTGACAATAGGGGAAGGCACGGAGCTCCATTTGCATTTGTGCAGAGGGGATTGGACCTTTTAAAGATAGAGAATTAGAATGCACAAACAATGAATCATGGAACACTGCATCAAAAACTAATGATGTAATGTATGGTGGTTAACATAACAGTAAAAAAAAAAAAAAAGATAGAGAATTAGAAGAGGGAGAGAGCAGGGCTCATGTGGAAAATTATAAAGTGTTGGTCAGTGTAAATATGTTGAAGTCAGCCGTGGCGTGGCACCAGCTGGTAATTATCAAAGTTAGGATTCTATCTTCCTACAGAGACTGGAGACAGCAGCCCTTTCCTTCCTGATGATACTATTTCAAAGGAATGGCTTTTAGGTGATTGAGAAAAATCCTTCCGAGTTGTAGGATATACACAGACATCTCTTTTAAGCTCTTTTTAGTAAATGCAGTAAGAAAGGGAGGTAGGAGCCTATCCTTGGGTGTTGGCTAGAACAAACAGCAATTTCTCCTGGCAGCATTTCTCAGGGAGGCATTAGGCAGGCATTTGAATGGGAGGCTGGTGTCTTTGTGCGGACACAGCATTATGCTGCTAGAAGCCTTGTTAGAGTTTGGTTGTCTCTTAATGTAGAGGTTTGGACTGAGTTCTCCAGTGCTGAGTTCTGCAGTTCTCAAGGGCACAAGCAACTTTGGAAACCAGCTGCTTTCCATCAAGCCAGACATTAAAGAGATTTGCAAAAATATAATGCAGTGCTACTCTTTTCACTAATATTTATTTGTTTTGGAAAATGTAGTTATTTTCCATAAAGTAGGGTTTTGTTTTTTTTTTAAACAAAACAAAATGTTGTATTCATTTGTTAGGGCTGCCATAACAAAGTACCACGAACTGGGTGACTTAACAGAAATTCATTGTCTCAGTTATGGAGATTAGAAGTCCGAGATCAAGGTTTTTATATGGTTTGCTTGTTCAGAGGGCCTGAGAGAGAGACTGCTCTATTCCTCTTTTCTCAGCTTCTGGTGGTTTCCTGCCACTCTTTGGCATCCCTTGGCCTGTAGATCTCTGCCTTCATCTTCACGTGACTTCTCCTCTTTTTATAAAGAAACCAGTCATTTTGGAGCAGGGTTCACCATAGTGACCTCGGTTTAACTTAATTACCTCTATAGAGACCCTATCTCAAAATAAGGTCACATTCTGAGATATGGGGTTAGAACTTAAATATAGGAATTTCCAGGGGACACAATTCAGCCTATAACATATGTTAACATATGGATTTATTTTTATTTTTTAAATGGATTTATTTTTTAAAAATTAAATATTTTTTTGTTTTAATTCTTAATATGACAAATATTGATAGATAGAACCTCTATAAACAAAAACTGTTTGGGGGGCGCCTGGGTGGCTCAGTCGGTTAAGCATCTGCCTTCGGCTCAGGTCATGGTCCCACAGTCCTGGGATGGAGCCCCGCATCAGGCTCCCTGCTCAGTGAGGAACCTGCTTCTCCCTCTCTCGCTCCCCCTGCTTGTGCTCTCTCTCTCTGTCAAATAAATAAAATCTTAAAAAAAAAAAGAATCCCAGCTGAGCTCACAGTTGGCAGCCAGCATCAACTGCCAGTTTGTCAGTGCGTCATCTTCGTTCTGAGCCTTCAAATGAATCCAGCTCCCGTTGTACCTACCTGAAACTGCACTCGAGGCCGTAAGTGAGAACCACCCAGTTGATCCCAACCAACTTACGGAACGGTGAGAAATTAAAGCATTGTTTTAAACTACTGTTTGGGACGTTTGTTATGTAGTATTAGAAAAGTAAATCTGTGGCTTGTGGATTTTTCTCTCCTAAAAGTCTCTCCTGCTCCTTCCTGCCTATTTCCACCCCAAGGGCATTAGTTCAGGCTCTCATCATTGTTTTTAAAAATGTAAAAAATGTTGTTTTTTTTTTAACAAGTAATACATTCTCATGGCTTGAAATTCAGCAGGTACAATTGGGTATCTGGTGAGATCTTCCTCTGTCCCTTGACTCCTACCACCAGCTTCCCTCCTCATTAGCAACTACTATTTTTAGTTTCTTGGAGATCTTTCTGTAGATATATTATGCATTGACAAGTAAATACGTATAAATATTTTTTCACTCTTTTACACACGTGGTGGGCTACCACATATTGAATTTTTCCTTTTATTCGTTTAACAATATTCTGGAAATCTTTCCATACAAGCATGTAAGGCCCTTCCTTATTATTTTTAACAACTTTATTGAGATATTAGTCTCATTTCATCCATTTAAAGTGGGGTCCAATTGGAGCATAGGGAATTTCTGGGGCCGAAAAAACGACTTTCAACTTAAGAGAACCTTTGTGGAATGGAGGAGGGTGTCTGTAGAGAACCACAGAAGAAATAGCTCATGACAGGGGCGCCTGGGTGGCTCAGTCGTTAAGCATCTGCCTTTGGCTCAGGTCATGATCCCAGGGTCCTGGGATCTAGCCCCACATTGGGCTCCTTGCTCAGCGGGAAGCCTGCTTCTCCCTCTCCCACTCCCCCTGCTTGTGTTCCCTCTCTTGCTGTGTCTCTCTCTGTCAAATAAATAAAATCTTAAAAAAAGAAATAGCTCATGACAGGACAAAAATATAAAGAAATGGGAATCTTGATGGAAAAGATAATAGCCCAGGGCTACCTGGGTGGCTCAGTCGGTTAAGGGTCTGCCTTTGGCTCAGGTCATGATCTCAGGGTCCTGGGATCGTGAGTCTTGTGTTGGGCTCCCTGCTCTGTGGGGAGTCTGCTTCTCCCTCTGCCCCTCCCCTTCCCACTTGTGCTCTCTCTCATATAAATAAAATCTCTAAAAAAAAAAAAAAGATAATAGCCCTGGTAGACAGATCCAGAAGACCTCATGGATGAATAATGGGGACTCCGGATGGAGAAAGAGGGACAGAGAGAGAAGCTAATGATCAAGTCACCCACTGAGGAAAGTTTTCTGATGTGAAAAACTTGTCAGGACACAGAAAGCTTACCAAGCTCTTGACAGGAATAATGTATTAAACTGTTTGAAAACCGGGGCGCCTGGGCGGCTCAGTCGTTGGACGTCTGCCTTCAGGTCGGGTCATGATCCCAGGGTCCTGGGATCGAGCCCCGCGTCGGGCTCCCTGCTCTGCGGGAAGCCTGCTTCTCCCTCTCCCACTCCCCCTGTTTGTGTTCCCGCTCTCGCTCTCCGTCAAATAAATAAATAAAATAAATAAACTGTTTGAAAACCTAGTCACACGTGTGTGTTTTATGTGTGTGAATATAACTATTGTGACCGTTATGTCAAGCTTGTTAATCATTTCACAGCAAATCACTTATCTACTTGAACAGCCTTTTTTTTTCTGAGAGAAATATATTAAAGTTTCCGAAATGACTAGATTTATCCATTTTCCTGGTATTTCTACCATTTTTTTTTCAGTTGAACTATTTCTAAAGATTCATGGTCATTTAAAAATCTTTGTATATTTTAACTTTTACTAACATAAATCATCCCCCTGCAGAACAGGTTATTGAATCAAGTGGTCTGAAACCCTGTAATGCTCTTCATATCCCAGTGTCTTTCCAGGAACTATACCCCTCAACACTTCTCCATCAGTGCATCTTCCTCACCAACCCCTGATATATGGGCTTTACAATTTTTTTTAAAGAATCCTTGCAAAGCCAGTGGGCATGGAACAGTGACTAGTCTTTTAAATTTGCATTTTCCTAGGTTAGATCTATGTACCTACTGCTAGGCTATGTTTGAATCCTTTCTTCTAAGCACTTTGGATTGTCTCAGCTTTACTTTACCAGCGAATGTCAGACCATTTGCTTACCTTACCATATGGTCATTATATGTTCATCCAGGGTTTATTGGGTGCCCTCTCTGCTCTGGACTCTCTGGAGCCCTCTGGGCCCTCTGCCTGGCAGCTAGGAACAGCTCCCTTGTCCTCACATTTCAGGGGAGAAAGATGCTGGGTTTCTATGAGCATCTTCCTAGGGAGCTTAGCACAGCTGTGGCCAAACACCAGGAAGACTGCTGGGGAAGGCAACCCCGTCGGAGCAGAGCATTTCCAAGGTCAGGATACAGACCTACGAGGGAAAGGTCCTGTTGTGAAGCAGCCAGATGTAGAATCCTCAAATTTGGACTGATGCACAAGCTATTTTCTACCTAGGATGGCTAGATGTGTGGCCTCAATGTGCAGTAGGCAAAGGGTATTCCATTGCCACTCTCTCTGAGGGCAGCAATGTGGGAACGGTTTCTACATGTGCAGGAGACACAGAAGCCACCATCAAGCTATTACATCTTCTCCAACTGGAAGGCTTCTTTCCACATGTTCCGTGGCCCATCCCGTGTCTGAGAACACAGTTGGGCATGGCTCTTTGTTTTGAAGTGATGCTTCATTTTCCCCTCCAGAGATCCTAGTTCCAGCCTAGACTTGACCACCAACTCAGTCTGTGTCCCTGAATCCCCTCACAGGATGACTGCTTGATTCCCATCCCCTGAGAGAGTAAGATTAACACCTCCTGTGTCAGCCTCTTTGGTAGTAGCAGATTGGTCCCAGCCTGCACAGTAGGAAATGGAACCTGCAGAACATCCGTCATCTAAGGGGAGGAGACTGAGGAACAGAGAGGTGGGCATAAGTGCCCCCCCCCAGGTCACACAGCACATTCATTAAGGAAAACACACTGAATATGACTAATGAGTCTTTTTCTTTTTTTTAAAGATTTTATTTATTTGACAGAGAGAGACACAGCGAGAGAGGGAACACAAGCAGGGGGAGTGGGAGAGGGAGAAGCAGGCTTCCAGCAGAGTGGGGAGCCCGACGCGGGGCTCGATCCCAGGACCCTGGGATCATGACCTGAGCTGAAGGCAGACGCTTAACAGCTGAGCCACCCAGGTGCCCCTGGCAACTTGGCTTTTAGAGTGTTGTCTGTACCCCAACTGAATAAGGATGTCTCACTGTACCTAGACTATGCAAACAATGTGATTTGCACTGAGCACCTGCTTTTTCCAGGAGTCTGGGATTTGGTCCATGCTAGACAGAAGTGCCTACTTACCTGATCCTCAGTGAGCTTTGTATGACCCTCTCAGGGGAGGGGCAGCATTACAAGCCTGCACGTAGATTCCCCCCCACTTTCCCCGTCTTTCTCCTTACGGTCCAACTGTGCATCCTTGCTGCCTCAGTCTAATAAATCTTAGCTGTGAGTACAATGATATGCTGAGTCCCATGAATTCGTCTAGAAATCTCTGGATGTGGGGGTGGCCTTCTGGGCCCCCAACAATTCCACTGCTAGTTGTTCAAAATTATGCATAGGATTATTTTGATACCTGTATTCTGAAAAGGGGGAGGGAGGATGGATTTCTGTTTCTTGTTAAATGGAGCCTCTGGGTCACATGTAATAGATGTGGTATCACTTATAGAGTTTTTCTAAGAAAAAAAAAAGCCACAAATTTAAATGAAACCAACAAAGATAAAACAGATACATGGATATATAATTTTGAGATTACTTTTTACAAAATGTTAAGAAAACAAAACAAAAAAATGTTAAGAAAAAAATAGGGGTGCCTCTGTGGCTCAGTTGGTGGAGCATGCAACTCTTGATCTCGGGGTTGTGAGTTTGAGCCCATTGGGTGTAGAGATTACTTTAAAATCTTTAAAAGACAAAACAAAACACACATACACACAAAAAAACCCCAAAATGTTAAGAAAAAAATAGAAAGTGTATTTGAACTATGCAAATATCTAGAAACCCCCTTAGCCTGACCAAGTGGGCTCTCTGAAGATGGGCCCAGGAACGTGCAATTCTAACCGCTCCCCTCAGGTGGGTCTTATGCATGTTTCAATCAGAAACCACTGGCCTCTGGGTATGGGAATCATTTGGGTGGAAAGGTCTCAGGTTCTTCTTTCTTTCTTTTTTAAAGATTTTACTTATTTATTTGACAGAACGAGACACAGCAAGAGAAGGAACACAAGCAGGGGGAGTGGGAGAGGGAGAGGCAGGCTTCCCGAGGAGCAGGATCCTGGGATCATGACCTGAGCCGAAGGCATATGCTTAACGACTGAGCCACCCAGGTGCCCCTCAGGTTCCTATTTCAAATGAGCCCACTTCTTGGGTCCTGTGAGCCTCAGGTTTCCACTTAGGAGGAGGTAGAATACCTATCAGAGCAAGGCTAATGCACTGGTTGCATATACAGCAGCAGCTGCATCCTTCCTTTCCCTATATCTCTTCATCTCCATCTTCTTCCAGTTCCCACTGGGCTTAGTCTCTAGGCACACACAACCGCTAAGCCTCTGCGTGGAGTCCCCACTACGGAAAAAGGGACTTGAGGACACTGTGGCATCACACATATCTTCCGTACCTGAGTCTCTAGCAGTGCCTTCATTGAATGGAGGCTACGCTCATGACTTGCTTGAATGCAGACACCTCTCAGATGTTTGGTCAACAAGAATTGTCAAACAACGTGCGTGCACTTTGCTGGATCTGTTGGCAGGTTCTTCCTCCCATGCTCTGGCATCTCTTGAGAGCTATGCAATAACATTGGTGCAGGCAGCAATCAGGACCAACGATCCAATCAGGAAGCCAAGTCCCCACCTGTTTTGTGCGGGCTGCCCTAGCGAAGGTATTTTCCGTCTCAACCTCAGGGTCTCATATGAATCACGAGAGCTATATTACTTAAAGGGTTTTATGACAGATATCAGGTAACTGCCAGAGTGACCTTGGGGGAAGTACATTCAGTACTTGGTTATGCAAATTCACACAACTGTCTTTCTCCATCTTGTTTCAGGATACCAGCACCTCTCCAGGTCCCCACTCTTGGGGGCCTTCTGACTGGTATTAAGGCTTCTGGAAAATCAAGTCTTAAAAGACTAAGCCACCCCACTTTGATACCAGGGACTTCTAAGAAATCAAGGAGCCTTCCTGCCCTTCTGGATAAAGTCTAATTGGCCAAACAGAAAAGTCTGACATCGTTTTTTTTGTGCTCTTGTTTTTTAAATTGTCAATCTATTATAGCAACACTGAATCAAAAGAAAGAAAACTGTATATAATCCCACAAATCACTTGCAGATGTCTTCATGTACTGTTGTTTTGCTCACCTACAGGTACATATTGGAAATAATTTGTTACCCAAATAAGTAGTGTACCATCAGGGAATGAGTTACTACCGAAGGTATAAAAAGAAAACCAGTGATCTCCTGCCCCACCCTACCCAACAGTCACACATCCCATCGACAACTTTTAACTGTTTCTATTCCAGTTCTTCCTGAGGCCATCTCTGTAATTCTGATCCTTTTTTTTTTTTTTAAGATTTTATTTATTTATTTGGCAGAGAGAGACACAGCGAGAGAGGGAACACAAGCAGGGGGAGTGGGAGAAGGAGAAGCAGGCTTCCCGTGGAGCAGGGAGCCCGATGCGGAGCTTGATCCCAGGACCCTGGGATCATGACCTGAGCCGAAGGCAGACGCTTAACCGACTGAGCCACCCAGGCGCCCCTGTAATTCTGATCTTTATGGCCTATAGACTTTACTGACTTCCTGCTCTGATAAGGAATGTAGATTCGGCTCCCACCGTTGCTCCTCTATTTGCTTCCAATTTCTGTCATATTACCATTTTATGCTCTAATTTTGGTCTCCTAAATAACCTATGTATCATATTCTAGTCAAGAGGCTGCTTCCTAAGATGAGGATACAGGGATACTCCTCTCCCCACTATGTCTCTTCCCCTTCTACTTTACAACAGCTAGAGACCATACCATTACTGTTAGTGACAGTGCTGGGAACATCATACTCTTGCCATTATGAAATCCTCATGTCACAGCTCTGGCTTTCCTCCTTAAAAAAAGCAAAAAACAAAAACACAAACTCAGTACCTACTGTTTGTATCATATCTATGTAAATACTGTTCAGTGAAGGGCCGATCAAAACAATCTGATTATGTATCCCCCCTTTTATTCCAATTTCATGAGTCCTCTGCCTCTTCTAATAAGTATTAGCATCAGGGTCAAATACATGGATCTCAGGGTACCTGGGTGGCTCAATCGGTTAAGCATCTGACTCTTGGTTTCAGCTCAAGTCATGATCTCAGGGTCGTTAGATCAAGCCTGGCATTGGGCTCTGCGCTCAGCACGGAGTCTGCTTGAGATTGTCTCTCCCTCTCCCTCTGCCTGACCCTCTTGCTCTCTCGCTAAAAAAATCAATCTTAAAAAGAGCATCTTTATTTTTCACTTGCAATTATTTTTTGACTCACTCTTAGAATAAAACTTTTAAATATCTGGTTCCCCAAATATCTGTTCTCTTTGGGGCTGGCTTCTGTTTTACCTTACGTATTTTTTTCTTTCGTGTTGAAGGCTTTCTTCACCTTTCACACCTTGGCTCCCATCCATATCAAAGAGGCTATCAGAGAAGATGGGAAGTTCAAATAGGTGGGTGAGACCAGTTTATTTTTTTATTTTTATTTTTTTAAAGATTTTATTTATTCATGAGAGACAGAGGGAAAGAGAGAGAGAGAGAGACAGAAGCCGAGGGAGAAGCAGGCTCCCAAGGAGCAGGGAGCCCGATGCGGGACTCGATCCCAGGACCCCGGGACCATGACCTGAGCCAAAGGCAGACGCTTAACCATCTGAGCCACCCAGGCACCCTGGGTGAGACCAGTTTAATGGCATGCTTTGCTAGAGGGTGAAAAGTACAAGAACCAGCTGTTAGGGTGAAGGTCCTCAGGATGCTCAAATAAGGCAGTCCTTGTTCCGGAACATAATCCACCAAATTCCCTAGTCCCCCAGACTATTTTTAGTACATAACTTCCTTCCTACTTTATTTTCTGCTTACCAACAGCCAGATACTCACTGTAAGACAAGAAACATAGGGGATAAGGGAGAGAGAATTTGTAGTTTCATAGACAGATCTTCAGTTAACCGCGTTCCCCACCCCCGCCCCCCGGCGTAGAGCTCCGCTAGGGAGCTGTGGCCTGTACTGCTGCAGCCCTCTTCACACGATCCTGGCTTCAGCCTTTCCCCTCTGCATCTCCAGGTGATGCTCTCATACCTCCTTCCACCTTTGCTCAAATTTGCAGTTATGGCCTCTCCCACTTTCTTCACCACTGTTGATTTACACTTCAGCCTTTGTTTTGAACATGCTGCTGAGCTGACTTTTTTATTCTTTTTTAAGGATTTTATTTGACAGAGAGAGACACAGCGAGAGAGGGAACACAAGCAGGGGGAGCAGGAGAGGGAGAAGCAGGCTTCCCGCTAAGCAAGGAGCCCGACGTGGGGCTCGATCCCGGGACCCTGGGATCCTGACCTGAGCCGAAGGCAGATGCTTAACGACTGAGCCACCCAGGTGCCCCTGAGCTTTTTTTTTTTTTTTAAAGATTTTTTATTTATTTATTGAGAGAGAGAATGGTAGAGAGCATGAGGGAAGGAGGTCAGAGGGAGAGGCAGACTCCCTGCTGAGCAGGGAGCCCGATGTGGGACTCGATCCCGGGACTCCAGGATCATGACCTGAGCCGAAGGCAGTCGCTTAACCAACTGAACCACCCAGGCGCCCCTGAGCTTTCTTAACCAACCATCTGTGTACACCTTTTTTATGTGGTTATATTTTGTGTATATACTACATTGGGTTCTGTTTTCACTTCACTTGGTATTTTCCATATTGCTATATCCCCAGCTCTGATTATAGTCAACCTAACTGAGCAACAAAGTTAAATTAAGAGCACAATGGAGTCCTTGATATATTGAGTCTACTTTTAATTCCAATTAGGACCATTTCAGAAGACTTTCCATCCTCAGTCCTCCAATTTGTTAACCGCTGTTTTACATTGGCTGGCTTCATATCTCATCACTCAACACCAACTTCGTCATGCAAAGATTTCTTCTTAGATTGAGTGTTCAGGGGTTTGCATCAAGAATATCTTCCACTCTAAAAAAATAAAATAAGAGCATATCTTCCAGTCCACTATTTCTAGGAATGTGTTACAGGAACAATGTCTGATTAAGTTTGGGTGATTGTTTACACTAGAAAGATTATTTGGTGGGTATAGCTACATACTGAATTTCCTAACTCCTCCTGAGAGCTTGACAAAGTTTTAAATCAGTGGTATGTTCATAGCTTCACATCTAAATGCAGACATAAACACATTTTAATGGACATACAAATTACTTGCGCTGCTTTTGGGAACTGCAGGCTCCTGGGTTTTACTGCCAGAGAATCTGATTTAGTAGATCAAGGTAAGCTTGGTAATGTGCAGTTTCAAGAACACTCAGAGCAAATCTGATGCACGTGATCATTAGACCACACTGAGAGTCATACCTTTGTCAGCTGATGTCTAATAAAGGTTTGGCAGTGAGCCTCTCCATCTTCATTATTCAACTTTCTCCCATGAGTTTTTTAAAACTTTTATTGTTATGTTAATCACTATACATCGTTAGTTTTTGATATAGTGTTCCATGATTCATTGTTTGTGCATAACACCCAGTGCTCCATGCAGAGCATGCCCTCTTTAATACCCATCACTAGGCTAACCCATCCTCCCACCCCCCTCCCCTCTAGAACCCTCAGTTTGTTTTTCAGAGTCCATCATCTCTCATGGTTCGTCTCCCCCTCCAATTTCCCCCCCTTCATTCTTCCCCTCCTGCTATCTTTTTCTTCTTCTTTTTTCTTAACATATATTGCATTATTTGTTTCAGAGGTATCTCCCATGAGTTTTTTCATGTTGAATAAGGGATGTATTATAACTGAAAACCTTCCCACATTCATTACATTCATAGGGTTTTTCTCCAGTATGAATTCTCCGATGCCTAGTAAGCTGAGATCGCTGACTAAAGGCCTTTTCACAATGATTACATTCATAAGGTTTCTCGCCAGTGTGTGTTCTCTCGTGTTTTGTAAGCGTTGACCGATCATTAAAGGCTTTTCCACAGTCAATACATTCATAGGGCTTTTCTCCAGTATGTGTTCTCTGATGTTCAATAAGGCGTGACCTCTGACTGAAGGCTTTAACACACATGTTACACTGATAGGGTTTGTCTCCAATGTGTGTTCTTTGATGCACAACGAGGGGAGACCTCTGGCTGAAAGCTTTTCCACAGTGACTGCACTCATAAGGTTTCTCTCCAGTATGGGTTCGCTGATGCACAACAAGCTGTGATCGCTGCCGAAAAGATTTCCCGCAGTTATTACATTCATATGGTTTCTCTCCAGAATGAATTCTCTGATGTGAAAGAAGGTGAGAGCTCCCAGTAAAGGCTTTCCCACACTGATTACATTCAAAAGGTTTCTCTCCAGTATGAGTTCTCTGATGCTCAATAAGGTGAGAGCTCCCAGTGAAAGCTTTATCACACTGATTGCATTTATATGGCTTCTCTCCAGTGTGAATTCGCAGATGCCTAATAAGTTGAGTGCTTCGAATGAAGGACTTTCCACACTGGTTACATTTATAGGGTTTCTCTCCAGTGTGAGTCCTTTTATGTGAAACAAAGTCAGAGCTCTGGCTGAAGGACTTTCCACAATGAGGACACTCATAAGGTTTCTCTCCAGTATGAATTCTTTGATGTACAATAAGGTTAGAGTTCCACCCGAAAGATTTTCCACATTCATGACATTTATATGGTTTTTCTCCAGTATGAGTTCGCTGATGCCTAGTAAGTTTGGAACTCTGGGTGAAGGATTTCCCACACTGGTTACATTCATAGGGCTTTTCTCCAGTGTGGGTTCTCTGGTGTACGACGAGGTCATAGCTCTGGCTGAAAGACTTCCCACACTGAGTACATTCATAGGGCTTTTCTCCAGTGTGTGTTCTCTGGTGTACAACAAGCTTAGAGGCACAGCTGAAAGATTTCCCACACTGACTGCATGCATGTGGCTTCTTTCCTGTTTGAACGATGTCACAGTCAGTAAAAGATGAGGCTGTGTGGAAGGCATTACGTTCCTCCTGACATCTCAATGGTGCTTCTCTAGGATCACTTACTTTGGTTTGTACAAGGCATTCATCACGCTCATCCTGACATTCTCTAAAATGCACTGGCTTGTGTTCATTCAGAGACATGCTATGATTAACAATGTTTCCATAGTCTGTACAGTTATTGTTGTTCTCTGCTGAAAAAAGTCTATTATGAAATTGAATGGAGGTACCACAGTTGAAAGAGTCACTACTGACAGTATATTCATAAGGCTTTTTATTTCTCATGTCAACGTTTCCGAGTTTTTTCAAATAAATGCTCGGACAGAAGGCTCTAGCACTTTGGTGATTTTCATAGGGCTTCCGATCAGCCCAGCCTTTCTCATGATTAATGAAACCTGAATTCTGTTCCAACTTTTTAACATGTGAGTCAAGAGTATGGACATGTGTTCTTGTGGGTAATATTGGAGGCAGAAGGCTTATACTCAAGTAACTTCCCCCAAGGTCATGCTCACAATGTTCTCCTTGAGCAAACAGTGTCTCTGAGGTAAGTACCATTTGCCTCAAAGAGTCCTCCTGGTGCTCCTTTAGCTGGTTCCTCCAATCCTGCCTTTCTCCTAATGACACCAACCAGGGGCCTTCCTCCCGTATGCAGTGTTTCATTGCTATGTGGTGGAATGGTTCTTCCACAGCAAAATCCTCTTTGGAAGCTGACTCTTTCTTTTCAAATGTATTCTTCCAGTCTGAAAGAAATCCAGTATACCTGAATTACTGGAGATGCATTAGAGGGGGAGGATGGGATGAAGGAGACCACCAAGTATGAGAGGTATCTCTGTGTTTGTTTCTAATCCATGGACTGTAATTTTCATGCAGGATATAAAAAAAAAAAAGGAGATGGATCAGCAAACAGGATATCAGTGATAAAATATTAAAAAAAAGCAAAGATAATGAAGAGGTGACCCAGGAGGACTGGTCCCCAAAGAGGGAGAAGAGGAATTAAGAATAAGTAGGTAAAGATTAAAGGAGGGATCCACAAAAGAATTGGACCTGAAGGTATATAGCCTTCAATAATCACAAAGATATCTACATTCTAATTGCTGGTACCTGTGAATATGGTACCTGATTTGGAAAAAGGGTCTTTGCAGATGCATAAATTAAGGAAACTGAGATAAGGAGAGTATCTGTGTGGGCCCTAAATGTCACCAGAAGTGTCCTTTTAAGGGGGAGGTAGAGATTTGATACAGAGGTGATATGAACACAGAACAAAGAGATTTGAAGATGCTGGCCTTAAAGACTGAAGTGATGTGGGCATAAGCCAAGGAATACTGCAGCTACCAGAAGCTGGAAGAGGCAAGGAACTGATTTCCTCCTGGACCCTTCCAAGGGAGCATGATGACTCTACACCTTGATTTCAGCCCAATGGTATTGATTTCAGGTTTCTGGCCTCCAGAACTGTGGGAGAATCAATTCATGTTGTTTTAAGCCACACAACTGGAAATCTCTTACAGCAGCCAAAGGAAATTAATACAGGGGCCTAACTGGGCCTAACTGGTACCTCAACCTAGATTATTGACCCCAAATCTTAGTCTATCTATTTTCTGATTCTGGATCTTGAAACAGGATCGCAAACACCAACACTGACTTAATATTCTTAACACACCATTTCTACTACTTCTTCCAGGCTACCCACAGAAGAAAAGCTCTTTAACCACTCTGTAACCAATGCCACAGACTTCCCAGAAAGGACTGTAGTACTCGAAGCAGTAGCTGGCCAGGGTGGGCTGCAATTGGGCTTCACTAACTAGCAACTTCCAAAGCTCATTTTCCTTGACGGTAAGCCAGGAATAAAAATCCTTAGCTTACAAGGTTTACTTTGATGCACAAATGAACTGATATGTGAGTCCCACAGGGTGCCTGGCCTGCAGTGCACTGTTAGCACATGGTACCATTGATATGGCCACCCTTGTTATTGTTCTAACAGGGATTCCTCCCTCTGTTGAAATACTGGGCCTCTAATGAGTGGTAGAGGTACAGTGGTACAGGTTCCCAGCTCAGGACCTTGCCTGGGTCCTCCAAGATTCCCCCTTTACTTGTCACTCTTCCCATTTCAGTCATGTAGCCACCCACGTCTGGTACTATCGAGGCCTCTGAGCAAGTCCCCATGCTTCACTCTCCATGTCTGCTACAGAGACAAGGATCCTCCGTTTGGTAAAATATTAACTACACTCTGTGGCCCTCCTTTGACTTCCAGGGGGACATTTCCCTCTTGGACAAAGTCCTCATCTGAGCCCAACACCCTCCACGACCAACACTGTTCTCCTTCCCAAGATTCTGCTGTGTTCCTTTTTGGTGTTGCCTTGGAATCCCTGATGATGAGAACTTTTTCGAATGAAACAATGGCCCAATGACAGGGAGTGAAAGGGTATTTGGAGACAGGAAGAAGGAAAGAAGTCTTTGGGGGGCTAAGATGTGTCCAAGTTGTGCCTGGTCATTGGAAAGTGGGCAAAGGAGGTCAGACATTTTATACAGTGTCTCCGCCAAAATTGCAAAATGAGGAAAACAGATTGTATGGGTCAGCTAGAAAGTAGTATCTATGATAGATGAGAAGAAAGACACGGCCCATAAACTGAATCAGAATGGCATCATTTGAAGGACCAAGGACAAGTAAAATTAGGTGACACTTCAGAGGAAAAAATAACAGAGGCTGTAGGTGAGAGATACAGGGTAAGAAAGAGCAGGAACACACAAGATAAACCAAACACCTCTGGCTAGGGGAACGTCAGAAGGTGGTGTGAAGGACACACATGATGTTTACTACTAACTGAAAGCAGCCAGTTAAGAAAGGCCACATACTGCATGATTCCAACTACAGGACATTCTGGAAAAGGTAAAACTAGAAAGAATAAAATAACCAGTGGTTTCCAGGAGTTAGGGTGGAGGGAGGGAAAAACAGGTGGAGCACAAAGGATATTTAGGGCAATGGAACTACTCTGCATGAAACTATAATGATGGAGATATGGCATTATACATTTACCCAAACCTGCAGAACGTACAACACCAAGAGTGACCCTAACGTAAACTATTGATCTCTATTGGTAATGTGTGGCTACAGCTTCACCCATTGTAACAAATATACCACAGAATACAAGATATTAGTAACAGAGCAAACTTTGTGTGTGTGGTGGGGAAGGGTGATTATAGGAACTCTGTACTTTCTGCTCAACTTTCAGTAAACATAAAACTGCTCTAATAAATAAAATTTATTAATTAAAACAAAACAACAACAACAAAATCAGAAGCAGCCCAATTAGTTGGGGTGATGAACATGTTCTAAAATTGATTAATGTGATAGATGCACATGCTGTGAATATACTAAAATCCTTTGCATACTTTAAATGAATGAATCGTATGGCAATGTGAATTGTATCTTGATACAGCTATTAAAGAAAAAAAAAAAAAAGAAAAGAGTTCCAGTCAGGCTGAGGACATATGAGGAGGTGGACCCATGGGCTGAGAAGAAGTGGGAGAACAAGTCCAAGAACTGATTTAGTAGGAACCCTTCTGGAAGGAATAGGTCCTTGCCATTTCCTAGGATGCACAAGTTCTCACCACACCTCTGGATCGTCTAGTTGTAGGAATGTCCAACATAGAGGGATGGACACCAAAGTACAGGGGAAAGACCGGGTGTGACGGAGAGATCTGGGGAGCTGCTGCCCTGCATGGAAGTCAGGGGGAGGGACCAAAGAAAAGAGGGGGGGCACAAGGACCTGGGAATAGATGAAGCAGCTGCGGGGTGAAGATCAAAGGGAAGACGGGAACAGAAATGAACCCACACATGAGAAATGTTGGGACAACAGTGACGTGTGTTTTTCATGGACTGGGGACACAGGGACAGGCCTATGTGGATGAGAATGTGCTTGCCTTGGATGCAAGGAGCTCCGTGCTCCTCCTCCCCTCCTCGGACCCGGGTCCTGCAGGAAACCATCTCACCACATTAACTCACCAGGTCTCTGGCCTGCACTCACCTCGGGGAGGTCCCTGTCCTGCCCTCCACGGGTCTTGCCCTTGCTCCAGCCAGCTGATCACATCCGGTTTGGAAAGCAGAAGCCCTGGTCAATGGGGGAAAAACACAGGACTTTGTGCTCTGCCTAGAGGAGAAGAACTGTGTCCTCTGGCCCAGCCCTCGGTCCCTGGGGTCAGATGCGGATGGATTAGGAGGGCCCTCCACATCCCAAGGAAACTCCCAGCAAAATGCTTGGCTCCTTTCAGACAGAATGAGTGGCAATATTCAGGATCTGTATCTCAAAGGAATTTCTGGAATGCTCTGGTGCAGCCCAGGCATACCCTTAAGAAGAGCCAGAGCTTTGAGTCCCTGAAGCAGAAAACTGCTGTGATGGGCAGAGTTTGTCTTACCCAGAGAGACCAGGTGGCTGCAGGTCTCCAGAGTCACGTTGCGGTACAGTCTCCTCTGGGCCAGATCCAGCTGTCCCCACTCCTCCTGCGTGAAGGTCACAGCCACATCCTTGAAGCTCACAGGTGGCTGAAACATCACCTGTGTTACCATGGGGCTCCGCCTCCCCAGTGTGGAGGTCGGGTCAGGGGGATGGGGCAGCGCTGGGAGGGAGAGGACGTGGGCTCGAGATGACATCTGTGAGCACTCATGGGGTTCCCACCTTTGGGATCAGACACGGACCCAGTCCCATGGTGTTTTCACTTCTCTCGGAGTGTCTCATCTACCACTGGTCACACTAGTGCTTCTGATTTTTTTGTAGTAGGAAACAACAGGAACCCCACTCAGAGATCCCCACCCCTAGCTTCTCCACAAAAATCACAGATTTGAAGCCAAAGAGCCTGTTCTGAATCAGGAATCAGCAAACTTTGGCTCACAGGACAAATCAGGGCTATGGTATATATACACATATATATATGTATGTTTATTTATTTATAAGATTTTATTTATTTATTTGACAGAAAGAGACACAGTGAGAGAGGGAACACAAGCAGGGAGAAACAGGCTTCCCGCAGAGCAGGGAGCCTGATGAGGGGCTCAACTGCCGGACCCTGGGATCGTGACCTGAGCCGAAGGCAGACGCTTAACAACTGAGCCACCCAGGTGCCCCAAGGGCTATGGTATGTTTTTAGAAGGCTAATGCCATGAGCTGAATTGTTTCCCCTCAACCTCACATGTTGAGGGCCTACCCCCCAAAGTGACTGTATTTGGAGACAGGGCCTTTATAGAAGTAATTAAGGCTAATGGAGGTCATTAGGGCAGGGCTCTCATGCGATGGAATTGGTATCCTTATGAGCGGAAGAGGTGACACTAGGGGCCTCGCTCCCTATCACGTGAGGATCCAGAGAAGGTGCCATCTGCAGGCCAGGAAGAGAGTCCCCACTAGAAAGCAACACTGCTGGCACCTTGATCTTGGATTTCCAGTTTCCAGAACTTTGAGAAGATAAAAATGTCTATTGCTTAACACCACCCAGTGGTATTTTGTTATGGCAGCACAAATGGACTAACACAGGTAAGAAGTGAATTTTACATTTTTAAAGGACTATGTGAATAAAGAATGAGACAGAGACTGTGTGTGGCCCACAGAGCCTAAAATAGTTCCTACCTGGCCCTTCAGAGAAAGCGCTGGGTCAAGCCTGCTCTCAAAGGCTGAGAGGCAAACAGCCATGTGTCCTGGCCTTGGGGAGCCAGGCCTGAGCTGGCATTTCAGCTTCACGACTTACCTGATGGACACCTGGACACATCCCTGAACTCCTCTAGCATGAGCTGCCCTCCCTCATGAAGACAGCCCCCTGCATCGGGGAGTCTCACAGGACACGAGGGGAAGTAACCCCCTGGCACCCAGGAAGCACAAAGACAATGTGTGTGGTGTTGTGACGCTAAATGAGGCCAGGGACCCGCCCCTTACCCTGCTATGTGCTGCACTGTGAGCCATCTAAGGGCATCTGTAGCACTTTAAGGGGACACTCTCGGCTGCCCTCATGAGTAGTCTTAGTAAGGGTCAAGGGTCCAGGGTGGCTGAATGGGGTATGGAGGCTTAGTTCTGCCCATCCTCAAGAGCCTGCTGTGCAGCCATCACAAAGAGTCTGAGCCAGAGACCTGTCCCAGGGAACCAGGTGTGGAAGACTCATGTTCAGTCTGGTCCTAGGAGCTCCTGGTTCATCCATACAGAGTAAGTGCTTTATCTACAGAGAGCCTTTGGCTTTCACATGAAGGCACAGGGCAGCATTACAGTGATCTCATGTGCTGGCCCAAGGAGGTGGGTGCTATTCCTGGACCCATTTTTATAGCTAAGGAGACTGAGGCAAAGAGAGAAAAGGTCTCTCTAACTCACCTGGGATGGGACCACGTTGAGAATGTTCTTCCATTTCCTCCTCATACCTGAAGAAGCTGTCGTGAGCAGGGCAGAGGTCCTCAGGAGGCAGGGCTGGTGAAGCAGGAAACAATCAGGAATTCAGCCCCACCTCAGTAAGCCCACATGACTGAGTGAGCCCACTCTCAACCCCAGATAAAGGAGAGGGCTACCAGTGCCATTTGAGGAACATTCCCTTAGGGTATGAGGAGTTGGTAGACAGGGCTCTGACCAAGTGCCTTAAAAAGTCCAAGGCTCTGAGGTCAGCTGTGGCAGCCAAGCCAGTTTTCCAGATGTGGAATGGGCCAGCCTGCCCAGATCTGAGCCTAGGGATGGACCTGGGCTATCCCAGGCTCAAGGAAAATGCCCAGGCACATGTGGGTATATCTGAACTGCGAACCCACAGATACACAGCCATTCCTCAACACCCAAACAATGGACTGGCCAGTTTTTCCTGTCATTTCAAGAGACTAAATCAGGGGAGGTAGAAGCAGAGAGTTAAGACAACTGTACAATTTTAAAATATCCCAATGAAACATCAGCTGATCTCTCAAGAAAACTGTACAATTTTTGAATACCAGTGAAACATGAGCTGGCTACAAAAAAAAAAAAAAAAAAAAGATGCACCATTTTTTAAGTATCACAGTAAAACATCAGCTAGTTTCCAAAAATGGGGTTGGAGGGCTGGGGACAAGGAGGGTGAAAATCCCCAAGAGGACAGTGAAGAGCACTCTGTTGGAGGGTGCTGTCCCAGGTGCACACTCCCCAAGCCACCCTGGAGGTGCAGGATGCTGCCCTGCTGTGTGTGGGGGGCACATCTATCGTCCGATACTTTACTTTGTCATTGCTTCCCATACTCTACTTATCTAATAGCTTGGCTGCAGTCGTGTGACTGTCCCACTGAGACAGCCAGACAAAAATCCTGCCACATCTTGCCTTAAACCCTTCCCCATATTTACCTCCTGCTCCCCCACTTGTATCAAAAGCACATCTACACCGGTGTGCACACACATACCATCTATCTAGTCACTGGTCATTCTGGATGACCCAACATTCCAGAAATGTATGCCGCATTTGTTCACATGGAGCTACTGCTCATTCTGCCAGACGGCATCTTTCATTTGTACGGTGCCATCCAGGTCACAAAGAACCTTGGACCCTCACCCCCTTGAAACAGAACAGGTATCACGTGGGCTGGAAGCCCAGGGAAACCCAGGCCTCTCATTCGCTGCTTCCAGGAGGCAGACACTTGCTGTTCTCCCAGGACTGAATGCTGGCATTTTTCTTATTCTACTTTCTCTATAAAACCCATTTCCCTGGAGAATCAAGAATCAAGTCACATATCAGGGCAAGTGTGCTCTCTCCATGCCTCACGTTTTTGGCAGTTCTCACCTTTGCCTTCAAATGTTTGGGTCAGTTCCTCAACCCAGTGTCATCTCCTCTTTGAGCTTGTCCAGGTGCTGGGGTTTCTCTTAGGTCCTGAGCTCCCTGGAGAGCGTGTTGGGGGCCACTCCTGGCCAGAGCCAGCAGGCACACAGTGCCTACAGATGGGCCAGGACCTCAACACTTGCAGCTGCTAAAACCACAAAACCCCAGAGGCAGCTTCCCACTATGCTCTCTCGTTTCCAAGACAATCTGTTTTAAGAACTCTACTGCTTCCAACACAGCTGGGGTCTGAGAACTCCTTTCCCAAACTTAATTCTGCAGACACTCTTTTCTGGCCATCACCTTCATGGTGGGTCCCAGTCTCTCTTTGTCACACAAACCTAATATCCTTCAGGCAAAATGAGCACTCAAGTCCTCCGAGAATCACTATAAAAAGGAGAGTGCCGGGCTACCTGAGTGGCTCAGGCAGTTAAGCGTCCTACTCTTGATTTCAGTTCAGGTCATGATCTCGGGGTCGTGAGACTGAGCCCCGCGTCAAGCCTATGTGTTGGGCTCTGCGCTGGGTGTGGAGCCTGCTTAAGATTCTTTCTCTCCCTCACCCTCCGTTCCCTCCCCTCCCTCCCCCTGCATGCACTCTCTAAAAATAAATAATAAACTTTTCAGCAAGCAAGCAAATAAATAAGCAAATAAATAAATAGAGGAGAGTGCTGAGTAGCCAGTTCACTATTGAAGCAGAAGACGATGGCTTCAAAATGCAGGGTTATCTCTTAGCTTGGCAGTCAGGCCAGTACAGATGAGGCAGCAATAACCATGCAAGAAATGGAATCCAGAATGATCAGAATAGCTGTCAAATAAGAAATTTTTTTGGGGGGGAGGGGGAAACATTTGTATCCCACTAAAAAATGTTTAAGGCAGAACATAAGTCTGTGACAAAATGTTCAACTTTCAACTTTTAGAGCTGGTGTACACATTTACCTGACTCCCAGCATTAACTTAAAAGAACAGAACCACCCCCATACCAAAAAAAGTAAAAGTTCCATCCATCCACAATGACGCCGGTATGTCCACACTGTCCACAAGCACACACCTAATACAGTGAGTGTGTGTAACAGGTTGACTCAGCAGGCCTGGGTGGTCCATGCCCCACACATTCCAAAGAAAGGCCTATTCCCTGACCAGCTGCTGGGAGGTAACCTCTGAGCCCCTGGGGAGATCCTACCTGATAAAATGTCTGTTTGCTTGGGGACACCCCTGCAAAGTGAGTCTCAGGCTCAACTAAAGGACAAAGCCACAAAGAGAAACATCTCCAGGAAGTGTGAGAAAGTTGGCCCTTTCTGTACAGCAGTGGTTCTCAACTGGGAGCAGATCAAGGGACATCTGGCAATGTCTGAAGACGTGTGGTTGTCACAACTTGCAGAGGGCTGAGTAGAAGTAAGAGGCAGTACTCAACATTTCCCCTACCAGAGGATGACTCCGCTTCCAACATCAATACTGCCAAGGTTGAGAAACTGCTCTACAAGGGCAAGGCTGTGCCCCAGGAGCACCAGGACTCTTCAGCTCTGGGCCAATCTCACAGATTAGTAGAGCTGCAGAAAATCTGGCTCACTCAACCCTCTTTATTTTCATCATCTTCTCTTCCTGAGTAATATGGAAAACTCAGAAGTTACTTAGGACAGAAATGACAGCAAACTTTGAGGACACTCACCTCTCACTCACCGGAAAGAGAACCCACACAAAAGGCTGTCGCACACCAGGATGCCACTAAACCTGTGTCCACACCATCCTTTCGTCTGATCATGGCACAGGGCACCTGTCT